GACAACGTTTTTGATGCAAATGCTAAGGCTCGAGAGCAGTTATCATTTGGTATGCGAAAAGGAAACCTCTCTCTGCTGCCTCCCTCAGCCCTCCTCTCATCCTCATACACAAACCCGGGACACAAAGAGGAAACCACCCACTCCAAAACGCAGGTATTCATATGTGTCGTGTGTTTGTTGTCGTCTTATTTTTGGGTTGTCCATTGTTTTTTTTTTTTTATTTTAATAAATATGTGTTTGATTTTGGATCTGGATTCTTCGTCAGAGGTCGAACGAATGCATGAAGCGGCGAAACACTTCGGTCCAGCTCCCGGTGTACCTCAAAAGTACACCAAACCTTATGTCCGGTCAAAGAGAAGGAAGTTTGAGAAGGCTAGAGGAAAGAGGAACAATGAGGGCTTTAGAGGTTGAATCATTTAGAATTGAAAATGCTATTTGTAGAACCTAATTTGCTGGTCTTTAGGTGTCTGGTATCATGTTTATTTATCTGTCTAGTAAATGTGTTGATGAAGGCATTGCTGTTTCAACAAGAGAGAAGCTCACTACCATCAATCTCGAAAACTATCCATGTGTATGGTTTTCTGCAACCTGAATGGCCAAAATATTTAAAATTGTGTTATTTTTTATTCTTTCGAGATGCTTAGCTGCAGCTTGCGGAAGTTGAAATTAGTGTGTTCAGAAAATGTGAAAGGTGGTGTATGTGAGAGTTATGCAACTCCTAAACCCATAAAGGTGGCTCGTGTAAGTACATAGGTGAAAGATAGTAGCAGCATTAGGAAGATTTTGATTGTTTATTGAAAGTCCAATGTCTGATAAATAAAAGAAAATTTGTGGGCTATGAGATTCCGTAGATCATATGATTCTTCCTGAGAATGTGTGTTTGTCTAAGTCCATCGCATATTGATTCCCTTTGTTACCATCCACTTGATACTTAGAGCCTCCTGACCACATTATAGTGCATTGCCCAGACTTAACCTTTTTGGTTTGTAGTTTGTTAAAAATGCTAGGGTATATACCATAATGCGAATTCCATCATCCTGAATCCTATTCTACTAATTAGTAGGCATTTTATAATCTCTACCAAAGTTATGATTGGCTTATCTGTTGCATCTGAATTTGTGTTGTTGAATGTCTCATAAGAGTTTGTTTGATGAGCATGTCACATTTCACATGTACTTTGAAGTGGGATTTAGACCACTGTTGTGGAGACTTAGATAAATAGCCATTCTCTATGATATTGCAAGACTGTAGTGCTTTGACACAACCCCAGTAGATTGTCTTAATGTATTGCCTTTGAGTAATTTTATGTAGTAACTAAATAAATGCCTCGCACAAAACGATGCTCAGCATTAAGTACTATAACTTCTCTTCAAATGCTCTAGACAATCCTTTTTGCCTGTCAGATTTAAATCCCCACCCATGTGAGTTAACAATATCAAAATTAGCAGCTAGCAATTCAAGGAATCAAGTCCAAGAGTGTTTTGTCTTTATCTCCACCACTACATAAGGAATGACCAATGTCTCATTCTTAGCATCTATCCCAATGGTTGTCAACATTTTGTCCCTCATACACTGCCATCAAGTGACAACCATCTAGTCCAATTAGAGGCCTATAACCTTCATTGAACCCCTTTTTACACCCTCATAAACATACATAAAGTCTTTGATACACTGCACCATTTCATTTAAATCACCTTATTTTCATGGTGGTTCCTGGATTAGTTCTCTTCACTTCTTCGCGACCCATCATTTGAAGCAGCATCTAGTAACGACTTTGGAACAATAAGTTAAAACTATTTTGTTTTCATAATTTAACTTTACCACGACCACCTTCTAATCTTTATCCAAATTTGGTGCAAGCAGTGTAACAAGCACACACAATAAGACTATATCAGAACATATTAACACAGAGACATTTTTTGGGTCTTGTAGAGGAAATGGTATCAACCTTCGAACTAGGACCACTAGCACTTAAGCACTAGGCAGGTAGAAGGCCGGTACACACACACACACACACATATATATATATATATATATAAAGTTGTATGCAAAACACCACCCTTCAAATTGCACATTTGCAATAAGTTGTCAATACTTAGTGAAAAATTGTCGACAAGTTTAATTGACATGTAATGGTGTCATTGTAAATCCCACAATTTGAAAAGGAAAGAAAAAGAAAAGAACACTCCCTAGAAGTGCAGAGTGGCCCGTACTACTGCTGCTAACTTTCACCGATGTACTTCCGTGAGCAAAGCATTAGAGTTTGCATGAACTCTGACAAACCTTGCACATTCTGAACACACTAATTTCAACTTCCTAAGCTGCAGTTAAGCATGCCATTAGGTCCTTCAGGACGCAGCCATACACATGGATGGCTTGAAAAGTTGAGTAACTGCCTCTTCTTAGTTTGAATGAACGCAGGCACAAGAAAGCAGTCCAACCTCAGCAATTGTCCGGCGAAGAATAATTGTCTTCACAAACTTGGAGATCTTCTTCAAAACCTGCCAGTGATTTGAGGGAGAGTTTACAACACAGTCGTGCGGAAAAGTTTAACCATTAAAAACACATATTGAGCATTTGAAGTCAAAAAATGAGAAACTTGATTATAGAGAGGTCTTGTGAGAGTCTCCCCAAAACAAGATTTCAAGCATACAATAGTAGTAAGGATCATCATCAAACCAGAAAAGTTCCTGACGTTGCTGAGGAATGTAGGCCTTCATTCCTGCAGCATCGGTAACCATTACTGACTACAAACTGGTTGTAAAGGGGAAACTGCTGGGAATGTATATCCTAAATAGTTAATAATAAGATGTGATTTGTTTGTGGCTTTCAAACTTCATGTGGGCAATGACTTGGGTTAGGAAAAAGCGGCACTACCAATCCCTCGGCATGATGTGCAACTTTCTCACAGTACTGATGGATTAACTTTGGTGTGCACTTGAGACTCCAGATGCGTTCAAATTCAAATCTTCAATTGCAACTTGAGATTTGGTCTTCTTAGCAACATAATCCATGCCCAAAAAATTGAGCAATGATTGGTGACGTGTTGACTGCCATGTGATGATGCTTTCCTTCGCACGCTCAACCATCCTCTGGAAGAGGAAGAACGTGCCTTTATGTCACGTGCTTAGTGGGAGTGCTTAAAGTAATACTACGTGTATTTAGTTGTTGAATAGTTATAGAGTTTGCATGTCTTTTAAACTTTAGTTGAGTAATTATATGAGTCAAGTTTTTTCCACTTCCATAGTGGAGATGCGTTGTGGGAAAGTGTTTTTCTATTTTTATGCTTTCAATTAGAGTCTCTGTTTATATAAATTCCAATGGCTTTTCATTAATGAGATATCAAATATTATCCCTAATTGTTAGGTTGTTTAACTTGGAGGTTTTGGGTTCGCTTGAAGCAATCCTATTCGTCTAATTATTATCCCAATTGAGCCTTTTAAGTATTCCTGCAAACATAGGCTGTAAGAAGAAAAGTGCATATCAACTCCCTGTACCTAATCTCCTAATCACTTGAGCCCTGTCCCAAGCACATAACACTTTATTGAAGTTGCTAAAATATGAAAAACTTATGAGAGAATATTGTTTGTGGGAATTTTTAGTGTATTTCTTTCCTTGTAGGAGGTCATATGATAATACAGCATAGCCTTAGTGGCCAAGTAAAATAATAAATTCATATTTCCATTTATAGTAAGAAATCATGAATTAAAGAAAATCAATTACAATTAATATGGGAATCCTGGTGTGCAAGGAAAGTCAATGGTCCACAAGTCGTGCCAACACTCCCTATCACGTTGGTGCATAGATGTCGTCAATGCCCAACTGGTCTAGTGAATTGTGGAACGCTCTACTGGAAATCGCATTTGTCAAAATATGCGCCAATTGATCAATGGACTTCACGAAAGGGAACTGAATCACTTTAGCCTCAAAGGCTTCTATTTGATGAAGTGTCGATCCACATCAACATGTTTAGTGTAATCATGTTGAACTGGATTCTATGCAATAGCTATAGCAACTTTGTTGTCACAAAAGAGATTCATTGTGGATGCAGGTTCATACCCAAGTTTAGTAAGCAATTTCCTCAATCAAAGGAGCTCATAAATTCATTTAGTCATACCTATGAACTCGGCTTCTGCACTAGATAGAGTTGCTACCTTCTATTTCTTGCTCCTCCATGTCACCAAATTACCTCCCATGAATGTGAAGTAACCAAATGTGGATCTTTTATCTATTATTCTACTTGCCTAATCTGCATATGAATAACCATCAATATTCAGATGACTATGTTTTAAGAGTATATGTCATTTTCCGAGTGCAGACTTCAAATATCTAAGTATTCGAAGAACTGCATTCATGTGGTCTTCACTTGGAGAATGTATAAATTGACTGACGACACTCACCGCATAAGCAATGTCTAGTCGAGTATGTGACAAGTAGATCAATCTTCCCACTAACCTTTGGTATCTTTCTTTGTTAGTTGGAACTTGATCCGAGTATTCTTCAAGATGATGATTCTGAACAATAGGAGTGTCTACATGTTTTCAATCTAGCATTCATGTGTCTGTCAATAAGTCCAAGACATATTTCCATTGAGAGAGAAATATTCCTTCTAGTGATCGGGCCATCTCAATCCCCAAGAAATACTTGAGTCCACCTAGATTTTTCATCTCAAATTCAATAGCCAAATAGTCTTGTAGTTGAGATATTTCTTGTTTATCATTCCCAGTAGTAATCATATCATCAACATAGATTATTAAAGTTGTTACCTTCCCTTTCTGATATTTCAAGAACATAATATGATCTGAGTTACTATGTCTGAAACCATTGTTCTTCATTGTCATGGTGAACCGTCCAAACCATGCTCGCGATGACTGAATGTCCATATACACATTCTCCGTGAGTTTTGCATGCAGGAAAGCATTATTTACATCAAACTAGTGTAGTGGCAAATCCAAATTAGTTTGCGAGGGACAATAAGACATTAACGATGTTTAACTTTGCTACTGGAGCAAAGGTTTCTCTATAGTAAACACCCATCTACCTTCAACGATCTTTTTTCTTTGTGGTAAAGTTTCCAATGTCCAAGTCTGAGTTTCCTCAAGAGCTTTCATCTCTTCCTTTATAGCTTGAACCCACTTAGGATCTCTTAATACTTCAGCAACCTTGGTTGGGATATGGATAGCAGAAAACTTATACACAAAAGCCTTCATTGGTTTAGACAGTTTCTTAGTGGATACATGATTCGCAATTGGATACTTTAATGTCTTGCCAATATTAAGTGAATAATGGTTTGGTAGTTTCCCACGATTTTGCTTGAAAGGTAATTGATAATCAATAGATTTATCCTCTAAATTCACAAGTGTAGTAGGAGTACGTAGTTACCTCAAAGATATTTTCAAGAGATTGGACTGTTGGTACTGTTGATTAAGAGAGGGGTCTTCAACTTGTTGCTCTACGTTGTTTGTAGAAATGGGACTCAAATCATAAATAGCTTTGTAGTGGTTAGGCGATCAATCATCGGGAATGGACGATGTTGGAGCAGAAAATTTTGGGTCCTCCAACAATTAATATGATTTCCGTGTTGAGAAGTCGGACACCATTTTGATTGCCACTTGTGAAAGGGGGGGGACCTATAAGAAAACACTCCGATGCTCAAGTCAGTAAAAGTATAATTGCATGAGAGTTTAGAATAGTATTGTATCTGATTTTCTCCTTCCCTTGGGATGTTGTGTTAATTGGCCTTTTATAGGTAGTGGAGTTTTGGGCTCTAACTCCCACATTCCTTATTTTTCTCCATGACTCAAGATAATGGATGTCATGTTACTTGATTTTCTCCATTCCCCCAAGTTTAGGATGCATGAGTAGTGGGTTATTGCTTATGCAGTAAAATTTGCTCATACACATGCCCTTTTTTCTCTCTTTAGACACGCTTTGTTCTCGGATGTGGAGAGAGAAAATATTCATTGTGGGAATTCGTTCCATGTAAGATTTCAAGAGGTATCAAGTAATATAATAAATACATTTGTTAACTAAGGAACATGAGGAAATATAAATTTTGGAATTTAGAAGCAAACTAAGTTTGTTACCTTTTGACCACGGCTAAGCAAAGATTCAGAGTAAAGCATCGCCTCGAGAAATCATTGATCCCACAAGTCCTTGAGTTGTGATATGCATTACAAATTTGGTGAACTTTAGTTGGGATCAACAAAGGATCCAATTGATTAGGATCAACTAAGGATCCGATTGATGGGCTCAAGAGGATTTGATAACTTCGAGATTATGTAAGGCTTGACATGGATCCGATTGATGGTCCCCAGAAGATTGATAACCCTAGGGTGATGTAGGGATTGACATAGACCCAATTAATCACCCCTAGATGATTGGTAACCTTAAGGTGATGTTGGGATCGGCATGGATCCAATTAATTGCCCCCAGGGGATTGGTAATCCCCAGGGTGATATAGGGATCGACATGGACCCATTGATCGCCTCAAGATGATTAGTAACCTCAGGGTGATGTTGGGATCAGCATGAATCCAATTGACTGCCCTCAGGGGATTGGTAACCCCTAGAGTGATGTTGGAATCGACATGGATCCAATTGATTGCCCCCAGGGATTGGTAACCCCCAGGATGATATAGGGATCGGCATGGACCCAATTGATCGCCCCCAGAGGATTGGTAACCTCATAATGACGTTGGGATCGACATGGATCCAATTGATTGCTTCGAGGGGATTGGTAAACCCGAAGATGATGCTGGGATTGGCATGGATCCAATGATATTGTTAAAATTGATATGAACCAAGATGGTCTGTGGAGTTTTGAAGCATACCATATTTGTTGTGCTTTGTTAATGACTATGTCGTTGCCCAAGCACCACGTCATGGAGCATGTTGACTTTGGTACACACCTCTTCTTTCTTCAATTTATCATCAACTCTGTTAGTTGAGTTTTGTTGGTCTTTGAATTAAAATTTGGATTTTCTTCCAGTTTGCAAACCTTGTGTGACGTTCCCATTACACCTACCTATGTCACGTTGAGTTTCAAATCATATAAACATATTTTTGTCAATTATCAAAATCATAAATTGGGGTGACTAAAGAGGCATAGAATATAATTTTCTTAGATTTATAATCATTTTAATGCAAATTGGAAAATGAATATAAAAATAAGACATGGTCTTCCACCAGATGAACAATTAATTCTTGCAGGATTCAAATTGGGTGCGTAAGCACTTGATGAATATACGATTATGAATGCATTAGTGTAGAAAACATTGCAATAAGAATTTTAAGAAATATAATAGTTGAGCTAGTCCATATGAGTAGACAGTATAAGCTAACTATATTGAAAAGATAACCAAGAATTATTAGGGCATAACTTCCATGATAGACTTAAGCAATAATATATGTAGCTGAGAGTAAACCATTGCATTGGAAAATATTTGACAGAAGAAGTTTGTTCACATAGCTAAAATCATATGGAAATCTTCTAAAAAGAAACGCAATGAGAGTAAAGCATATTTCGACTTGGAGACCAGCCAAGTTACTTGCACTAGGCTTCATGCAAAAATTGTTTTATAGCTTACTGTAGCAATTAGTAGCATTCATTCCACTATAATTGTATTGAGGCAAACATGTCTCCAGGCAAAGTAAATTGACCATAGGCGTACTTTGAGCATCTTTCAATGAATGTAAAGGTTTCATTGTAGTTTAACTTTACATGCCTCCAGGCAAAGTTAAACTACATCTGACATAGACATCTAATTTGTATGCACATAAGTGAAATAATAGGACATGTCTGATAATGATCATTAGAAAGGTGTAAAATTGTTCCTAATTTAGTATTATGTGAAAGTCAAAGTGGATGGGTTTAGATGATTTCTTATCTTGCTTTGAGAGAAGTTGAGGGAGTGGCTGCTTTGTTCAATAATTCAGGGTTGAAATGATTTTCCTTCCTTTCTAAGCACTGCATCTATAGGAACCTGTTTTCTTTTGCAACAAGCTTCGTGATACGACATTGTGGACATCACCCATGCCTTTTCTGCTAATTGTATCAATTAGAGACTAATTCAACCAAATTCCAGGGAAGCACAGATGCCCCCAGCACACAATATTTAGCAATATACAGCCAGCATCGCTCAGAAACTTGTAGCCTTAACAATAAGAAAGAATGATTGCATGTCTTCCAATAAATCAATAAAATAAATAAATAAAATTGATACCAATATTTGGAAAACTTAAAAATCGTGAAGAAGTTTTAGAAGAAATTGTCTTGTTAAATTCCAGAGCCGTGAGGGATTATACATTCCCTTTGTTACTTTTCCCTTTTATTCTTTATCAGAGACCTAAGAAATCCCATTAAAGCCACAAACGCAAAGGAAAACAATAGTAGCGAACGCCAATTCGTGAAATCCTAAAAAGAGAGTTTAGAAATTCTTCTCTATTCGGGGGATTAGACTCGTGCCCCCATTGTAGCACGGGTGAGACTTCAATCACACAGTGTCCATTGCTTCTCAAGGTGACTTTTCGTACGTTTCCCACAGATGGCGCCAACTGTTGGAGCAGAAAATTTGGGTCCTCCAACAATTAATATGATTTCCATGTTGAGAAGTCGGACACCATTTTGATTGCCACTAGTGAGAGGAGGGGGTACTTGTAAGAAAACACTCCGATGCTCAAGTCAGTAAAAGTATAATCACATGAGATTTTAGAATAGTAATGTGGAATTCTTGTCTAACTTACTGCATTTCTTTTTATAACATGTGGCGGGCTGCATTGCAAATATTTCATCTGTCTTTCATCTATTGGATGGTACACCAGCCACATGGTGTACCCGGAACACCCAAAAATTACTCCAAGTTTAGGATGCATGAGTAGTGGGTTATTGCTTATGGAGTAAAATTTGCTTCCACACACGATTGATAGGTTTCCGGAAGGTAAGAACATATCGTTCCAAGCTTGGGGCGATTGATCGTCGATGTTGGATGATCGATCATTTCTTGGCCGAGAGAAGCCCCATGCTCCAGACCTCGTGGCGATCGATCGTTAGAGGTAGGACGATCGATCGCTTCTGTGCAGACGTGAAGTTCTTCTTCTCCCAAGTTGTTCCAATTATGCGCTTTACTTCGTATCTCTCCCTAAAGCATAGAATTGGATGTTGGGTCATGGAAAAACATCTCAGATTCCAGAGAGGTCACATCCAAAGTGATAGGTATGCCAGGTATGAGAGTGATAACATCAGTAGCCTTTTTTTATGAGTGGCATAGCCCATAAAAACACAACGACATGCAACGCTGATTTTTTTGGAGATGAACAGGGGCCCCTATCCTGTTGAACCAGTTGGCCCTGATTGAGGAGCACTCTTGGCCACTAAACCAGTGTTGGTGGGTGTGGACGAACCCATCATCACAGCTTATCAAACTTCTCATGACGGAAATAGGCATAGGCTTGGTCCACGATGGGAAACAGAGTCATCTAAACAACATCAATTTGGGCCTTATCAAGACGATCATCTAGGCCATCCAAAAAATATGTAAACTCATTCCTGCATAATATCATTATATCGCTTGATATCACATTCATATTCCATCATATTGGGACGACGGAAATCAATCTATCTCCACAAGTTTTGGAGAGTATTGTAGTAGGTTTCAGTAGAGCCATTGGCTTGTACGAAAGACTCGTCGTTTCAGATCATACACCTGAGAGGTATTAGTGTCATCATAGTAGGTCGTGACAATTGCGCATCCCACACTAATTTTGCCGTTGGAAAGTGAATGAAATTGCCAATCAAGGTCTACTCCAAAGAATTAATGAGCCATCATTTCAAAATCGAGTTCTTGGTTCCCATCGGGTAAACGTTGGAGTGGTCGGAGGAGGTTGTGGAAGATCTCTATTAATATATCCCAATTTGTCTTTGTTGGTAATATACATCTGGACAACTTGGGACCATGGGGCATAGTTGGTGCAATCCAATTGTTCAACTACATTATTGAATGAAATCTTCACTTTGCAGCGTGGTCTCCTCAACTTATCGTCTTCAAAGAAGGCGCAGCAGCATGCAACTGCACCAAGCCCAGTTCTATGATTTATAAATCACGATAGTGGAAATTTTTCATAAGAACTCATCTAAGCTAAAATGGAAATTTAGGATTTACGTTAGGGTTTAGGACGAATTTGGGGCTTTCTCTTTGATCTCCAACTGAAGTTGAGGATGAACGACAGTTTTGGGGCTTTTTCGAGTTGGGTCCCACGGGTGCCACGTCTGCAGTAAATGATTGACCGTCTGTTCAACTTAACAGAATGATGAAATTGGACGATGTTCAAAACATCAGGGAGTAAATTAATAAAATTGATACTATGGTGTCCAATTTGAAAATGACTCTAAACCAGCAGAGTATTTTTGTCGGTAGCCCTATTTCTTTCTATCTCTATAGAAGTGCCAACTGCTCTTAGAGAATCTCCACCCATAAGGGCTAAGTCTAGGGCAAGGGCTGCCACTATTCACATAAATAGTGTCAGCCTTGCCATTTGTGGTTCCACCCATGAGGGCTAAGTCTATGGCAAGTCTAAGGCAAATACAATTCATTTTACTTTATTTTCTATTTTTTTTATACTTAAACTATTAATTTTGATAAGCTTTTTAGATTATATTTTCGATTGTCACGTGTTACTATTTATTATAAAATTCTCAAAAAAATTTAAGATAACATTTTTCGGATAAAATTTCCAAATAAAATTTTCGGATAAAATTTTTGGTTGCCACGTGTCCATATTTATTATAAAATTCACATCTCACTCATCATACAATTAAAATACCTACTCACTCATCATACAATTGAAATATTCTTGGTTCTCATAGTCCGATATAATGGAATACAAGGACAACTCCATCATTGGCGAAGGCGGTTCCACCGGATCATGACGTGGGGGAGTATTTTCCTTCGGAGGACGTAATAGTGCCATTATTTCTGACACAGAACGCACCACTGGAACCGACTGCGGGCATTGTTCACTTGAGGAGCCATGTGTAATGGTTTTCCTCTTTTTTGTTTTCCCTTGAATAATCTATTTTTTTTAAAGGAAATTGGAAATGCAAGAAATATATATTTTAAAAAATGACATTAAATTGAATAAAACAGCAAAAAAAAATTTTTTTACCTCGTCGCCAAGATTTTGACCTCTTCGAACGTTTGTTCATGACCCTCCGGCTTCGATGGAAGAGGCCATTTGTATTTTTGCACAAATGGAATTTTGTAGTAGAAAATTTGGTGTGGAAAGTGAAAAATATTGGAATGAGATGAATTTGTATGAAGATTTGGTGTGAAAAGTGAATAATATTGGTAGGTATTTATAGAAAAAATTTCCATAATTTTTTGAATTTTTTTTTGGTTGTTGATATTTTATTCAATTTTTTTAAGCTAAAAATTGGATAGCCGTTGGATTGGGCAATATTTTTGATCGGAGGCTTCAGGAGAAGCCACGTGGCTTATAACCGTTGGGCTATGTGGATTGGTGGGTTAGCGCTGACGTCAGTTGCTGATAAAAAATTTGAAAATCAGCCACTAACGTCAGCAGTCTGAGGGCAATAGCCCATGCAGGATTAGCCCGTGAGCTTGCCCAGGTTGTTAGGACCCACCATTTGCCCAGGCTCATTGTTGCGCGCTGGAGCTGGAATGGACTGCCAGGGGGCCTTTTGCCCAGGTTTGGTGCAGCGGTGGACATGCTTTTGGTGTCTCAAAGTCTCTCACTCTTCGTAATAACCCACGACATGTCCTTTTTCTTCTCTCTACCCAAGGTGTGTTTAACACACTACACTAGTCAGACTATATATTTAAGCCAAAATGGCTTCTCCGATAAGCGAATGCTTTCAAGGTGACGTGGCCAAGTAAATAATCACAGCTTAATTTAAGCCAACGAGTCAACAGTCGCCTTGGGACCCACCCCATTAACTGATTAATCATTCCACGTAGAACATCTGAAGGGTATTTTGGGACAAAATTCGAAAAAATATTAGTGAAAAAATCCACTCCCAAATTTTCACGTGTTCCAAGGCCAACTTTATCGAATTGACTTTAGCCCACATCAGTCATCGTCAACCTCAAATTTAACTTAACACCTAAAAGTCCATACTTGGGAGGTGCAATTTCTCCAGGCGCTGTGATTTGGAAAGCGTGAGACGACGAAATGAGCTGGAATTTCCGTCCTTCAGGATGCGCGCAGCCTGTGTATGGTACGCTATTAGTCTTAATTTTTGTGATTTCAGTTATTGTGCAGTGTTTTCTAATCCTTGTCGATAAGTATCAAAAGACTATTGTTTTATAAGAATTGTCGAACATGCACGATGACGTTTTAAAGCACGGTGTGGCCAAGCCCATTAACTAGTGAGATCCTCACTCAAGCCCAATCCCCCTATTGACAACCGACCAAGTTAATTGAAGAGGAGAGAAATTCACAGCAAGCCTCGACTCTCAGCCACCCTTCTCTGTCTTGGTAGAGTAGGTCAGGTATATTTCATCACGAATTCAATTTGGTTGATTTTCGCTCTGCTGATTTAGTGAGATATATATATATATATATATATGCTTCCTATTATTATGCTTCAATTGCATTCATATCATTATAATTTGATTTGATTTGATTTAGGTTTGGGGGGTTAGGGTTTTGGGATTCATCTAGCATTGCATGATAGAGTTGGGAGAAGAGGAGAGGCATATGACAACAGCTATTCGGTCTGTGGTTGGAAAGTTGGGGAATAAATACTCTTCATGTTGTCACAGCAAAGGAAGAACAGTAGCAAACATGGTTAGGGTTGGGGACTTTCAAATTAGGAGCTCAGTAGTCAGCAACTACAATATTGACCGTGATGTCTTGTTTTCAATTTCAAAGCCGCCTACTTCTTATGGTTATTCCTCTCGCCATCCTTTTCTTTTTGGTAACCACCATAAGAAAGCTCCGCCAGTTCTGCATCTGGAATATTTTAAGTGGCCCGGTGTAAGTATGATATTACCTTTTGCATCTAATGCTGAAATGATTTCTACTTTTGGTACATGTATGTATGCAATTCACTTTTATGGTCTTACTTCGCATTCTAACTCAATTATTGTCTTATTGCGTGTGCTTGTAACACTACTTTAGGGATTAGCAGGTAATCATCGTGTAGCTCCGTATTCTATGGATAATCCCAATACCATAGCTCTTGCCATTTTCGCTGTGAGAGAGTACAACAAGGAAAAGGTTTGAACATATCATATACCTCTTCCAATTTATTGAAAAAATAATTAAAATTTACTAATCGTAGTTTTTTTTTTGTATTAATGTTTAATTGTTTGAACTCTACATAATGTTCTCCGTTCTCTTTTAGAATGCCAAACTGCGGCTTGTGAGAGTTTTGAGGGCATGGTACAAATGTTCTGGTGCTTCGATCTCATATTTTTTTACAATGGAGGCAGTTGATAAGGGTGTGGTTAAAGTTTTCCAAGCATTGGTTTTTTCACGTAGCTGCGAAAGGGAGCTAAGATTGTTTGGTCTTCTTAATGTTGATAACGGGAGTTTGTTAAAACTAATTGTTAAAGGACCTACAAAACCTTATGAAGGACTATCTGCGTGCATAGGTAACTATATTATGCCATTCTATATTGATTATTAATCCTTACAAATTTAATTTCTCAGATTTTTAAAAAGTCCATTAAAGTCTAGATTGGATATATTAATTTGCAGATGGCAATTCTTCTTACACATTTTTCTTCATGATATATGGTACTTTCAAATGCACTGATTGGCATGAGTGTTTCATTGTCATTTCCACAGCCCAAAGGTACAAGAAGATGAAGATTCCAAGAAAGACAAGCAGAAATTGTCTTGAGGAAGAGACACTAAGCACCTTACTACACGTGTCACCTCTCCAATAATATTAAGCTGCATAGATTTGACAGGGAGCTGATATTTTGGTAGGATAGGGTGGGTGGTACATCTCAGATTGTGGCCAATCTTCTTAACTTATTTTCAGGAATTTTTTGAAAATTCGATTATTTATTTTCAGAGCATTTTTAAAGGAGGAATTACTGTTCATAATAGCTTTGGGTGCAGGTGAAAAGAATTGAGCAGAGTGTTCTGATGGAGGCACTTTTAGGTTTAAGGAAGAATCAACAGATTATGAGCTCTAGACGGGGTGTTACTGTTCTGTACAGTCAGCGCGTTTATTTCAACGGCATGAGTGTTGAGGATTAATTTAACCATTTCATTAATTTTAAAACTTAAATTTATCCAATAGTCAAGTAAGCTGTGAGAAAAAATGAACCCAAACGTATAAAATGTCTTGCAATTTGCAAACCAAACTCATGTAAATTGCATGGCATACACTTCCGCGTTTACAATACACATCTATAAAGGCATTTGCCAAAGGGACTTACTTTGCAAAACCAAGTTTATTTAGCACAGCGTGAACTTCTTTTCTCTTTATTCAAATCCATCAAGCCAACAGACTTTTAGGTGGCAAAAATGAGCACATAAAAATGAGAAAAAGTAGAGGAGGAGGAGTTGAGGGAGGGGAGATGGAAGAGTCTAGAAAAAGTAGAGACGGGATTGAGAATAAGATTGACTTTTTTGTGTTTTGTCAATAAATAGAGCAATTCCCCAAAAAAACATAATATTTTTGGGTGAAAGCCGAAATCTTTAGTACAAATAATGTTGTTTATTTATCTTGTATGTGGATTAAGCGTGAAATCCCAATATATTTCTGAATTCAGAAGCTCAAGGTACATTCCAATTCAAATCCAACTTATACCGGAATTTTTGAATGTCGGAATTGATTTGAACTTATCAAAATTAGAGAGTGTGAGGTGAGGCTTGATTATCCAAATGGGGCATCATGGGAAGTTAAACCAAGGCTTGATGAAGAGGCGCGTCATGGTGGTCGTCTGCTCATGACACAAGGGTGGTTAGGATGTTGGGAAGCAACGGACACAATGGTTTTCGAGCTTGTCAATGCAAGGACGGATCTATGTATTGGTTAAAAACTATTTATGACTATAATAATCTTTAAAAAGAAATTGATTTTGGGGGGTTTGGATATTTATTATTTTCTTATATATGTGGAGGGGAGCTCTACTTGCCACGTCATTCCTTTAATTGGTGGATAATGATCTATGTGTATGAAATTACAAAGATACCCTTGCCACATCATTATAGTTAACAAACTTTTGGACAGAGTTAACGGCAGGGGGCAAAGTGAGTCACCAATCCATGGTCAAGCGGGGTAAGTGGGCCACTTTACGTTTTGGAGGGCAATGTGAGATTTGACTGTAGTTTCAAGAGGTATTGGTGTAAATAAGCCTAAATTAATATCAAAACCAACATGGGAAATATTGAATGTCTGCCAACACAAATTTTAAGGCTTATTTGTTGAAATGGCCCATGTAGTTTTCAAATAGTCTCAATTGCCCTATGACATTTCAAATGACTCAATCTCCCTCCTTAACTTCTTTTAAATGACCAAGGTTACCCTATTCTGTTAGTTTTCAGGTAAAAACCGTTAAATTTGTTGAAGTGGCATGAATATTTTGGTAAATTTAACTAATAGAAATTAAAAAATTCAAATTAAATATAAAAAAAATGATTGAAATTATTTAAAAGATGTAAAAAAATAAAGATAAAAATGTCTCCTTTTTTTTCTTCTCCCTAATCATCACCCCCCACCACCTTCTCCCTCATCTCAACCAGCCTCACCGCCCAAACAACACACACCTAAAGAAAACCCACCCCAAATTCTCCCTTCTCTCTCTCTCTCTCTACTCAACCGCTACCCCCCAGTTGTCAAAAGGCTCAAAACCCACAAACAAAATCACTAAATTGACTTCAAATTCATATATGTGGTAGTCCAAATCTCCATTGGTGGCTGCCAAAGAAAGAGAGACAATTGGGAGGTGAGAGACAAAGGGTGAATTGTTGGTTAGGATTTGATGATGTCGAAGAGCGAAGGAGGAGACAGCGGCGAAGACAAAGGGTAGAGGGCGAGTTGGGTTTTTGACTACTGGAGAGAGAGAGAGAGAGAGAGAGAGAGAGAGAGAGAGAGAGAGAGAGAGAGAGAGAGAGAGAGAGAGAGAGAATGGTTGCTGGATTTTTTTGGTACCTTTCTTTTGACAGAGGAATGGGGATGGGGAAGGTGGGGGTTGATTGGGCGGTGGGGCTGGTTGAGATGAGGGAAAAGGTGGTGGGGCTGACGATTGAAGGGAAAACAAAAAGAAAAAAAGAGGAGATATTTTGATTTTTTCTATTTAAACCCCGCACTTCTCTTTGTTCACCCCAACTTCTACTTCAAATTTTCATAATTTCTAAGTAAACCCCATTGTCTTCCCAAACTACCCCTAAACACACACCCATGAGAAAAACAATAAATAAATAAAACTCATTAACCTCACCCCTCACCCCACTTTCTCCTTCTGTGTGGTGTTATGTCGAGCAGAAGCAATCGGAGCCTTACTCCGAGTGTTTGGTGCTGCAAGAGTTTTAGGCACCTCAGTCTTTTCTTGGTCCATCTCTTCTGAAACGACTCTCCTCATTCCTTTCTTGGGGTTCCATCAATTTCCACAACCACACTAGGCTCAAGCCGCCAAAGTTTTATCTTAGTTGTCCAGAACCAAATGAAAACAAATTGCATAATTAACACTATGGATTTAAGCACCTAAGTTAGTAATTACTAGAATCCCTTAAGATCATAAATAAACTAAAAACTAATGCAACAAGAAAAAATAAAAAAATACTTAATGTCACCTCTAAAAACCCATTTGCACAAATACAATTAACAATCACCAAGAACCCAGATGATAAGAACCCCAAAGAAAAGGAAAATGTAACCAAAACTTGAAGAAATATTGCACCAACTACTGAGGATCCTTTCAAATAAATACCAAAAAGAATAATAAATAACCCAGATAACAACAACGTCAGGGAAACAATTATAAATTCAGAAAAGACAAATAAAAAGATTACTCAGTGTCAAGAAGATAATGGCGATAGAATTACAAGTGGTTATCTTTATGTCTTCATGAATGACAAATGAAGAGCAGTCATGCGAGAGCTCGATGATTGCCTGGACTTTGCAAGCAATGGTTTTTGATTTTTTGTTGTTGATAGCAGTGAATTATGTTCTTAATTTGAGCAATAAGAAACCAAAGAAAGTTACGGGGTTTAAACACAATAATAAGTGGATGACTTTTTTTGTCTTTTAACTCAATAATAAAACTTAAGAGCTTAATGATTTAAGTATTGGGGTGAACAAAGAAAAGTATGAGGTTTAAATAAAAAAACTCAATATTTATATCCTTTTTTTTTATACCTATTTAAAATAATTTCAAACATTTTTATATTTAATTTGAATTTTAAATTGTTAAATTTATCAAAATACCCCACTCCCACGTCAAGTTTCAATGGGGCTTATCTTCTCTTCCTTTTATTCTGATTGGGCTTGTATTTTGTTCAAAATACCAGTGAGGGCTCTCGTTAATGGCCTTGGGCATACAGTAGATAAAACGGTATTTTGTTTTCAGAATGCATGAAGCGGCGATGAGAGACCTTTCTCTTTAGGGTTTAGGCGTTAATTAAGTTCACGGCCACACGCTCCTTTTCTCTGTTTCCGAGGCAGGTAGGTACAAAGAAACTCCCTTTTTGGTTTTGTTAGAGGCCATGGGCAATGGTTCGAACGGCCAGGAAGATGGGTTGATAATCGTTTCTATTATTTGTATTTTTAGATTTTCTAGCTATATATATGGCTTATTAATTAGTGTGATTTCATTGATGCCCAGGTTATGGCTGTTCGTTCTGTGCTTGGAAAGCTGGGTAGGAGTAGATTTATTCCCAACAATGGAAGACTTATCATGGTTGGGAGTTCTCCTACTGTTTGTTCCTCTCCTCATCACCCTTTTGATTATTATGGGGTCGTCCATGATCAAAACAAAGCGGATAAAAAAAGCAACCCTTTTCTTCTTGGATCGCTTATGAAAGAGGTGCGTCATGCGTGTGTGTATTAATTATTCACTTTCATTGCAATTCAATAATTATGTTATGGCTTTCACTTTCATTGCAATTCAATTCAAATATCAAGTGTTGATAGACTCGTGATTATTCACAGCCAGTTTATTGTCATTTGGATTTTGGAGGACAAGGACCTGTTCGTTTCGCCATTGAAGAGTTGAGGAAGAAAAGGGTTTCATTTTTTTTTGCCCTTTTTTCTTTAGTACAGATGCATTACTACAATATATGCAAGTTTTGTGGATTATTATTGACACGTTTGATATCTGTATAATGATTTGGCATCTCTTGTAGAATATCCAACTGCAGTCTGTGAGAGTGCTGAGGGTGTTAGCATGGAAAGATGTTGGCTTGCCACGATATGATTCTGACTATGATCTACTGCTGGAGGCAGTTGATGCCGATGTGATGAGATATTTCGAAGTAACAGTGTCAGTTAATTCCAGGGATGGCTTGTGGTTGGAAGACTTTTGTCTTCTCGTTGATAATAAAAAACCTATAAGATTATATCATCACCTAGGTACTATAATTATGGCATGCTGCTTTCACAATATCCTTAAGAATTTAGTATTAGTAATGTGATCATTCCAGGACTCACTTGTTATTGTAGTTTAACTATACAAACCGTCACTACAAGAAAAAGCATTAGTAGCTATGACATCAGTCGTACAGAATGGCTAGAGGTGCTATTAGTGTCTAATATCACAATGGTCACCAATAACTGTGGCTGTTAGCTATTAGCCACTGATGTTGCCCTTTAGCCACCTCATCCTATGCAACTAATTTCAGTGACTATTAAGGGTTTTTCTTTTATTGTTGATTTTTCAAGTCTTTACTTATAGATCATCCTTGAAAAAAAAAATTAGGCAAATCGTAAGCATCTAGTTGCAATGAAATAATTGACGAACATGGTTTTCTCAATTGATATTAAAATGATTACCTTCCAATCAAATAGTTATATATTTTATGATTTTTGTGATTTTGTTGCAAATATGATCTATGAGGTAAGACTTAATAATTAGAGAGTCGTGATCAAAACTCAATGCGGAGTTGGTGGGGTTAGTCTGCTAATGATATTCCTAATTATGCATATGAAGTAGTTCTTTTGGATGACAAACCCGAAAACGTGAGAATGTTGCATATTGAAGAATGAATCGAATTTTTTGCTTGAAACAGACAACTTTTTTGATGCAAATGCTAAGGCTCGAGAGCAGTTATCATTTGGTATGCGAAAAGGAAACCTCTCTCTGCTGCCTCCTTCAGCCCTCCCTCATCTCTCATACACAAACCCGGGACACAAAGAGGAAACCACCACTCCAAAACGCAGGTATTCATATCAGTTATGTTTGTTGTCGTCTTATTTTTGGGTTTCCACAGTTCAGGTATTTTTTTTAAAAATAAAAAAAAACCTTATGTGTTTGATTTTGGATCTGGATTCCTCAGAGGGTCGAACGAATGCATGTGAAGCGGCGAAACACTTCGGTCCAGCTCCCGGTGTACCTCAAAAGTACACCAAACCTTATGTCCGGTCAAAGAGAAGGAAGTTTGAGAAGGCTAGAGGAAAGAGGAACAATGAGGGCTTTAGAGGTTGAATCATTTAGAATTGAAAATGCTATTTGTAGAACCTAATTTTGCTGGTCTTTAGGTGTCTGGTATCATGTTTATTTATCTGTCTAGTAAATGTGTTGATGAAGGCATTGCTGTTTCAACAAGAGAGAAGCTCACTACCATCAATCTCGAAAACTATCCATGTGTATGGTTTTCTGCAACCTGAATGGCCAAAATATTTAAAATTGTGTTATTTTTTTTCTTTCGAGATGCTTAGCTGCAGCTTGCGGAAGTTGAAATTAGTGTGTTCAGAAATGTGAAAGGTGGTGTATGTGAGAGTTATGCAACTCCTAAACCCCATAAAGGTGGCTCGTGTAAGTACATAGGTGAAAGATAGTAGCAGCATTAGGAAGATTTTGATTGTTTATTGAAAGTCCAATGTCTGATAAATAAAAGAAAATTTGTGGCTATGAGATTCCGTAGATCATATGATTCTTCCTGAGAATGTGTGTTTGTCTAAGTCCACCGCATATTGATTCCCTTTGTTACCATCCACTTGATACTTAGAGCCTCCTGACCACATTATAGTGCATTGCCCAGACTTAACCTTTTTGGTTTGTAGTTTGTTAAAAATGCTAGGGTATATACCATAATGCGAATTCCATCATCCTGAATCCTATTCTACTCATTAGTAGGCATTTTATAATCTCTACCAAAGTTATGATTGGCTTATCTGTTGCATCTGAAATTGTGTTGTTAAATGTCTCATAAGGGTTGTTGATGAGCATGTCGCATTTCACATGTACTTTGGGAGCTCAGATTGTTTGGTCTTCTTAATGTTGATAACGGGAGTTTGTTAAAACTAATTGTTAACGGACCTACAACACCTTATGAAGGACCGTATGAGTGCATAGGTAACTATATTATGCCATGCTATATTGATTATTAATCCTTACAAATTTAATTTCTCAGATTTTTAAAAGGTCCATTAAAGTATAGATTGGATATTTGTCACCGTGCCTTGAAACATGCTCGGTCCATATATTAATTTGCAGACGGCAATTCTTCTTACACATTTTTCTTTATGATATATGGTACTTTCAATGCACTGATTGGCATAAGTGTTTCATTGTCATTTCCACATACCAAAGGCACATGAAGAAGAAGATTCCAAGAAAGACAAGCAGAAATTGTCTTGAGGAAGAGATACTAAGCACTTTACTACACATGTCACCTCTCCGATAATATTAAGCCGCATAAATTTGACAGGGAGCTGATATTTATATTTATTCTTGAAACAAATATTCATGGTGTATATTCATTGTTTACACCATAATCAACCGAGCATATCCAGTCTCAAAACAACTAGCACCAAGGCAGACACGCCTTCTCTCATGCCGAAGGAAGACATTCTTCCGAGGTGCCAAGCACCTGCCGAAACTCCCGACCGCCCAAGCTCACAAACTGCTAAACCTAATTCTCATGACACGTGTCACCACCGCGGCGACTTGCACAAAGTCCCACATCGGAAATCTACACCAACCTCCCACTTTCACTTCCTTATAAAAAGGGAACAGTACCCTAGTAAGAGGGGAAACTACTTTTCTGCCTTTTACTATTACTCTGCAAAAGTTATCCTTCTTAGCTGACTTAAGCATCGGAGAGCCTTCGGCCGGCACCACATCGGTGCCCGGAGCTTAACGACTGCTTCCTCTATTTTGTCTTCTGCAGGCTAGCCTTTATTGAAGGCCCGGACCCTTTCCCTGCTGAAGGCAAACACACCCTTTTTCTCTAAGTTGACCCTCTCTGAAAAAGAGCATCAACAGTTTGGCGCCGTCTGTGGGAAGCGATACTTAAATCCCATTTTTCTCTACCAGCCCAGCTGGCTCCTTCTCCTATCCGGCCCCGTCGCCTCTTCTTCACTCCACACTCAGCTATGCCTACTGAGGATAGCCAGGGGACTCAGCACCATATCCCCCATGGGGGTACCTCCCAGAGGAGACCTTCAGCAGATGCCAATCTCCAGGCAGAACTGGAGAGCCTCCGCGCCAGTGTCACCAGGATGTCTGAGAAATATGACCATCTTCATGCTAAGAACGTCGAGCTCGAGCATGACTACCGCACACTGAAGCGTAACTGGGAGATGAATCAGACCCAAGGCTCCCAACGCAGCCCTACCCAGGAACCTGAGCGTACACAGCCAAACCAGCAGGAGCACTCCCACCACAATGTCCCAACCCAGCCTAGGCCCAGCAAGGGTAAAGGCCCCCTCTATCCGGAAACGACCAAGTCGCGGCTTCTTCGCATCTCCCCGCCAAGGAACCGGCCCCCATGAACCAACAAAGGTCTACAGGGATTGCAGGGACCGTATCCTGGACCGTCAAACGGAACCCCCTCTTATCTCTGTTAATCTCCAAGACCCAAAGATGAAACACCTGGGCCCCCCGCCAAGGCCTACCCAACTACCCCTTAGAGAAGGTATAGGGGACTCGGAGAATTGGGGGCAGGATTACTTAGAAGACTACGAGTCTTATCACACCGAGGCATCCGAAAGAATTCTACCCAGTCCATGGCCACCCACACACCAGACCCCCAGCACCCGAGACTCTCCCTCATACCGACCCGACAATGAGGCTTCTCTTCGAGAAAGTCCGGCGCCTGGAGAGCGAACAGCAGCGCAACCATCAACCCCTCTGGGCAAAGCCACGACCTGGGCCCTTTACCGAACGCATCCTTAATTACCACCAGGAGAAGGACATCCAGCCACTCCGCATCGCCTTCTACACTGGCACGCAGGATCCTCTCACCCACATACATTCTTTCTAATCTGCCCTGGGGTGTAAGGGCCTCACTGACGAAGGCATGTGCCTCATCTTCCCTTCCACTCTCAGTGGCGCGGCCTTGAACTGGTTTTACAGGCTGAACCCCCGCACCATCAACACATTTGACAGTCTGAAACAGGCCTTCCTGGACCATTTCATGATCCGGACCGATCGCCTCTACTCCGCGGACGACCTATACATGCTTAGACAGGGTGAGGACGAGCCCCTTCGGGAGTATGCAGCCAGGTTCAGCCACGAATACTCCCGCTGCCCAGATACTGATGATCGTGTCGCCTTCGGTGCTTTCAAGAGTGGCCTCCGAGAATCCAACTTTCGGTACCTGGTCCACAACAACCCTTGGAACACATATGCCGAGCTGATGAAGCAGGCAGCAGTTCATGCCAAGGCTGAGTACTTCAACTCCAAGCGCAGCCCAGCCACCCCGGCGCATAATCCTTTTGCTGATCCTCCACCTGCTTCGGTACCCATCCCAGCTCCACCTCAACATTCTGCCCCTACACCAAGCACCCAGGGTGCCCAGCACCCCAAGAGGAAGGATAGCTACCAGCATACCTTCAACAATAACAAGCGGGGCAGACATGGGAACCACCACCAGTCTAGTGGAAGCAACCCCCCCAGGACAAATGACCGGGCCCCACTCCCATTCTCACCCAAACCCAGGTTCGAGGTCTTCACCACCCTCAACACTACCTATGAGAATGTCCTAGTGCACGAGGCACCTATCATACCTCAGCCTCCACCCCGGAAACCAGGCAGCAAGCCTATGCCTAACACAGGAGTCTTCTGTCGCTTTTATCAGTTCGGTGGCCATGATACCGAATCTTGTGTTGCCTTGCGCAACATCATTAAGGGACTTATTCGCGAAGGGAAGCTGGATAAATACGTGCACAACCTCCCACCCCCACCTAACCCTCACCAACGGCAGATCAACATGATCTCAACCATCAGTGGTGGCCCAACCATGGCTGGAACCTCCAACAACTCCATCAAACATTATGTTCGCTCCACCTATGCGCACCAGGTCTTCAGCACTGAGCAGGGACGCTTGCCGAAGACACAAAAACAGGCTGGGCCTCCATTACCTTCTGCGAGGAGGAGGAGCGTGGCGTTATCCTCCCTCATGATGACCCAATCATTATCCGCGCCGACATATCTAACTTTGACGTTGGGCACATCTTGGTAGACACTGGCAGCTCGGTCAGTGTGATGTTTGCTGATGCCTTCAATGAGCTCCAGGTCCCGTCTCATTTGCTCGACCGAAGCGTCACACCCCTGGTGAGCTTTTCGGGGGATGTGGTCCAACCTATCGGGAGCATTCATCTCCCTATCTCTATTGGAGCAGCACCCCAGCGAACGACGGTCACCACTCCCTTCCTCATTATTGATTGCCCCACAGCCTACAACGTTATCTTGGGACGCCCTGCCATGGCCCAGATGAAGGTTTTCATTTCCACACATATGCCACTGTTGAAATTTCCTACCCCCATTGGCACGGGCACGGTGCGCGGTGATCAACTTGGTGCCCGAAGTTGCTATGCTTCGGCAATAAAGTCTACTAATCGCCAACATAGGGGTGAGGCCCTAGCGGTAACCCAGGCCCTAGCCCCACCTCAAGCTAGCACTGAGCGCCCAGAAGACCCTAGGGAGGAATCTACCACCCAACAGGCCGAACCTGTGGAGGACCTCGAATTGGTCACTCTCCATGAGGATATCCCGGATCGACAAGTCAGGATCGGCACCTCCCTCTCACAAGAGCTTCGCTCTGATCTTATTGCCTTCCTCCGCCTCAACTCTGAAGTCTTTGCTTGGTCTTACAACGATATGCCGGGCATATCACCTGACGTCATCTCCCATAGGCTAAGCATTAATCCTGCCGTCCGACCCGTTCGGCAGAAGCGTCGTGCTTATGACCCAGAGCGGTATGAGGCCATGAAGGCGGAGGTGGATAAGCTGAGCCCCATTGGATTCATCAAGGAGGTGGATTATCCCACCTGGCTAGCCAATGTGGTAATGGTACGTAAACCAAGGAAGGGTTGGCGCATGTGCGTAGACTACACAAATCTCAACCGGGCTTGCCCAAAGGATAGTTTCCCCCTACCCCGCATTGACCAGCTAGTTGACGCCACAGCTGGCCACGCCCTCCTCAACTTCATGGATGCTTACTCAGGGTACAACCAAATCTTCATGCATCCTGAGGACCAAGCTCATACATCCTTCATCACCGACCGTGGCCTTTACTGCTACAAAGTCATGCCATTCGGCCTCAAGAACGCCGGGGCTACATATCAGCGTCTGGTGAACAGCATCTTCGCTCCACTAATTGGCAACACCATGGAGGTTTATGTTGATGACATGCTGGTCAAGAGTCGCACTGCTGACCAGCACATCCCCAACCTCTCTGCCATGTTCACCATTTTGAAGCAGTATAGGATGCGGCTCAACCCCACCAAGTGTGCATTTGGGGTGGCCTCCGGCAAATTCCTTGGCTTCATGATCAGCCAAAGAGGTATTGAGGCCAACCCAGAGAAGATCCAGGCTATCTTGGACATGACGATACCCAAGACGGTCAAGGACATTCAGAGCCTTACCGGGCGTGTCGCAGCCCTGACCAGATTTATCTCTAAAGCCACTGATCGTTGCGCCCCATTCTTCAAGGCACTTAAGGGTAGCAAACGCAGCATTACCTGGACTGCCGAATGTGACCAGGCATTCGGCGAGCTCAAGGCGTACATGAGCCGAGCCCCTTTATTGTCAACCCCTGAGTCTGGGGACGTCCTCACCATCTACCTCTCTGTCTCGGCTACAGCGGTTAGCTCAGTGCTCATTCGACCACACGAAGGTGCTGAGCATCCGGTGCACTATGTGAGCAAAGGATTGCAAGATGCGGAGATTCGATACCCAGACATTGAGAAACTTGCTTTCGCCCTGGTAGTTTCGGCTAGACGCCTCCGGCCATACTTTCAAGCTCACACCATCCATGTCTTAACCAACCAACCACTCAGGCAAGTTGCAGAAGCCAGAGACTTCTGGGAGGTTAGTTAAGTGGGCCATTGAACTTGGTGAGTTTGATATCCACTACAAACCCCGCCAAGCCGCAAAGGGCCAAGCCGTGGCTGATTTCATATCTGAATTCACCGAACCCCATACTCTGGCCAGTCCTCAGATTGCAATCACGCCTACTCCTACCTCGAACCAGGTCCACGTCGCCAGCAACGGCTCCCTAGATTTAACTCAGCCCTTGTGGACCTTGTATGTGGATGACTCTTCCAATGCCCAGGGATGTGGAGCTGGCCTCGTGCTCATATCCCCAGACAAGGTTGCCCTTGAGTACGCCCTCCGCTTCAAATTCCACACCTCAAACAATGAGGCCGAATACGAAGCACTTTTAGCCGGCCTTCGCCTATCCAAATATTCAGCGACTCGCAGCTTGTTGTCCACCAAGTCAACCAGGACTTCACGGCCAAGGACATCTCCATGACAGCCTACCTCAAACATACCCGCCACCTGCTTACAACTTTCAATGCTTATCTCATAGGCCAGGTGCCACGCTCTGAGAACAGCTATGCTGATGCATTAGCAAGGCTAGCCTCGGCGATTGAGCAGGGCATAGGTCGAAACATCCACATCGAGTTCTTGGACCAGCCCAGTACACGGGCACCACTCATTTGTGTCATCGATCAAAGCCCTACATGGATGGACCCTATCACTCAGTTCTTGCAAAACCAGACACTACCTGCTGATCCTGCTGAAGCGCGGCGTGTTCGCTATCGTTCCGCCCGATACTTGATCATCAATGGTGCCCTATACAAGCGCGGCTTCAGCCTCCCCTACCTTCGGTGCCTGACCCCAGAGGAAGGTACCTATGTCCTGAGAGAGATTCATGAGGGTATCTGTGGCAACCACTCAGGCGCTCGCTCCCTAGCACACAAGATCATTCGGCAGGGATACTTTTGGCCATCACTTCACACTGATGCCCAGACCTTCACCCAGAAGTGCGATAAGTGTCAGCGATTTGCCAACATCCCACAACTTCCAGCTGAGCCATTGACAGCCATGGTCAGTCCTTGGCCATTCGCCCAATGGGGACTTGACCTCATTGGACCTATGCCTGAGGGCAAGGGCCAAGTCAAGTATGCAGTTGTAGCTGTGGACTACTTCACCAAGTGGGCTGAAGTTGAGGCCTTAGCCACCATCACTGCAGCCTGCATCGAAACTTTTGTTTGGCAAAACATCGTCTGTCGCTTTGACATCCCCAACACCATCGTCACGGACAATGGCCGACAATTTGACAACGCAAAGTTTAAGCAATTTTGTTCCAACCTCAAGATAAAGCTTTGCTTCGCCTCCCCAGCCCATCCTCAATCTAATGGCCAGGTGGAAGCTGTGAACAAGATCATCAAGAAAACTCTAAAAACTAAGCTTGACAAAGCTAAGGGTTGCTGGCCGGAGCTACTCCCAGAGGTTCTTTGGTCTTATCGCACCACCTTCCGGACCTCAACAGGAGAAACACCTTTCTCTCTCTCCTTTGGTACCGAAGCAGTGGCACCAGTGGAGATTGGCCAGCCCACATACCGCACCTCCACTTATGAGGCCGAGGCCAATGACGAGCAGCTAGCCTTGAACCTCGACTTCATTAACGAGCTTCGTGACCAATCCAACATGCGCAATGTCGCGTACAAACAGCGCATCGCTAGTACTACGATTCCCGAGTCAAAGCCCGTGCTTTCAAACTTGGGGACTGGGTCATGCGTAAGATTTCCTTGGCCACCAAGAATCCCACTGAAGGTACCTTGGACCCAACATGGGAAGGTCCTTATGAGGTTACCAAAGTCTGCCGCCCCGGCACTTATCAGCTTCGTGATACCAAGGGCAAGACCTTGCCTCATCCTTGGAATGCTGCTCACCTCAAGTACTACTATAAGTAAACATACCTAGACTCTAGGCCATTATGTTTTCTTAGACTTTGGTCTCGAGCCTTGACTCAACCAACTCTTGTATTTTTTGCCTTCCGGCACATATTTAATGAACGCCCGACCCTGGCTCATTTTCATCAATCACATGGTTCTCATTTTGCTAAGCACAATTGATATCAAATGACAACAAGTCTCATATCATAGCACATCAAAATAACCTTGCCCCAGGCAAGGCAAAATGTTCATACATAATCAAAATAAACATCAAGTGTTTAAACTAAAAAGCTAGAATACATAAAGAAGGCAACGCCTTCAGGACTCGATCGATGGAGCATCCGTGATGGCTGGCTCTGGCTCTGGCTCTGGAGCGGCATCAGTGGTACGACTAGATGAGGGAGGCTCGCCACTCGTGTCAAAGTTAATCTCCACTGAAGGGTTGAACATCGCCACCCTTCTCCTCCTAACCCAGCTGCATCGCCACCATCTGATCCATGATGTAGCTCCTCAGCTCCTCCGACCCCCGAAACGACTCGATCACTTCGACCCGGGCAGCAGCTACCTCCTCGGCCCTCGACCGCTTCAGCTCTTCCATCTCCTTGGCCATCGCCGCTTTCTGCAGCACCAGGGTGTTCTTCTCTTGGATGGCCTCCTGCGCCTCCGCTATCTTATCCTTGGCCATCTCATTGCGCCTCTTCAACCTCTGGATCTCCTTATCCGTCTTGGCCATATTCACGTACATCTCGCCATAAGCCTGCAACACAAAGCATGATCAGTTAAAGGCAAATTCGAATTATATGAACAAAGTCTTAAGGCAAGCCAACTTACATAGGCCTGGGTCAGGAGCGTCTTCTGGGCCCGATCTGCATAGGAGGTAGCCGAGGTCCTCGCCAGAACCTCTGGGTCACTCTTCACGCCTTCCAGGAAGACGTTCACCAAGGGAACCTCATGCCGATGCATGGCCAGGTTCACCTCCTTTTTCTGCCGACGCAGCCCAGAGAAGTCCACCTTCTCTACCCCCTCAGCGTAAACATCATCCATACCAAAGGGGAGCTTCAGCGGCGCCTGCGGGTCAAAGGGAGGAAGCCTCGGCCCTGTCCCCATCACACTCCGGTGAGCTTCATCCAGTGCTCTCTTTTTTCCCAGCACATCAGAGACCAGGCCCTCATCATCTCTGGGACGCCTCCCAGCAGCCTGTTGAGCACCTCCCTTCTCTGCCTTCTTGGCCCGAGACTCCCTCAGCCATTTCTGCATCTCGGGATCATCTAGATCCATGGCCACCTTCGTGCTCCCCCTTATGATCCCTGCCACTGCACATCAAAAGCCAAGTTAGTTTCAACTACAAAAAGAATCATAAGACAAACAAAAACAGTGACCCAGGTACTTACTCCCTTGCAAGAGTCCGGACTCGTACAGGTTCTTCTGGGTGACTAAGTTTCTACGCTCACGCTGGGTCTCCGACAACAGTGACCTCACTCTCTCAACCTCGTCTTCTCGCTCCTTGGAGATCGGTCCCCACTTCACCGAACCTGCACCACAGTTCAGATATCAACTCAGCCATTTATGCTTGCACAAGCAAAACAAAAAACAAAAATAAAGACCCAAGCGTCAAAACACTACAACACAACTAGTCTTAAGGGATGGGGCTAAGGACCTATCGACTGGAAGTGGGTTGGAATGTGTCTGGAGACGGTCTTCCCTGGAGGACACTCCCAATCACCATAGGCCAAGCACCATCTGTTCCGCCAAGACTTCTGCGTACTCGGCTTATGCCCAATAAAATAACCTCTCTCCTTTGCCTTCCGGCAATTGGCTTGTACCCAGCCAAAGGTTCCCTGTTGCTTGGAGATCGAATACAAGTACATAAACTGCTCAAATGTTGGCTCCCCCAACCCAACCAACCACCAAGCAATGTAAACTCCATGCAGAAGTAGCCAAAAGTTGGGATTGTATTGCCCCGGCGCATACCCCAACTTGGCCAGCATCATCTATACCCAAGGATGAAACGGCAGTCTGAGACCATGCTGGTACATATCGGTGAATATCATCACTGAACCCTCCGGAGGATATCTCACTATATCCGCAGCACTGGGTAACCTCAGGCCCACATAGGATGGCACACTATAATCTGTCCGAAGCTCAACCAACTTGGCTTATGTGAGTGTATTCCGCTTCCCCAATGGGACACCAACCCGGATGTCCACCCCCTCTGAAGCTGAAACCACAGCTATACCTACAGACTCTGATGGTGATGTCTGATTGCTCGAGCCCACCTCCGGTGTATGTGCCAAAGCTAGAACCCGATCAACACTGGCTTATAACACTTTATACTTCTTCTGCATCTCTCTATATGCCTCTGACCCAGACTCTACTGATGGCCCAGCCATCTCACCCTTATGAACTACCATCCTAGCTTCTATAAGCCCTTCTACAAAACCCTCTGTCTGGGAACTCTCATCTTCAGAACAAACATACTCACTGGCCTCTTCACTCTCAGACATCTACAACATGCAGAAACAAGAAAAGGAACTAATGCACATGCAAAGAGGATCCAAGCACAAAAACACAAAATTGGACGGCCTCTACATGCTTTTTGATCTAGATGCATACATTCAACATGTTCATACTCATGCTCAAGGTGTCCATCCTATCTTCAACATGTTCATACTAAAAGTTGAATTTCATTTCGAAAATTTAAGGGAAATGAGGTCTAACCTTGTTTGCACCACCACGCGAAAATCTCCTTGGCCCTAGCACCACCACCAAAATCTCACCAGAAATCTTTTTCTCCTTCTCACTTTCTGAAAATCTTTCTCAAAAATCTCCAAGTGTGATGCCTACGTCACTCCAAGTTCCTATTTATAAGATCCCAGGGCACAAAAGAAACCCTAGCACCCTTTCACCTTCCCTCTCAACTCCTTGTACCTACACACAATTGGACATTCAAATTCCAAGTTATTCAAATTTCAGATTAGTCAAAAAAAAATTTTAAAAAAAAACACTTGCCCAACTCTCGTTGGGCTCGAGGGATAAGAGGCCCAACCTCCTAAATTTATAGACCTAGCTCCAAGTCTACATGGTGTGACAACGGGCCAGCTCCAGGTCCGCCTAACTAAATGCCCCGCTCCAAGCCCTCCTTGCCGAAGCAAGCCTAGCCCCAATGGTACTAAAGCTGTGCTCACAAACCAGTGAACTCACAAGGGACCAAAACCCACGGTGCCTGGGTAGAAAGCTGCCAACGCACAGCCCAACTCCAAGTCGGAGGCCCAGCTTTGCCAAAAAAAAACAATAATTAAAAATGCATGACTCCAAGGCCTTGGCCCAGCCCACTCCAAGACAGAAGACAGGTCTCGGACATGCCAAAGACTCAGGTACAGACTTAGGTCAGCCCCAAAATTTTTCCCAACTTACCCTTGCCGAATGGCAAGGGTCATGCTGACCCTTTTTGGACCCCCCCCCCCTCTCTCACCTCCACTTCCTTGCCCAGCCATTTCTAAAGCTCATCTACGGTTCAGCCCAAGGCAGGACCTAGGTCCTCATGAGCCCACACTCAGTCTTTTTGAACCTGCCGAAGGTCTAACTCACCAAAGTTTTGTCCCACACAAAAAAAAATAAAAAAATAAAAAATTCACAAGGACCCAGCTCTTTCCTTGACAAACAGAGGAGTCATGATGACCTTCAAAAGTATCCTCACCTTGCTCAGACTTGGAACCAACTCAGGACAGAGGAGCCATGATTTGCTCTAGACACCCAAGCTGCAAGAAGAACCCCACTCCTTGGTCACGAATCCAGCCAAACCTGCACAGCCAAGTCGAAAACAAAAAAAACTGATCAGGACACCCCTGCTAAAACAACGAGGCCAAGGATCCGCCCAATTCTCACCTGCTAAAACAGAGAGTTGTTGCAACTGCCCCAGCCCCTATTTTTGCTCAAACCACCGCAAGGATGCAGACCCAGCTCCGGTTCTTTGTGAAAACCATGCACTTAGACCCAAGTCTTACCAACGGCTCAGCTCCACTCTCAAGTTCCTCAGCTCCAAAGCTAGACCAGCTACAAAGCCCAGCCCCGAAGACACTTTAGCTTACAAAAAGGCAGACCCGAACACAGGCTGCGGAAATTGCGAACTTGCTGAATAGAAAGCCCAGCTGCAAGGACCCAGAGATCAGCGCTTCAGCCCCCAAATTCTCAAGAACCCAGCTCCAAATTTGATCAAGGCACCCGAATCTTTTCTACCAAAGACCCATCTCTAAATTTCAGCTCCAAAGGCCACGACAAATCTGCCAAAGAAAACACCAACAGCTCAGCCGATTTCTACAAGGATTCAAAAACAAAAACAAAAAATAATAATAATAAAAAGAAGTTCAAAGAAGAAACATGCTCAAGACACCCATGGTGTGCCCAGCTCTTATTCCCAACCCATATTTTCCGAACCAAAAACGACAAGAGACCTTACAAAACTTTCAATCAACCCTTGTCGAACGGCAAGGGCTGAACCTTGGCTAGTGAAGGCACAAGAACAAACAAGGGTCCTAGCTCCAAGCTCACTCAACTCCGACCCGAGTCTTCAACACAAAAGCCTGGCCAAGCTGCCGCAGCAGGTCCCGGCTACACCTATCCGAAGCCACGGCCCGGCACCACCCTCTTGCCGAACTCTGAGCTCACCAGCGGAAGGATGAACAAGATGAAACCAGCCTCCCCCCAAGCTCCTCCTTGCCGAACGGTACCAGCTCCGATCTCTTCCTTCCAAGAATCAACTCTCAAGGGCCAGCTCAAGAACAAAACACACCCTTGCCGAATGGCAAGGGCTGTGTGGAAGGAAAATGGGGGACTAAAAATGGATGCTACTTCACGACAGCTCAGCTTAGCCTCACCGATTGGCTGTTCTGCCGAAAAATGAAAAGGCCTCGAACACCCAAGAGCTCTCACAGACCAGATCTTGACGGAATCATTGATCCCCCTTGCCGAATGCCTATACCCCTTTCTAACTCTAAGCCCTAGCTATTTTCAAATTTCGCTAGACTTAGAAAGCCCAGCTACCTTGCCAAAACACAAAACTCCTAAACCAGCTCAGCCTTGCCGAATGAAGAGGAAGCTACAAGAAAAGAAAAAAAAAGTCCCAACCATTGCTTGCCGAACGGCAAGAGCTATTAACACCTATTTATATACCCCCTTCTAAAAGACCAAGCCCTAGCCCTTCTATCCCAATCTTAGCCTCTTTACCGAAGGTACAAAGTCCCAGCTACAATATCACCTTCTCTCCCAATCTTGGCCTCCTTACTGAAGGTACAAAGTCCTAGCTACAATATCCCAAGGGCCTAGCCACACAAAAAGCCAGCTCATGCCAGGTACCTAGCCCTTTTTATTCCACCTTGCCAAACGGCAAGAGCAGCCAAAACAATTTTTTATAAACCTAACAAAAAAGGCCCAGCCTTTTTGCTCAAACTACCTTCCCAAACTCTGCTTGGGCAGGCTTAGCCCTTATTGCCAAACGGCAGGGGTCATGGGCATGGCCACACACCCCACCAAAACCCCCTTTTTTGGACATACCTCTTTGAAACCCTTTGCCAACAAAGCCCACACCCAGCCTAGGCTATTTCGGCCAAGACAAAACCATCACTTGGTTAACAAACGGCATGAACTGAGTCAACAATCACTGAGGCCCACAGATTTCCTTGCTGAAGCTTCAAAAACCGAGGTCTACTTTTCTTTTAAAAATACCCAGCTACCAACAATCACTGAGGCTAACACAACTTTTATCATACCTTCCAAGTGTTAACACAACTTCTAGCTTGACAACTTGGGGGACTAGGGACTGCCCTACGGCTCCCACTGAACCTGGAATGCTCGGTCATGATCACGCAAAAGCTTACAAGTTCCCAACCCAGAAGTCACTTCTTGACCGCGAACTTGGGGGACTACTGTTTACACCATAATCAACCGAGCATATCCAGTCTCAAAACAACTAGCACCAAGGCAGACACACCTTCTCTCATGCCGAAGGAAGACACTCTTCCGAGGTGCCAAGCACCTGCCGAAACTCCCGACCGCCCAAGCTCACAAACTGCTAAACCTAATTCTCATGACACGTGTCACCACCGCGGCGACTTGCACAAAGTCCCACATCGGAAATCTACACCAACCTCCCACTTTCACTTCCTTATAAAAAGGGAACAGTACCCTAGTAAGAGGGGAACTACTTTTCTGCCTTTTACTATTACTCTGCAAAAGTTACCCTTCTTAGCTGACTTAAGCATCGAAGAGCCTTCGGCCGGCACCACACCGGTGCCCGGAGCTTAACGACTGCTTCCTGCAGGCTAGCCTTTATTGAAGGCCCAGACCTTTTCCCTGCTGAAGGCAAACCCCCCTTTCTCTAAGTTGACCCCTCTCCAAAAAAGAGCATCAACATTCATCATGAGTTTTTTTATTTTGTATTGTTGACAGAGCACCAGTTTAAGTTTTGCTTTTTATTAAAGATTGAGATTTTGTCTTGGATATACTTTAAAGAGGGAGGGGATGTTTAGAGATAAGCCACTGCCCAACGAGGCCGCCTATAGGTGGTAGGATAGGGTGGGTGGTACCGCTCAGAAGTTTCATCCAAGCATGAAGTAATTCATAGTAAAAATTAGGGGTGGCATTTTAAACCGAAAAAACCGAAAAACCGCAAAAACCAACCGACAATTTACCGCAATGAAACCGCAATCGCGGTAAACTGAACCGCATTTGCGGTTGCGGTTGCGGTATTTGATTTTCAAAACTTGCGGTTACCGCAAACCGCAAAATATAGCCGCACGGATGATGATGTTGAATTCTACAAGGAAATGGAACATATGACAACTTGTAAGTAATTAGTTTATTTATGCTAATGTTATTTATGCTTCTTCTTATAATAAAATGTACTAAACTATGTTGTTTTATTTGTAGATAACATTGGTGCTCAAACAACACAACGGGGTTCTTCAAATCCACTCACCACCAACACTTGAGTTTGTAACATTGGTGCATTGCATTTTCCTTTTAGTTTGTAACTTTAATTAACTTTGAATTGTATTTTTCTTTTTGGTTGTAACTTTAATTCATTTTGCTTTGCATTTTCCTTTTGGTTTGTAACTTTAAAGGATTTGAAATTGGAATGCTTGAGAAGTTTAACTTTAATTGGAATGCTTGGAATTGTAACTTTAATTTTCTTAGGTTGTGAATGCTTGAGAAGTTGAGGAGATTGTGAATTTATATATGCTTGAGAAATTGAGGTTGTGTATTTATTTATTTATGTTGTGAATTTATATTTTTGTGAATGCTTGAGAACTTGCAGTTTTAAACCGCTAATTCGCGGTAACCGACCGCATTTTGCGGTTTACCACAATGCGGTAAACCGCAAAACGCGGTTGGTTTGTGGTTTCAAAAATCACCAAACCGCAAATAGTCGGTCGGTTTGCGGTTTGAGTAAAAATTCGCGGTTACCGAACCGCAATCACCCCTAGTTAAAATACATTATTATTGCAATCTCTCTAATTACTAAACTTCATAAAATCAGTCACAGGTTAGTGAAATTATCCTTCTCAAATGAAAACCATACAAATACACAAACTAGTCAATACCAAATACAAAACCCACCTTACAATGACTCGTTTTGTGCACAGAACCGAATTGGAAATCCCAGCAACACCTACAGAAAATCACGAATTTTGTCTGTGACAGGATTGAGAAGGAGAAGGAAGTATGTGAAAAAAGTCAGAACCGAAACCAAGATTTATGGTTTTTTGAGGCCATAAAGGAGCAGAGGAGAAGAGAAAGACGTCGATTCAAGACATGAAAAGAGAGGGAACTGAGACATCGTTTAAGGGAGAGAGCATTTAACGAAGAAACCCTCTCTTTCACCGTCAAGAACCCCCTCACCAAACCCTAACATTCAATGCAGAGAGAGAACAAGAGAGTGCTGCTTAGGTTTTCGCTACAGAGGGAGAAATAGAGTGGTGGTGGCCGATGGAGAGAGAAAGCGCCGAGAGAGGAAGAGACAACTGTGACAGAGAGATGAGAAAGAGAGAGAAGCCATAAGTGTTAGGTCGGCAATCAATGGCCAATAACTCCCCAATAGATATGTTTTTATATGGAGGGCACTTTGGTCATTTCACGTCCCCCAAGTGATTATATCAAAACACAAATTGTAGCGTGATCATTTGAACACACCATTTCTGAAACGTGATTACACCAGCGTATTTCCCAAAAAAGAAAAAGAAATTTGGGGGTTAACACGGACAAAACAAACAAACCCAATAATTGAACACAAAAAAGAAACCAATCGGAATATATATATATATATATATATATAACAAGAAGATTGATACTCACGCAAAGAGAAGAACACAACAATAATAAAAATGAAAAATTCACCTCTCGTAATTTCGGGAATTGAGAAGTTTGGAAGGAGCTGCTGTTCAGATATGGAAATCCCCAAATTGAGAAATTGAATCCCAACCCTAACTAAGAAATTCAGATCGGAGGAGAAGAGAGAAGAGATAGAGATGGAGGTAGGAGGGGTTGACCAAAATACAAGACCTCTCTCACGTCATATCGCTAAAAGAGATGTTGGAAGAGCAAAGGCCAACTAAAAATTAGAGACCTTCATCCAAGTGATTGTTACCCAAGTGATTGATGGCCTTGGTTGAGAAAGATGCAATGGAATTGACACTCATATTTGAGTAAGAACATTAAAAGTGCAAGCTTGTTGAATTCAAGTAGACTTTTTTCACACACACCTATATATATATATATATATATATATATAAAAGAAAGGCGAAATCATGAGCGGAATATATAACATAGTTAAAAGAAAAATGAAAAGAAATTCATTCTTAATAGTATGTTGAAAGTTGAGAAGGGTTACTATAGTGGTTGTGGCCCTCCCCCTTCCCCATGCTTGGCACTCAAGATCGAAACCCTGGAATTTCTTTCCTTCCAATGTAATAAAAAAAAGAAGCCAATACCAAATAAAATTGTCAATTCTTTAGGATTTATAATGTTTTCATAGACTAACGTCTCTACATGACAAATGAAGTATAAAAGAAAACAGTATAACATATTAACCACATATTTATACAATATTACCATTATATTAGATAGGGGGTTTCCTAAGTTTGTCCAAATGAGCCAACCCTTGTGAGCTCATTATCTGCCTGTGCTCATTTGGGAGCTTTAGACCAAGGGAAGTGGATACAAGTGCATATTGTCAACTTTATGCGTGTTTCGAGGCCAACTTTATCGAATTCACTTTAACCCACATCAGTCATTGTCAACATCAGATTCAAACATAAATAATTGAAATTATTAATTAAATAAAAATGATATGGTAAATTCACATTTTTTTCATATTAAAAAAATTAAAATTAAAAACAAAATCAGATAATACATTCTACTTTTATGGAACTTAACTACCCATATTGATCTTTTCTTAATTATAAAAATAATAAATAATAAATAAAAAACCAATTGGCACATTCTCTTTATTGCCAAGGGGCTAGTATGGGTTATTGTGTTGTGTTTTCTAATCCTTATCGATAAGTATCAAAAAACTATTGTTTTATAAGAATTGTTGAACATGCACGATGACGTTTTAAAGCACGGTGTGGCCAAGCCCATTAAGTAGAGAGACCCTCACTCAAGCCCAATCCCAATCCCAATAAAAGCAAGAGCTCAGTTGTATGTAAAATGCCCAGCCCACTATTGACAACCGATCAAGTTGAATTGAAGAGGGAGAAATTCACAGCAAGCCTCGACTGTCAGCCACTGTTCTCTGTCTTGGTAGAGTAGGTCAGGTATACTAGCCACATATTTATACAATATTACAATTATATTAGATAGGGGGTTTCCTAAGTTTGCCCAAATGAGCCAACCCTTGTGAGCTCATTATCTGCCTGTGCTCATTTGGGAGCTTTAGACCAAGGGAAGTGGATACACGTGCATATTGTCAACTTTATGCGTGTTTCAAGGCCAACTTATCGAATTCACTTTAACCCACATCAGTCATCGTCAACCTCAAATTAAAGTAACACCTAAATGTCTCAAATAATTGATCCTATTTTTATAGAACACAACTACCAATTATCTTTTTTAATTCTTAAATAAATTTAAATTTTTTAAAAAAGGCCTCTCGCAGGCGCGGAAGCGCGTGTGGAGAGGCTAGTATATATAAAGCAAAAGGGAGAGAATGGTGAAACATTCAAAATACCAGAAAATAGCCTTGGTTAATTCAAACATAAATAATTGAAATTATTAATTAAATGAGGATGATATGGTAAATTCACATTTTTTTCATATTAAAAAAATTAAAATTAAAATTAAAAACAAAATAAGATAATACGTCCTACTTTTATAGAACATAACTACCCATGTTATCTTTTCTTAATTATAAAAATAAAAAATAAAAAAATAAAAAACCAATTGGCACATGCTCACGCATGTGCCAAGGGGCTAGTATGGGTTATTGTGTAGTGTTTTCTAAGAGTGCTGCTAAACGAACCCTAAAATTAACTGAGTACACTCTATAATCTAAGTACACCCTAATATTTAAATAAAAAAATAAAATTAACTAAACACACCCTATTAATTACCAAAAATACACCTATACACTCTTATCACATAACACCAAACCTAATGCCTCCTCTGCAGCTGGAGATGATTTTGTTGAAGATATTACTCTTCCTTCTTCCTTTTTATAGTTCCAGAATCAAATAATAAATAGAAAAAAACCAAGAGAATGTTCTAAGTTTGAAGGACTCAACTTTCATCCAATACATTATTTATTTATTTTTCCTCATCGTATGAATCATCCACAACCCCTTAAAGAATTTGTCGGAGTGCACTCCATGAAGCATGTATCTGCCAGAGTGTTATCTACCACCAATGTCCACGATCTGTATCAAAACAAACAACTTCATGACATTCCCTTGCGTTTGATTAGGGTTGAAAATAGTGAATAAAGTGTACTTATTAAAAAAATTGTTTCATAATTCAATGTATCCATTTTGGTCATTTTATATTAGGATAAATTAGTAATTCAATAAATAGTTTGGTAGTATGGTGTACTCAGTTAATTTTAGGGTTTGTTTAGCAACACTATTTTCTAATCCTTGTCAATAAGTATGAAAAAAACTATTGTTTTATAAGAATTGTCGAACATGCACGATGACGTTTTAAAGCATTGTGTGGCCAAAGCCCATTAACTAGTGAGACCCTCACTCAAGCTCAATCCCAATAAAAGCAACAGCTCCGTTGTATGTAAAATGCCCAGCCCACTATTGACAGCCGATCAAGTTAATTGAAGAGCACAGAAATTCACAGCAAGCCTCGACTCTCAGCCACCCTTCTCTGTCTTGGTAGAGTAGGTCAGGTATATTTCATCACGAATTCAATTTGGTTGATTTTCGCTCTGCTGATTTAGTGAGATATATATATATGCTTCCTATTATTATGCTTCAATTGCATTCATATCATTATAATTTGATTTGATTTGATTTAGGTTTGGAGGTTAGGGTTTTGGGATTCTTCTAGCATTGCATAATAGAGTTGGAGAAGAGGAGAGGCATATGACAACAGCTATTCGGTCTGTGGTTGGAAAGTTGGGGAGTAAATACTCTTCATGTTGTCACAGCAAAGGAAGAACAGTAGCAAACATGGTTAGGGTTGGGGACTTTCAAATTAGGAGCTCAGTAGTCAGCAACTACAATATTGACCGTGATGTCTTGTTTTCAATTTCAAAGCCGCCTCCTTCTTATGGTTATTCCTCTCGCCATCCTTTTCTTTTTGGTAACCACCATAAGAAAGCTCCGCCAGTTCTGCATCTGGAATATTTTAAGTGGCCCGGTGTAAGTATGATATTACCTTTTGCATCTAATGCTGAAATGATTTCTACTTTTGGTACATGTATGTATGCAATTCACTTTTATGGTCTTACTTCGCATTCTAACTCAATTATTGTCTTATTGCGTGTGCTTGTAACACTACTTTAGGGATTAGCAGGTAATCATCGTGTAGCTCCGTATTCTATGGATAATCCCAATACCATAGCTCTTGCCATTTTCGCTGTGAGAGAGTACAACAAGGAAAAGGTTTGAACATATCATATACCTCTTCCAATTTATTGAAAAAATAATTAAAATTTACTAATCGTAGTTTTTTTTTTGTATTAATGTTTAATTGTTTGAACTCTACATAATGTTCTCCGTTCTCTTTTAGAATGCCAAACTGCGGCTTGTGAGAGTTTTGAGGGCATGGTACAAATGTTCTGGTGCTTCGATCTCATATTTTTTTACAATGGAGGCAGTTGATAAGGGTGTGGTTAAAGTTTTCCAAGCATTGGTTTTTTCACGTAGCTGCGAAAGGGAGCTAAGATTGTTTGGTCTTCTTAATGTTGATAACGGGAGTTTGTTAAAACTAATTGTTAAAGGACCTACAAAACCTTATGAAGGACTATCTGCGTGCATAGGTAACTATATTATGCCATTCTATATTGATTATTAATCCTTACAAATTTAATTTCTCAGATTTTTAAAAAGTCCATTAAAGTCTAGATTGGATATATTAATTTGCAGATGGCAATTCTTCTTACACATTTTTCTTCATGATATATGGTACTTTCAAATGCACTGATTGGCATGAGTGTTTCATTGTCATTTCCACAGCCCAAAGGTACAAGAAGATGAAGATTCCAAGAAAGACAAGCAGAAATTGTCTTGAGGAAGAGACACTAAGCACCTTACTACACGTGTCACCTCTCCAATAATATTAAGCTGCATAGAGTTGACAGGGAGCTGATATTTTGGTAGGATAGGGTGGGTGGTACATCTCAGATTGTGGCCAATCTTCTTAACTTATTTTCGGGAATTTTTTGAAAATTCGATTATTTATTTTCAGAGCATTTTTAAAGGAGGAGTTACTGTTCATAACAGCTTTGGTTGCAGGTGAAAAAAATTGAGCAGAGTGTTCTGATGGAGGCACTTTTAGGTTTAAGGAAGAATCAACAAATTATGAGCTCTAGACGGGGTGTTACCGTAGGCCCTTGCTGGACAGTCAATGCGTTTATTTCAACCGCATGAGTATTGAGGATTAATTTAACCATTTCATTAATTTTAAAACTTAAATTTATCCAATAGTCAAGTAAGCTGTGAGAAAAATGAACTCAAACGTATAAAATGTCTTGCAATTTGCAAACCAAACTCATGTAAATTGCATGGCATACACTTCCGCATTTACAGTACACATCTATAAAGGCATTTGCCAAAGAGACTTCCTTTGCAAAACCAAGTTTATTTAGCACAGCGTGAACTTCTTTTCTCTTTATTCAAATCAATCAAGCCAACAGACTTTAGGTGGCAAAAATGAGCACATAAAAATGAGAAAAAGTAGAGGAGGAGGAGGAGGAGAGGGAGGGGAGATGGAAGAGTCTAGAAAAAGTAGAGACGGGATTGAGAATAAGATTGACTTTTTTTGTTTGTCAATAAAAGCCCCCCCCCACCCAAAAAAAAACTTAATATTTTTGGGGGTGAAAGCCGAAATCTTTAGTACAAATAATGTTGTTTATTTATCTTGTATGTGGTTTAAGCGTGAAATCCCAATATATTTCTGAATTCAGAAGCTCAAGGTACATTCCAATTCAAATCCAACTTATACTGGAATTTTTGAATGTCAGAATTGATTGAACTTGTCAAATTAGAGAGTGTGAGGTGAGGCTTGATTATCCAAATGGGAAGTTAAACCAAGGCTTGATAGAGAGGCGCGTCATGGTGGTCGCTTGATAGAGAGGCGCGTCATGGTGGTCGTCTGCTCATGACACAAGGGTGGTTAGAATGTTGGGAAGCAACGGACACAATGGTTTTCGAGCTTGTCAATGCAAGGACGGATCTATGTATTGGTTAAAAACTATTTATGACTACAATAATCTTTAAAAAAGAAATTGATTTTGGGGGGTTTGGATATTTATTATTTTCTTATATATGTGGAGGTGAGCTCTACTTGCCACGTCATTCCTTTAATTGGTGGATAATGATCTATGTGTATGAAATTGCAAAGATATTGCCACATCATTATAATTAACAGACTTTTGGACAGAGTTAACGGCGGCAAAGTGAGTCACCAATCCATGGTCAAGCGGGGTAAGTGGGCCACTTTAAGTTTCAGAGGGCAATGTGAGATTTGACCGTAGTTTCAAGAGGTATTGGTGTAAATAAGCCTAAATTAATATCAAAACCAACATGGGAAATATTGAATGTTTGCCAACACGAAATTTTAAGGCTTATTTGTTGAAATGCCCCATGTAGTTTCAAATAGTCTCAATTGCCCTATGATGTTTCAAATGACTCAATCTCCCTCCTAACTCTTTTAAATGACCAAGGTTACCCTATTCTATTAGTTTTCAGATAAAAACCGTTAAATTTGCTGAAGTGGCATGAATATTTTGGTAAATTTAACTAATAGAAATTAAAAAATTCAAATTAAATATAAAAAAATGATTGAAATTATTTAAAAGATGTAAAAAAATAAAGATAAAAATTTCTCCTTTTTTTTCTTCTCCCTAATCATCACCCCCCACCACCTTCTCCCTCATCTCAACTAGCCTCACCGCCCAACCAACACACACCTAAAGAAAACCCACCCCAAATTCTCCCTTCTCTTTCTCTCTCTCTAGTCAACCGCTACCCCCCAGTTGTCAAAAGGCTCAAAACCCACAAACAAAATCACTAAATTGACTTCAAATTTCATATATGTGGCAGTCCAAATCTCCATTGGTGGCTGCCAAAGAAAGAGAGACAATTGGGAGGTGAGAGACAAAGGGTGAATTGTGGGTTAGGATTTGATGATGTCGAAGAGAGAAGGAGGAGACGGCGGCGAAGACAAAGGGTAGAGGGCGAGTTGGGTTTTTGACTGCTGAAGAGAGAGAGAGAGAGAGAGAGAGAGAGAGAGAGAGAGAGGAGAGAGAGAGAGAGAGAGAGAGAGAGAGAAGGAATGGTTGCTGGATTTTGTTGGTACCTTTCTTTTGGGAGAGGAATGGGATGGGGAAGGTGGGGGTTGATTGGGCAGTGGGGCTGGTTGAGATGAGGGAAAAGGTGGTGGGGCTGACGATTGAAGGCAAAAAAGAAAGAAAAAAAGAGGAGATATTTTGATTTTTTCTATTTAAACCCCGCACTTCTCTTTGTTCACCCCAACTTCTAATTCAAATTTTCATAATTTCTAAGTAAGTGGTCTTCCCAAACTACCCCTAAATACACATCCATGAGAAAAAACAATAAAAAAAAACTCATTAACCTCACCCCTCACCTCACTTTCTCCTTCTATGTGGTGTTATGTCGAGCAGAAGCAATCGGAGCCCTACTCCCGGTGTTTGGTGCGGCCAGAGTTTTAGGCACCTCAGTCTTTTCTTGGTCCTTCTCTTCTGAAACGGCTCTCCTCATTCTTTTCTTGGGGTTCCATCAATTTCCACAGCCACACTAGGCTCAAGCCGCCAAAGTTTATCTTAGTTGTCCAGAACCAAATGAAAACAAATTGCATAATTAACACTATGGATTTAAGCACCTAAGTTAGTAATTACTAGAATCCTTAAGATCATAAATAAACTAAAAACTAATGCAACAAGAAAAAATAAAAAAAATACTTAATGTCACCTCTAAAAACCCATTTGCACAAATACAATTAACAATCACCAAGAACCCAGATGATAAGAACCCCAAAGAAAAGGAAAATGTAACCAAAACTTGAAGAAATATTGAACCAACTACTGAGGATCCTTTCAAATAAATACCAAAAAGAATAATAAATAACTCAGATAACAGCAACGTCAGGGAAACAATTATAAATTCAGAAAAGACAAATAAAAAGATTACTCAGTGTCAAGAAGATAATGGCGATAGAATTACAAGTGGTTATCTTTATGTCTTCATGAATGACAAATGAAGAGCAGTCATGCGATAGCTCGATGATTGCTTGGACTTTGCAAGCAATGGTTTTTATTTTTTTGTTGTTGATAGCAATGAATTATGTTCTTAATTTGAGCAATCAGCAACCAAAGAAAAGTATGGGGTTTAAACACCATAATAAGTGGATGACCTTTTTTGTCTTTTAACTCAATAAAACTTAAGAGCTTAATGATTTAAGTATTAGGGTGAACAAAGAAAAGTATGGGGTTTAAATAAAAAAACTCGAAATTTTTATCCTTTATTTATTATTTATTATTTATTTATATACCTATTTAAAATAATTTCAAGCATTTTTATATTTAATTTGAATTTTAAATTGTTAAATTTATCAAAATACCCACGCCCACGTCAAGTTTCAATGGGGCTTATCTACTCTTCCTTTTATTCTGATTGGGCTTGTATTTTGTTCAAAATACCAGTGAGGGCTCTCGTTAATGGCCTTGGGCATACAGTAGATAAAACGGTATTTTGTTTTTAGAATGCATGAAGCGGCGATGAGAGACCTTTCTCTTTAGGGTTTAGGCGTTAATTAAGTTCACGGCCACACGCTCCTTTTCTCTGTTTCCGAGGCAGGTAGGTACAAAGAAACTCCCTTTTTGGTTTTGTTAGAGGCCATGGGCAATGGTTCGAACGGCCAGGAAGATGGGGTTGATAATCGTTTCTATTATTTGTATTTTTAGATTTTCTAGCTATATATATGGCTTATTAATTAGTGTGATTTCATTGATGCCCAGGTTATGGCTGTTCGTTCTGTGCTTGGAAAGCTGGGTAGGAGTAGATTTATTCCCAACAATGGAAGACTTATCATGGTTGGAAGTTCTCCTACTGTTTGTTCCCCTCCTCATCACCCTTTTGATTATTATGGGGTCGTCCATGATCAAAACAAAGCGGATCAAAAAAGCAACCCTTTTCTTCTTGGATCGCTTATGAAAGAGGTGCGTCATGCGTGTGTGTATTAATTATGTTATCGCCTTCACTTTCATTGCAATTCAATTCAAATATCAAGTGTTGATAGACTCGTGATTATTCACAGCCAGTTTATTGTCATTTGGATTTTGGAGGACAAGGACCTGTTCGTTTCGCCATCGAAGAGTTGAGGAAGAAAAGGGTTTCATTTTTTTTGCCCTTTTTTCTTTAGTACAGATGCATCACTACAATATATGCAAGATTTAGTCTTTCCTAAGAAGAGCTTCTTTATTGCTAATGGTTTTGTGGATTATTATTGACACGTTTGATATCTGTCTAATGATTTGGCATCTCTTGTAGAATATCCAACTGCAGTCTGTGAGAGTGCTGAGGGTGTTAGCAAGGAAAGATGTTGGCTTGCCACGATATGATTCTTACTATGATCTACTGCTGGAGGCAGTGGATGCCGATGTGATGAGATATTTCGAAGTAACAGTGTCAGTTAATTCCAGGGAGGGCTTGTGGTTGGAAGACTTTTGTCTTCTCGTTGATAATAAAAAACCTATAAGATTATATCATCACCTAGGTACTATAATTATGGCATGCTGCTTTCACAATATCCTTAAGAATTTATTATTAGTACGTAAGCATAGATCATCCACTAATTTCAGTGACTATTAACTTTTTTTCTTGTTTATTTTTTTAAGTCTTTTCATAGATCATCTTATCATCATCCCCCCCTCCTTCAAAAAAAAAAAAAAAAAAAAAAAAAAAAAAAAAAAATTAGGCATCGAAAGCATCTAGTTTGCAATGAAATAATTTGACGAACACGGTTTTTCTCAATTGATATTAAAATGATTACCTTCCAATCAAATAGTTATATATTTTATGATTTTTGTGATTTTGTTGCAAATATGATATATGAGGTAAGACTTAATAATTAGAGAGTCAGATGATCAAAACTCAATGCGGAGTTGGTGGGGTTAGTCTGCTATGATATTCCTAATTATGCATATGAAGTAGTTCTTGTGGATGACAAACCCGAAAACGTGAGAATGTTGCATGTTGATGAATGAATCGAATTTTTTGCTTGAAACAGACAACTTTTTTGATGCAAATGCTAAGGCTCTAGAGCAGTTATCATTTGGTATGCGAAAAGGAAACCTCTCTCCGCCGCCTCCCTCAGCCCTCCCTCATCTCTCATACACAAACCCGGGACACAAAGAGGAAACCACCACTCCAAAACACAGGTATTCATATCAGTTATGTTTGTTGTCGTCTTATATTTGGGTTTCCACGGTTTAGTTTTTTTTTTTTTTAAAAAAAAAAAAAAAAAAAAAAAAAAACCTGGGTTTGATTTTGGATCTGGATTCCTCAGACGTCGAACGAATGTATGTGAAGTGGCGAAACACTTCGGTCCAGCTCCCGGTGTACCTCAAAAGTACACCAAACCTTATGTCCGGTCGAAGAGAAGGAAGTTTGAGAAGGCTAGAGGAAAGAGGAACAATAAGGGCTTTAGAGGTTGAATCATTTAGAATTGAAAATGCTATTTCTAGAACCTTATTTTGCTTGTCTTTAGGTGTCTGGTATCATGTTTATTTCTCTGTCGAGTAAATGTGTTGATGAAGGCATTGCTGGTTCAACAAGGGAGAAGCCCACTACCATCTATCTCGAAAACAATCCATGTGTATGGTTATTGCAACCTGAATGACCTAAATATTTAAAAAGACAAACTACAGTAAACCCCCCAACCTATAGGGTCATTTACGAGTTCATATCCAATTTTGGGGACATTTACCAGTACATATTTAACGTCGCGGAAACCCTACAATTTGCTTCATCCGTTAGCCAAACTGTTAGTATGGCTGTTAAATGCTGACATATCAAAAGTGGGACTCATTTTTTGATCACGTGGACTTCCACGTGGACGAAAAAACTAATAAAAAATTATGTACATGTTAAAAATAAGTTTAAAATCATTAAAAAAATGGAAAAAAAAATATCTCATCTCTCTTCTCCAACCCAACCAACCCTCTCTCCCTCCCGACTCAACCCCACCTCTCAGCCACCACTCTCCCGTCGCCGCCCAAAGAACCACCCAGCCATCTCCCAAAACCCACCAACCCAGCCACGGCCCAAAAAATCCAGTGCCAATTCAGATGATGAAGACGAATTGGAGGGGAAAATTTGCATACCCATGTCTGCCATCTTCTCCTCCCTTTACCCATTTACCCAAAAAAAAACCAAAAAAAAAAAAACAAACCCATAAAAAAAAAAAAAAAAAAAAAAAAGCACAAGGTGTGCGGCTGTTGAGGAGCCAATCCCCTCTCTTCCTCCCGACTCAACCCCACCTCTCAGCCATCCCTCTCCCGTCGCCCACCCCAAAACCCATTAGGAAAAAAAAACCATTAGACCCACCCTCCCTCCCTACCCAGCGACCTGAAATCTCTTAGCCCACCCCAGCCTAACACCACCCCCAAGTCTCTGAGCCCCGACATCCAACACCCACCCTCCTCTAGGAACCTACGCCACACACCCAGCCAACCCCATGAACTTCACTGAGGCTCCAAAATTATGAAAACAATAATTAAAGAGGGAGAAGAACACGTCAAAGTCTCATTAATGCAACACTAATGAGAGCAATTAACTACACCAAAGTGCACAAACAATCCAGGAACCAGTTCGTTATTAAAATCAAACACATGCATTGGAATCTACAAATTGAAGGATGCAGATTGATTAACTAAATTTTCAGAAACATGTAAGCTCTGTAAATGATGAAAAGAGACATCACAAGCCAAAGAGGCATGCCCTCAGAAATTACGCTTGAGGCTTTTAAAATCCCTACCACAAAACAAACAAACAAACAAAAAAAAACAAGGCCAGTCGCCATAACCCACCAAAATCAAATCGATTTCAAAACCTAATTTGTACTTGGTCAATTTATTGATCAAATTCGAATTTGAATCCAAACCTTAAGGTTGCAGAACACTGAAAAGCTTCAATTTTAGGCTTCGCTCAATCTGAACAAGAAATTTTCTTCTTGTTTAGGGCATGAATAAGACGACTGTCCAATCCGAGGCTTTTGAACGTCTGCTCCTCTTCGTCATCGCTTTCAGTATGCTTGGGTGGCTTCTCCGTAGTTTTAGCCATGGGAGAGTCTGTAGAATTCGAAGTTTTGATTTTTGGTGCAAACAAAAAAACCGAAATGGTTTTGTTTTCTACTTAGGTGGGGGAAGAAATATGGATGGAGGGAAGAAATTGGGGGGAAGGGGGAAGAAATCGAGAGAGAGAATCTGGGTAGGGTTTTTAATTTTTTAATTTAATATGTTTAAAATTTTAAATTAATTTTAAAATTAATTTTTTTAATTAATTTTTTGTCCACGTGGAACCCCACGTCAATTAAAAAATGGGTCCCACAAATGCCACGTAGGCAGATGACGGATTTTCTGATGATCTTGCTAACGGAGAGGCCAAATTATAGGGTTTCTGCGACGTTGAGTATGTACTGGTAAATGTCCCCAAAATCGGGTATGAACTTGTAAATGACTCCATAGGTTAGGGGGTTACTGTAGTTTGTCAAATTTAAAGTTTTGTTATTTTTTATTCTTTCGAGATGCTTAACTGCAGCTTACAGAAGTTGAAATTAGTGTGTTCAGAAATGTGAAAGGTGGTGTATGTGAGAGTTATGCAACTCCTAAACCCATAAAGGTGGCTCATGTAAGTACATAGGTGAAAGATAGTAACAGCATTAGGAAGATTTTGATTGTTTGTTGAAAGTCCAGTGTCTAATAAATAAAAGAAAATTTGTGGCTATGAGATTCTGTAGATCATATGATTTTTCCTAAGAATGTCTGTTTGTCTAAGTCCACCGCATATTGATTCCCTTTGTTACCATCCACTTGATACTTAAAGCCTCCTGACCACATTATAGTGCATTGCCCATACTGAACCTTTTAGTTTGTAGTTTGTTAAAATGCTACGGTATATACCATAATGCCAATCCATCATCCTGAATGCTATTCTACTCATAAGTATGCATTTTATAATCTCTACTAAAGTTATGATTGACTTATCTATTGAATCTGAAATTATGTTGTTGAATGTCTCATAAGGGTTGTTGTTGAATGTCTCATAAGGGTTGTTGATGAGCATGTCACATTTACATTAAAGTGGGATTTAGACCATTGTTGTGGAGACTTAGATAATAGCCATTCTCTTATGATATTGCAAGACTCTAGTGGCTTTATGCCAGGTATGAGAGTGATAACATCAGTAGCCTTTTTGATGAGTGGCATAGCCCATAAAAACACAACGATGTGCAACGCTGATTTTTGTAGAGATGAACAGGGGCCCCTATCCTGTTGAACCAGTTGGCCCTGATCGAGGGGCACTATTGGCCGCTAAAACAACACTGGTGGGTGCGGACGAACCCATCATCACAGCTTGTCAAACTTCTTCATGACGGACATAGGCATAAGCTTGGTCCATGATGGGAAACATAGTCATCTGAACAACATCGATTTGGGCCTTATCAAGACGATCATCTAGGCCATCCAAAAAGATGTAAACTCGTTCCTGCATAATATCATAATATCGTTTGATATCACATTCATATTCCATCATATTGGGACGACAAAAATCAATTTATCTCCACAAGCTTTGAAGAGTATTGTATGAGGTTTCAGTAGAGCCACAAGCTTGTTGCATACGAAAGACAGCGCCATCATAGTAGGTCGTGACAATTACGCATCCCACACTACTTTTGCCGTTGGAAAGTGAATGAAATTGTCAATCAAGGTCTGCTCCAAAGAATTAATGAGCTATCATTTCAAAATTGAGTTCTTGGTTCCCATCGGGTAAACGTCGGAGTGGTTGGAGGAGGTTGTGGAAGATCTCCATTAATATATCCCAATTTGTCTTTGTTGGTAATATACATCTCGACAACTTGGGACCATAGGGCATAGTTGGTGCCATCCAATTGTTCGACTTCATTATTGAATGGAATCTTCACTTTAGCAGCATGGTCTCCTCAACTCATCGTCTTCGAAGAAGGCACAGTAGCATGTGACTGCGCCCAGCCTAGTTCTATGATTTATAAATCACGATAGTGGAAATCTTTCATAAGAACTCATCTAACCATTCAGAGAACTGAATTGAACAACTTCCCAAGGTTGAGCTACAAAGTTTTTCTAAAGCCTTGTTCGAATGAGACACTAATAGCAAAAGACTAGTATAGTATAGAGATATTGATTAGGGTTTTCTTCTTGTGCTCTTAGTGAGATTCTTTTAGGCTAGCTATTGTGGTTTCCTCCATCTCATCTCATCTGTCCTTTATAGAAATGAAAATTCAAAGTTTGGGGATGCAAACTGATGTTACCTTTCTGTTTTTTATTTTCTAAGTGCGACACCTCGCATTATTAATGATGGATTGAAAATTCAAAAGTTATATTAGAGTAAAATTTTGTATCGAGGTGGTTGTTTATATGAAGGCATGTTTCAAATATGTTTGGTTGACTGGGAGGAAGGCACTAGGCAAGCAGACAGAGGCATTATGTGAATATGATATATGTTGGTGGTTTGGTTTTCAAGTTCGTTGATTTGTGATTTGGGAATGATCGGTACGTATTGTTTGAGTGTATATACATTTTATGGGGCTAAATAGGACCCACATTTTCTGGATTAGATATTGAGTGCTGTAGTTTTTTGGGTTTGATTTCTTTTGATACCTTTAATTCAAGATCTTTCAGATATGTTCCCATCTAGAATTTGCATAATTTTTTTTTAATGTTGTTTTTAGTTTGTATTTTCTATGATTTGAAAGTTATACTGTAGATTTTTTTTCTTTTGTAAACCGAAAACCTAAATTTGAGCAACACAAATGCTGAAACCGGCCAGTTCAATTCAGTCCAATTCCATCGGTTTTACGGTTTTTGGGTAAAAAGTGTCAACCCATTTGGAACAAGACAAACAAAACTTCAAAATTTTAAAATTGATAAATATTAATAAACCAAAACTCACGGTCCAAATTAAATCTCTTCGTGGCCTCATCCTCGATATAACAGGGCCTTTAATTTGGATTACCATTTTCGTTTCTTTTTTTTCTTTTTATTTTTGATTTTTTGATTTTATTTTATTGAGATAGGGGAAAGAATAAATGAATAAGAATGTATAAACAAAGGTGCTTATGGTGTGCAGTCGTTTTTATGTGCTTACTCGCCACAACAAGGGTCTCCAAGTTCATTGGAGAAATAATGTTGCCTGCAAAACTTGCACAATCCATCTTCGAGTGAAAAGAGTAACGAAAACTAATTTATACGAGGTAATTAACCTAGTAAGTAATCAATCCATGAGGTAGAATATAGCTGTTGTTGTAGTGTGACAAAAATTCATCGAAAGATTCACAATATGCAGAAAATAGCCAATAAGGCAGACTTGCCCTCAGCACATCTGGAAATGAAGAATGATTGATTTCACTGATCTAGCATTTCTTCTGAACTCATAATAGAAAGGATTTGTATCTTTGCCATCCGGTTTGCCAAAGAGAAAAGAATCACGATCAAGTTACTCTTAGTAGTCGAAACTGACACTTCCACATCACTGAATAAATTTGATAACGTCTAAAAGAAAATGGAAACAGTAATCTTTACCTTCCCTGACCCTTCTCCAGAATTAGGAATGTTTTCATAATTCTTGTATTATTCTAACCTAGTTTGCCGGTATTTTTCTCTAGTAATGCTAAGTCTATCCCAAGGAATACCTTGGAAGTCTTTTCCTTTTCTTGCTTGAGCAGCAGTTGTATCAGCTGCTTTGCTATTCTGCATGAGGTCCATATAATTATTCATATTTATTAACAAAACTAACCATCGAGAAACTTGAAACATACAAACAGACCCATATCATAAAGGGGAGTAGGATTATAAATAACAATATCTACTGAAGCTGTGAATATGTCATATATCTCATAAAGCATATAGGTATGTCACAAACCAAGTAGTCATATTCATCAACATCAGAATCTGAGCCGCCCATTTCTCTACCACGAAACTCGTCATCCATATCACCATCTACATCTTCCATTTCGTATTCATCTTCCACGTACCCAGCGTAATGGGACATATTTTTCCTAACAATGCCACAACTAGAATTCGAGCCAGTTGCTTAAGAATCAGGAAAGAAGCAAAATAAATGAACCTTGCAAACACAAAAGTGAAAAGTTTGAACCTTGCTAAAAACTAGGAATAAGATAATCAAGAAAAGGATCACCACTAATAACAGAAACATGCCTAATGGAGTAATACATATAAAATTCAATGTCAAAAGTAACAATCAAGCACCCCAACATGAATCTCATCCTTGATCTTTGAAAGGAGTAAAACACTTGATAACACCATCTAAAGGTAGCTCATTGGGGAATATAACCAGCATTGCAAAATTATTTCTTAGTACCAAAGATTGAAACTTTAATTTTGAAGGCATCAATTAGTAAAACATAATTTTGAAGGCATCAACTTGACAGAACCCTCAGCTCCTTAATTTTTCTTTTTCTTCCCATTTTCTTCCTTCCCCTTGAGCTGAAAAATCTAGTTTAAATACTCACCATTGCACATAAAACAAGCAAATGAAAATTCATGATTCTCCCTGGTTGGAGCAAATTGATTGTAGATGTGCTGTTAATTAACACATGCATCAGGCAAATAAAAAGACCGAGGGTGGCCTAATGGGCTCCAACCGATAACCGACCGAGGGTGGTCGGTATACCCAAAAGTGAAAATGCTGCCGACGTCGTTGGCAAATAGAAGATTACTCATTAATGCATATCAAAAGAAATGTACTTTCCAAATAATAGTAAAAGAAAAAAAAGAGTTACCATGTAGTTAGTAAAGTAGTTGTGGATATTCGGGAAAAAAAGAAAGAAAGTAGTAGTGGGGATAGTAAAAAGTAAAAGGCAGTGTAAGTATAACTTAAGTTAAAATCCACCAACCCTTAGACCTGGATTGAGAGATTTGAGAGAGAGAGAGAGAGAGAGAGAGAGAGAGGAGAGTGCTGCTTCCTTGGGGCCCATTCCTTAAACTTGTCTGTATAAGAGCATCTCCAACTGATATGTCAAAAGTGCTACATAGACATTTAACGGTTAAAAATAACATCTCACATCACTCCAACTGAATTGTCAAGCTGATGTGGAATGAAGGCAAGAAGTTAAGCTGTTATTTTTGACATCCCAAAAGCAAGATGTCAAATGAATATTTTATTATTTTTTAAAGACAACTGGTTGCAACTTTCATTTATTATTTTCCTTTTTGATTTTTTTTCCTTCTTTATCTTAAATGATTTGACTGTTACAATAATTATTTATTTGACATATCGGGTGGAGTAAAAAACTGTGTAAATGTCAAATTGCCACATCAGCCATCAAATTTAAATTTGATGTTTGGTATTTGACATCTCCTTTGAATATGCTCTAAGTGAGTTAAACTGTTGAGACAAGGGAATGAAAGTTAAACTCTCACCTTAGATTCACACACGTGTTATTGAACAAAACACCTCCAACACCCAAAAAGATTGGGGGCTTTTCAAATCCGTGGACGATCTCAGATTGTTGCTGATCCATCATTATCATCATCGCAGAGAAAGAGATCTCATCTTAATCTAAAGGGTAAATCTTTCGATACTCTTCTAATTTATTTCAAGGGTAAATTACTCAAATGGTCCTCAAACTTGTACCCGATTTATATTCTGGTCCCTCAATTAAATTATTAGTCCAAATGATACATAAACTATATTTTAATCGCCCATTTGATCCAACCGTCTAATTTTCTGTTAGATTTAACCAAATTTTAGGGTAAATATGACTTTTCTTAATTAACAAATAAAATAGGATTAAAATAAATACAAAATTAGAAAAAAAATGAAGAAAAGGAGGAAGAACGGAAGAAACCCAGAAGAAGAAGAAGAGGACAAGGTTATTGCAATGGCTTTCTTAAGTAAAATTGGGAATATACTCAGAAGACTGCAGACAAGCATAGCAGATCTGAATTATCTCCTTTCAAACTGTCTATCCAGACATACTCACCCCAGCATCAGCAGATTCCACCTCCAAATCCTCTCTAACCCTTCTTCCCAGCAGCTCTCTCTCACCGATTTATCATCAGGTAGCTTCTTATTTCTCATTTCATGTTTCTTTCCGTGGATTTTTTTTAATTTAAAGAACCCCGAAATTTGTGTGCTTCTTGCTCTTCTTGGACTTATTGGGTTAATTGGGGTTTTTGGTTGCAGTGCATGGCACTTGGGTTTCCGAGGCTTGAGCCAGGGGTCAGGGTGGAGCTGAGGGAAGGGGACATACTGAGGGTTGGTGGTTCCAGCAGGGATGAAGATGAAACTGCAGGAGTAGTCCAGGTAATCTATGTGCATTTTATTTATTTTAGACGTGAATTTGTTGAATGCCCAAAATATGTTTGTTGAATTGTTCTTGATTCTGTTCTTTGTTTTCTCTTATGCGGATTTGAGTAAAATTAAATTATGCATTTTGGTTCTTTTGGACATGCAGTTGTGGAACGCCCAAAAGATGTTTCTTAATTTTTTAGGTTCTCTCTGTTCTGCATCTCTTTATTAAATTGAATTGAATTGGGTCAGAAATCTTCTCCATTTGAAAATGAACTTTATAAGAATTTTCTTTTGCTTTGCTATGTGGTTATGTACTTAGAAAGTTGGTGTTCATGTAATCTGATAGGGAAAGCTTAAGGGAAATTGAAACTGATTGAAAAATTCACGATCTTGAAGCAGATTTAGCCAAAAAGCTCCAAACTTTATAACAACAGAGCCATGGAATTGAATTGAACTAAATTAGAAGAGTATCGAAAAATTTACCCTTTAGATTGAGATGAGATCTCTTTCTCTGCGATGATGATAATGATGGATCAGCAACAATCTGAGCTCGTCCACATATCTGAAAAGCCCCAATCGTTTTGGGTGTTGGAGGTGTTTTGGGTCAACTGGCGTTGGAGGTGTCGATGAAACATGAGTTTGTGATTTCATTAGGGTTTCATTTTTATTTTGTTATTATTATACTTTCTGTTTTTGTTCCATAACACGTGTGTGAATCTAAGGTGAGAGTTTAACTTTCATTCCCTTGTCTCACCAGTTTAACTCACTTATACAGACGAGTTTAAGGAATGGGCCCCAAGGAAGCAGCACTCTCTCTCTCTCTCTCTCTCTCTCTCTCGTACTTTCTTTTCTTTTTTTCCCGAATATCCACAACTACTATACTAACTACACAGTAACTCTTTTTTTTCTTTTTACTATTATTTCTCTCTCTCGTACTTTCTTTTCTTTTTTCCCGAATATCCACAACTACTATACTAACTACACAGTAACTCTTTTTTTTCTTTTTACTATTATTTGGAAAGTACATTTCTTTTGATATGCATTAATGAGTAATCTTCTATTTGCCAACGACGTCGGCAGCATTTTCACTTTTGTGTATACCGACCACCCTCGGTCGGTTATTGGTTGGAGCCCATCAGGCCAATTGCCGAATTGATTCCATCCCTAGTTGGCAGTATTGTAATCGTTCTAGCCTTTCTTGGTGCGAATATATAAAATGTGACAAGCGTTGCATTTAAATTCTAATCAACAAATTTCAATAACAATATTACAAATAAAAACAAATGTTTGTCTTTTTATTCCACAACGAATTTCAAGACTGGAATCTGGTTGCTATATCTTTTTACTTAATTTTTTTTATACTGTTTTTACTTTTTTATCTATTTGGAAATGTTTATTTGGTGTTTATTCTTTCTATTTTACATGAGTAGGGTCTTTTGGTATGCAACCCCAAGTCCCCAAACAAGGGCAATCACTCTCTATGCCGTTGCCAGCTAATCAATCTCAGCCACGTCAACAACTCTTATCACAGAACATTCAGAATAACATTCCAGCTGCTGGAGTTCAAAGTTCTGCTGGCTTATCATCTGCTCTACCTCCTTCATCCGGTTTAACCCAGACTCCTATTCCAAGTATTGTTGGGCAAAATCAAAACATGCAGAATATGGGCCAAGGGGTACCCTCCAATATGTTTGCTACTTCTCAAAGGCAATTGCCAGGAAGGCAACAGGTAGTTCCAAAACATGCAGCAGTCACAATCTCAAATTACTCAAGTGCAATCTCATGAAAATCAAATGAACCCACAGTTGCAATCAATGAACGTGCAAGGTTCTGTGGTAACAATGCCGCAGAGCAATATGACAAGCTTGCAGCAAAGTTCTATGTCGGCTTTATCTGGGGTTTCAACAGCACAGCAGAACATGATGAATTCATTGCCACCTAGTTCCAGCATGGATTCAGGACAAGGGAATGCACTGAACTCATTGCAGCAGGTTCCTGTGAGAAGTAACCAACAAACTCCTGTCAGTGCTCCCCAACAAGCAAATATGAATGCCTTGTCATCACAGAGTGGGGTTAATATGCTACAGGCAAACACGAATTCCATTCAGTCAAATTCTGGTATGCTTCAACACCAGCATTTGAAACAACAGCAGTAACATCAAATGTTTCAGAATCAACTCAAGCAACAATTTCAACATCGACAGACGCAGCAGCAATTGATGCAGAAGCAGCAGTACTGCAACATCAACAGCAGCAGCAGTTACAACTGCAAGCAAAGCAGCAGCTTCCAGCACAGTTGCAGGCGCACCAACAGCAAATGCCACAGCTTCATCAAATGAATGATGTAAATGACTTGAAGATGAGACAGGGGATGGGTGTAAAGCCAGGGGTTTTTCAGCAACATCTCTCTGCAGGCCAGCGTGCTTATCCTCATCCGCAGTTGAAATCAGGATCTCCATTTCCTACAAACCAACTCCTTCAGGCTGCATCTCCACAAATTTCGCAGCATTCTTCTCCCCAAGTTGACCAGCAAAATCTACTGACTCACCCAAAAGAACCCCATTGCAAACTGCTAATTCACCTTTTGTCATCCCATCTCCATCAACTCCCATGGCTCCGTCCCCTATGCCAGGGGATTCTGAGAAACCTTCCTCACTCTCAAATGCTGGGAATGTCGGACATCAACAAACAACTGGTGTCAGAGCGCAGGTCCAGTCCCCTGCCATTGGCACCCCTGGGATATCAGCCTCTCCTTTGCTTGCTGAATTTAGCGTACCAGATACTCATGTTAATGCCTTGTCAACTATTTCTGGCAAGTCGAGTGTTACAGAGCAGCCTCTTGAACGCTTAGTTAAAGCGGTTAGTAAAGCTCATTCTCTCGGAGTGGTTAAAATGATGTTTCAGAACATACGTACTAAGTTCTTGTTTTCATCAAATCCCCTCGGTTGGATAAAATTTCTGTAATTGTATCTTTCAGGTGAAATCGATGTCACCAAATGCATTAAGTGCCTCTGTCAGTGACATTGGCTCCGTAGTCAGTATGATTGATAGGATAGCAGGGTCAGCACCAGGTAATGGATCCAGAGCTTCAGTTGGTGAAGATTTGGTTGCCATGACAAAGTGTCGTCTGCAAGCAAGAAATGTTATGACTCATGATGGAACAAATGGGACTAGGAAAATGAGGCGCTACACTAGTGCCGTGCCCTTAAATGTGGTGTCATCAGCTGGCAGCATGGATGATAGTTTTAAGCAGTTGACCAATTCAGAGACATCTGATCTGGAGTCAACTGCAACATCTCGTATCAATAGGCCAAGGATTGAGGTATTAAACTTTTGTTGTGGTATATACTCATCAAACAATGAAAACTAGTTGCCTGCCTTCGCACATTTTGAGGTGAGGCATTTTGCCTCTTTGGAATACTTTTATTATATTTTTATATTATAAAGATGGGCAGTAGATGTTAACTGTGAGTCCACTGTTTAAGGTGCTGCATTGTTGTTAGATTATAGAAGAAAAGCAACTTCTTGGGAATAAAGTTATTGTGCTTAAGCAAAAAAAAAAGGACATATGAGGGAATAATGTTCTCTTCTTTTTTTTCCTCTGTGGGGAGAGAGAGATTCATTATTGGATCAGGAAATTGCGGAACCAACCTTAATCCTGCTTCTTCAGTGGACATAATTAATTATGTGGCTTATCTTGCAGGCTAATCATGCTCTTTTGGAAGAAATAAGATAAATAAATCGGCGGCTTATCGACACAGTTGTTAAGTGCAGCCGCTGCTGAAGGGGGTGAGGGAACCATTGTCAAGTGCTCGTTTGATGCTGTGGCTCTCAGTCCAAACTTGAAATCGCAGTACGCGTCAGCACAAATGGTGGGCTCTCAAATGTGAATTTAATGACTTGTTACCTGTGTTCATAATATTGATATTTCTTGTATTTACTTGTCTTTAATATGGTGCAGTCACCGATTCAGCCATTAAGACTGCTTGTTCCCATGAATTGTCCCAACTGCTCTCCAATACTCTTGGACAAGTTTCCAGTTGAAGTCAGGTGAAGAAATAAGCTATCCGACTTTACATACTGCTGCTGCTGTTACATAAACTAAGAGATGTGGCATTTCTTACTGAGAATACTCAGCATAAATTTGACTTTAATGTTTTTCTTTGACAGTAAGGAGTATGAAGATCTTTCTGTAAAGGCAAAGTCAAAGTTTAGCATCTCTCTACGAAGCATTTCACAACCCATGTCCCTTGGTGAGATAGCAAGGACTTGGGATGTTTGTGCACGTGCAGTTATTTCCGAGCATGCGCAGCAGAGTGGTGGAGGCAGTTTTAGCTCGAAGTATGGGACATGGGAGAACTGCTTGAGTGCTGCTTGATAATCTTTCTTCAGACCTGAAATAAGCTATTCCGAGGGTGGTTATGATAACCGTGATGCACAATTTATCTACTGCTGTTTTGCTGCAATGATGAAGCAATTTTTGGATGGTCTATAGGTTAAGGCATGTATAGGAGGAACTTGTAATGTTTCGTATATGGCCAAATTTTCCAAAGTGAATAATGTTGGGGTTGTTCTTGTTGGATTTATCCTAGGTAACATGTGTGTTGTAGTTTGGATACTGTAAATCATCTGTGATCTGTCTGTTTTTTTCGTTGGGTTGAAAATGCCCCATTATATGCAGTATTCTGCTGTCTGTTTGTGACAAATTGTATTAATATTCCCATCCCCTTCTCCTGGTGGTTCTATAAGATGGATATCCCTGGAGAAATAAGAAGAATTTCATCTGAGTGAGGACCTGATCTTATGGTCAGATCGGATGGACCTGATCCGATCTGTCCGGGCTTGGGGCCGGGGTTGGGGCCAGGTACATATGTGCTGGGGTGGGCAGAGGACGTTTTGGAGTCCATGTAGCACTTGATAACAAAATTTGGAACACCTTCTCTTCTATCTGAATCAGCAAAAAGATGCAATGCAATGTCAGTTGCACAGGCTCTCTATAGAGAAGTGTGTTTATGTTTAAGAGCATCTACAATCATGCTCCCTATTTTTTAGTTAAAAATACACAAAAGCTATTTTAGGAGCTCTCTATAAAATTTGAACTCCAATCATACTCCTTAGTTTAGAGTCATAAATACTATAATTATTTTTTAATTCAAAATAATTGATCCATCTCTATACAAAATAATATAAAAAATTAGTTTGCGTTAATTAAAAGTTTAAAATATGCATAAAACAACAACATTAAATTATAGGGAGCCACTAGAATCCTTGGGATGGACTTAGCATTACTAGAGAAAAATACCGGCAAACTAGGTTAGAACAATACAAGAATTATGAAAACATTCCTAATTCTGGAGAAGGGTCAGGGAAGGTAAAGATTACTGCTTCCATTTTCTTTTAGACGTTATCAAACTTCTTCAGTGATGTGGAAGTGTCAGTTTCGACTACTAAGAGTAACTTGATCGTGATTCTTTTCTCTTTGCCAAACCGGATGGCAAAGATACAAAGAAAGGATCTTTATATTATGAGTTTAGAAGAAATGCTATATTCTACCTCATGGATTGATTACTTACTAGGTTAATTACCTCGTATAAATTAGTTTTCGTTACTCTTTTCACTCAAAGATGGATTGTGCAAGTTTTGCAGGCAACATTATTTCTTCAATGAACGTTGTGGCGAGTAAGCACATAAAAACGACTGCACACCATAAAATTTCTGCCACCCATCCACTTTGTTTATACATTCTTATTCATTTATTATTTCCTCTAATCAAAAAAAAAAAAAAAAAAAAAAGAAAAGAAAAGAAAAGAAAAAATGGTAATCCAAATTAAAGGCCTTGTTATATCAAGGATGAGGCTACGAGGAGATTTAATTGGCAGTTTGTTGGCTTCAAGTCAAAAGGGTTTTGACTTGTAATTTCTTTAAATTTGGACCTTTCCGAGTGAGTTTTGGTTTATTATTATTTATTAATTTTAAAATTTTGAAGTTTTGTTTGTCTTGTTCCAAATAGGCTGGCAGTAGGATTGGCACTTCTTACCGGAAAAACCGACCGAACTAGATTGAATTGAACCGGCCGGTTTGGCATTTGTTAATCAAATTTTGGTTTTTGGTTTACAAACCGAATTGAACCCTAGCAAATCAGACCGATCACGGTTGAGGAAATCCAAACCGACGGTTCATTGAACCGAATCGACATTCGTCAAATCGACTTTCTTATTGAGTCTTTGTACAACAAAAATATTTAATAGTTTCCAAAGAGAATTTAAAAAATAAAATGGTAGAAACGGGAAAGAAATAGTGTATGTGATAGATAGTGATCTATATTATAAAAAATTAGGGTTTTAACCCTAGCATCTTTTCAATTCCAGACCCTATTCTTATCTCCTTCTTTTTATTTTTCTCTCTAGCCGTCATCTTCTTCATCCCCCTTATGAGCTCATCTCCTTTTCTCCTCCCTCTCTCTCCTCTTCGCTGCCACCATTCGTCTTCAAAGTTCATCTCACCATCTCTTCTTCTTCTTCTCCTCCTCCATCTCTCTTCTTGTCCCCGCCACAACCACCCTTCTTCTTCTTATTCTCTTCCCTCTCTCTCCTCTTCGCCGTCGTCACCGCCGACCTTCATCTTCATCTCCTCATTTTTTTCTTCTCCTCCTCCTCTTTTTCTCTACCTATCAATCTATCTCATTCCTTAACATCGTCGAACCATTCCGACTGATGGTTTCGGTTCAAACGAAATCCAATAAACTGACGACGTCGGCAGCATTTTCACTTTTGGGTATACCGACCACCCTTGGTCGGTTATCAGTTGGAGCCCATAAGGTCAGTTACCGAACCGATTCCACCCCTAGTTGGCAGTACTATAATCGTACGTTTTGGCCCTTCTTGGTGAGAAAGTTTAATGTATTCTGTCTATATAATATACTTCAAACAGATACAGCAGCTTTATACATACATAGCACGTCTATTCTAAGTAAATACATACTAATTATTTGCTAATTATATTTGGATCCTACAATCTCTCAATCTCAGATTATTGACTGATTGCCAATTATATTCAGATCCTACAATCTCTCAATCTCAGATCATTGACTGATTTTCTTTCCTTTAACACTCCCCCTCAAGTTGGAAGGTGGATATTGATGACACCCAACTTGCCAAGAAGTGAACAGAATGCAGGTGCCCTCAATGGCTTGGTAAACAAGTCTGCTATTTGTTCTCCAGTTTGCACATATCCAGTCTTGATCTCACCTCTTTCTATTCTTTCACGAACGGTGTGACAATCGAGCTCAATGTGTTTGGTTTGTTCGTGATACACTGGATTTGCTGCAATATATAGGGCAGCTTGATTATCACAAAACAACTTTGCAGATTCAGCATGAGTAACACGCAGATCATGCAATAGATATCTTAACCAAGTGAGTTCACATGTAGCTGCAGCCATTGAACGATATTCAGCTTCGGCAGATGATCGCGCAATTATAACTTGCTTCTTGCTTTTCCAGGACACCAGTGCGTTACCAAGAAAGATGCAATATCCCGTGAATGACCGGCGTGTCATTGGGCATCAAGCCCAATCAGCATCGCAATAACCAATTAGGTTCAACTTGTTCTGTGTAGAGAATAACAGCCCTTGCCCTGGAGCTCCTTTAAGGTAGTGAAGTAGACGATTTACAGCATCAAGATGTTGACGTTTAGGCTCTTGCATAAATTGACTGAGTGTATTGACTGCATAAGTAACTTCTGGCCTTGTAATTGTGAGATAGATTAGCTTTCCAACTAAGCGTCGATACCTAGTAGGATCTTTGAGCAGTTCACCTGTAGAAGATAATGTTATATCAGGATTCATGGGAACCTTGGCTAGTTTAGCTCCAAGTAGTCCAGCTTCTTCCAAAATGTCAAGAGTATACTTGCGTTGACATATAGAAATTCCCGTTTTTGACCGTGCCACCTCAACACCAAGGAAATATTTCAAGGGTTTGAGATCTTTGATTCGGAATTGGTTTCCAAGGAAATGCTTCAATTTACAGATTACCTCTTCATCATTCCCTGTGATGATCATGTCATCTACATAGAGCAATATAATAGTCAGGGAACTTCCATGTACCTGTGCGAACAGAGAGTAATCTGCCCTAGATTGCTTGAAACCAATGCCACATATATTAGATGAAAACTTTCGAAACCACCTCCGTAGAGCTTGTTTCAGTCCATATAAGGACTTGTGAAGTCGACATACAACCTGCTGCTCCCCTTGTCGACGTGAACCAGGCGGAGGTAACATGTAAAGCTCCTCATGGAGGTCGCTATGGAGAAACGCATTCTGAACGTCCATTTGATGAAGAAACCATTGGCGAGCAGCCGAAACCGTGAGTAAGTAGCGGACAGTGATCAACTTCGCAACCGGAGCAAATGTGTCAGTGAAGTCAATACCTTCACGTTGGTTGAACCCCTAGGCAACAAGGCGGGCCTTGTAACGATCAATGGAGCCATCAGAGTGGTATTTAATCAGAAAAATCCACTTGGAACCAATGGGACGATGACCGGGAGGCAGAGGAACCAGCGACTAGGTGTGGTTGTCTTCAAGAGCTTGCATCTCAAAGTTTATCGCAGCAACCCATTGAGGGTCATGACAGGCCTGTTCATATGAAGAAGGCTATACCAATCGGGATACATGACACACATAATTCTGATAAGCAGGAGAGAGACCAGAGTAAGATACATATCGATGAAGGGGATACCTAGTTCTAGACGTGGAGGAAGAAGCGACTCCGGGCGTGAGCAAGGCGGTGTGATGAGCTTCATAGTCCTGAAGATAGGAAGAATGACGTGGGACACGCACAGACCGACGAGGTAATGAGGATGAGTCAAGGGGAAGAGGATGAGGCTGTGAAGGTTCAAGGGAGGACGATGGCTGGGCAATCGAAGGAGAGGTGAGGCCGGGATTGGAGAACCAGAGCCGCCATCGAGAGAAGTGAGAGGCGGCATGGTGATTGGGGAATTAGGGTCTGGAAGGGTATCAGAATGGGAGATTTGCTGATCAGAGTGGGCCGGGTCTAGTGGAGGTAAGTGTGGTGAAGGTGGGCCTGGAGACACCGGGCCTGGCAGAAAAAGAAGGTCTGAAGTGGAAGGAGGAGTAAGCAGAATGGGTTGGTCCGTGGGAGGGTTAGGAGGAGAGTGAGAAAAAGGAATGAGTGTTCATGAAAAATGACATCCCGAGACACAAAAAATTTCTTTGTTTCAAGATCAAAGACGCAATAGCCTTTCTGACTAAGAGGGTACCCAAGAAAAAGACAACGACGAGCCCGGGTGTCAAATTTGTGAGTGGGGTTAAGGTGAGTGGCATAGCAAAGGCACCCGAAAACCCGTTGCTGAGAATAAGAAGGTGATTTCCCATGTAATCGCTCATAAGGGGTTTTATGAGAGAGAAAAGGGGGTGGGGAGTCGATTTATGAGAGGTAACATGCTGTTTGAAGACTGGCTCCCCAAAATTGCAAGAGCAAGTTAGCTTGCAACCGACGTGCGCGACCAATGTTTAAGAGATGACGATGTTTGCGTTCAACGACCCCATTTTGTTGAGGAGTATATGTGCAAGAATGTTGAAAATTAGTACCATGTTCAAGAAAGAATGGACGCATGGATAGGAATTCACTACCATTGTCAGAACGAAGAGTTTTAATAGAGCGATTAAATTGAGTGGTGACCCAAGAAAAAAATGATTTCAAAATGGTTTGTGTATCAGATTTAAAATTCATAAGATGAACCCAAGTGAAACGAGTGAAATCATCAACAATTGTCAAAAAATAACGTGCCCCAGAATGTGTACGGGTATTATGAGGGCCCTAAATGTCACAATGAATAAGATCAAAAGGTGCAACTGTTTTAATTGAACTAGAAGTAAATGGTAATTTGGTTTGTTTAGCCAAAGGGCAAACATCACAAATGTGCTCAGAATGAAACATTATTTCAGGAATGGTCTTGGATAAAGAGTGAAGGGGGGCAGATGACGAATGTCCGAGACGTTGATGCCAAAGCGTGGAGGTACGACGAACATGAGTAGCAAGGTGAGGATTTTGGGTAGGTGTGAGGTAGTAAAGCCCATCAAAATGCTTGCCCAGGCCAATCGTCTTCTTCGTATCTACCTCCTGCACAACACAAAAATTTGGAAAGAAAATTACTATACATCGAAAGCTCGCGTTAATTTACTAACAGATAACAAGTTGACACGAAATTTTGGAACATGTAGAACTCCATCAAGAGGCAAGTCGGGCGATAAATTCATAGATCCAATGTTACGTATTGCTGCCTGTCCTCCGTTGAGCAAACTAACAAATTCATGATGTGTGGCAGTTTGATTATGTGTAGGAGCCGAATGAGAAATGTGATCGGTGGCCCCGCTATCCACAATCCAATATAGCGTGGAGTGTGGATCATGTTGTGTAATATTACTAGTGGGTGTAATGATACCTGTTGCATGTGCTAGAGGCTGACTGTTACCCTTCTTATTACGAAGCATAGCAATAAGTTCGTTGTACTCCTCAGTGGTGAAGGTTGGGCCATCAACGGGGGTTGTCTTGGTGATAGCAGTAGGTTGGACTGGTGACTGAATGGCTTCAATGTTGTGAGCTGTTGGACCGGAACGCTGGTTTCTGGGCTTAACATTTTTGCCATGCCATTTATGGCCCACAGGGAAACCAATAATAAAGTAGCATCGTTCTTTCAGATGACCATCTCCATCGCAATATGAGCACTTTAGGGATTTTCGGGATTGTGACCATCCTGTGGAGGGAGTGGCGGCCACCGAAGAACGACCGGTTTGCATCACATGTGGAGTAACCAGATTGTCATGCCTGCTGGTCACCTCTAGTTGGCGCTCGTGTTGGAGAACCAGGCCGTGAACTTTGCGTGTGTCAGGTAAGGGATTCATCATGAGAATTGATCCTCGAACCGTAGAGTAGGTGTCGCTCAAACCCATCAAAAATTGCATCACCCTTTCTTTCTCTTCTCTCTCAGCAAGGTTTTTTAGTCCTTCACAGTCACAGATAAAGGGCTCTTGGTATGAAGCCAACTCATCCTAAAGAGCTTTCACTTTGTGTCATAGATGGAGATAGTTTGCGTTCCTTGTCTGCACTCGACAATTTCTTGTCGAATTTGATAAATTCTGGCGTCATTGCTCTGTGAAAGACGATCTCGAAGATCTGTCCAAACAGCCGCTGCTGTTTTAGCATAAAGGACACTGCTGGCGATGTCCGGATGGAGAGAGTGCAAGATCCATTACAGGACCATGTCATTGCAGCGCTGCCAGATTGAGAATTTCGGGTCATTGGATGAAGGGGCCTTGACTGATCCATCAACCAATCCAAGCTTGTTCTTGGCACTTAGGCTGAGATGCATAGATCTGCTCCATTGGCCATAAGTGTGACCTTCGAGTTTGATGTTAACTAGGGAAAGTCCCAGTGTGTCGGAGTTGTGCAAAGACAGAGGATCAGAAGAGATAGGAGCCGTCTCTGTAGATTTTGATTCACTCATGATGTTGTGTTTCAATGGTGTTTGCAGTACGTTTGTGGTTGTAGCGGAAGGTGTTTGGGCAGAGTCACCAAGATAGGTGCTCTGATACCATGAGAAAGTTTAATGTATTATGTCTATATAATATAACTTCAAACAGATACAGCAGCTTTATACATACAGAGCACGTCTATTCTAAGTAAATACATACTAATTATTTGCTAATTATATGGATAAAGAAAAATGAAATATGGCAAGCGTTGCATATAAATTCTAATCAACAAATTTCAATAACAATATTACATAATAAAAACATATGTTTGTCTTTATTCCACAACAAATTTCAACACCAGTTGCATAAAATAGAGCAAATGGTTTCCTTTTACTAGCTCCCATGAAAACCATTCACAGTGAACATATTACACTAGATTATTGCCTCCCAAATAAGACCAGGACCAACAAGGCACTCTACAAAAACGCTTGCCAAAAAAAAAAAGAGTCATTTCTGCTGTCGAAGAAATCAAATAGCGTGATGCCCACATCAGCTAAAGATCTTATGAATCCCCTACTTCTCCCCATGTAAAGAATCCATTCTTAACGTATGTCTTTTCAGTTAACATAGGATTATACTCGTGCATCATCCCATAACTTTTTTCCCTTCTGAGGTATAACAGAAAATGAAAATTCATCATCTACATAAAATAATGTAGAATTAGAAGAAAGAAAAAAGAAAAATACCTGAAGGGGAAAATAGCAGAACTTCTACATGTACCAAAAAGAAGAAAATAGACCCAATAACCTAAGAACAATCACACTCCATATGCAGTTTGTGACAATGAAAATACAATCACTTTATCCTGCAACCAATCAGTTGATCATTCATAATTAGAAGTTGCATCTAATACCAAGTATTGATGGGCCAAAATTGTCTGGGGGTGACGGAACTAGGATTCTTAGCATAGAGGGGCCAAAATTTCAAAGTCACTTCCACATAGGTTTTTCATCTTCAACTAAGAGGGTCAACACAAATCTAATTACAGTAAATTTTATAATATATTACAATAGATTAAAAATTAAATAGGGGCTAGGGCCATGACATGCCTTGCTATAGCTCCGCCCCTACTGTGTGGTGTACCATCTAATACACATAAGACATATAAAAATATTTTATTTTTATAAGAAGGAATTTTCCTTAGTGTTTTTTTTTTTTTTTTTTTTTTTTTTTTTTTTTTAATTTTAATTTATTATGAATTTTAGAAATTAAATCCAAGAAAAATACTATTAAATGGTATAGGTCGACAGGTGGCAGCGCTGAAGGTGGCACCGTCAGTGTTTCCAACAGGTGGCGTGCCTCGATTGCGCCACATTTCATTTTGATTACTTTTTTCAAGTTTATCTTTAAAAATTATTTTAAAATAATTAAAAAAAATAAACCAATAATTGATACAAACTCCTCACGACATCATCCTCAATTATGGAGGTCCAAATCATGATTTCACATGTTCGAGTTTAAGGTAATTGTTGGAGCAAAGAACATTGTTAAGTTATAGAACATCAACTAGTGTTTTAGATTGTTTTGAAATAAATTTGAGTTTTCGTTATCATTTTATATTTTTATAATTTAAAAATTATAATTTTATGAGATTGATGATGTATAGAATGTCAGAAGGAGTTCCTATAAATTTATGATGTTTTTTTAGATTTTAATTAATTAATTATGAATTTTATAAGTTAAATTCATGAAAAATAATATGAAATAGTATAGGGCGATACATGGCAGCAACTGACGATGGCGCCATCAGTGTTTCCAACTGGTGGCATCCCACGATTGCGCCACATGTTGTTTTGATTACTTTTTTCAAGTTTATTTTTAGAATTTCATAAAAAATAATTAAAAATTATAAAAAAAACACCGAAAATTGCTACAAACTCCTTATGACATTATCTTCGACTGTGGAGGTTTAAAAAGATTCCACAAATTTAAGTACATGGTAATCATTGGATCAAAGAACATGAATATTAAGTTATAAAACATCAACTAGTGTTTTAGACTGCTTAGAAACAAAGTTGCGTTTTTATTATCAATTTACGTTTGTAAAACTCAAAATTGTACTTTTAGAGCTTGAAGATGTAGAGAATGTCACAAGGAGTTTCTAGGAATTTTCGGTGTATTTTTTTGGATTTTTAATTAATTTTTTTTATGAATTTTAGAAGTTAAATTCAAGATAAATAATAGACACTGGCAGCAGTTGAAGTTGGTGCCATTGGTGTTTCCCCCAACAGGTGGCGACCCACGATTGGTCTATACCCTTTAATATTATTATTCTAGTATTTAAATTCTAAAATGCATGATGCTTCTGCTATTACTTCTTATGCCTTCAAAGATCTTCTAGATCAACTTGTATTAGCTCAATATGCATTTCTTGGAATATTATCTTGTCCCACCAAAAGAAAAAAAAAGGGAAATAGCCTTCTATGCCACCCTTTTGCTAATTTTAACTAAAAATACCACCCCTTCCCAATTTTTTTACAACTAACACCTTTAAATATAAAATTATTGCCCACTTATTGTACTCATATCATAGTTTCAGAAATTGGCTCTCTCCCTCACTGTCTTCGCTCTTTCTCTTCAGCCCATCTCTCTCCTGGTGTACCTCTCTCTCTTCGACGCAGTGCTCTTTCCCCGTCAACAGTGGCCGTTCATCCAAGCGGAAATCCATCGTTGACATCGACGAGGTACTGTTCATAACCATTTTCTTTGAAATGTGGGGTTTTTGTGAAGGTTATGGTGTCTGGATTTCTAAGAAATTGGTTTGGTTGCTCAGAAATTGGGTTTGGGTTTATGGGTTTCTATGAACTGGGTAATAACGCACACCCACTGTCACTGGCTCGCAGCCACTGTTCACAGAAATCAAACTCTTCATTTTGTCACAGAACGTTTGGGCTTCGTTCACCTTTGGGAATCTTGGGTTAGCTTATAGTAGATGTTTGTGCACTGTTTGGTATTTTAAATTAGAATCAGTGGCTGTGGCTGATCTGAGAGGTTGTCTATAAGACCACAAAATCAATTATTAAATAAAACATGATTTGGGTTAGCCTTTTTCAGTCGTGGATGTTATTATGCTTATCTTTTTAGTTTCTAATTTTGGTATCTGCTCGATTTTAGAACTAATTTTTGGTATGCACGCTTATTTCCTATTAATAAAGGCATGATGATTAAATGCAGTTGTAATCTGTTGCAGAATTTGAAGAGATATTAATAGTTTAAATAAATTGGTAAGCTTTGCTTATTCTTTCATTTTTTGGGGCATAAGAATCAATATAGTATGCTATAGGTATGCATATTGTTAGCCGTTTTAGGACATACCCTAATTTGATTCCTTTTGATGGTATTTCATTGTTCTGAAGCCGAGGCTGAGTTTGATTCTGTGGCTGGCTTAGCTGCAGATGGATGGGTGTTTGCAAATCATATCCATTAGTGATGGTATATGGAGGTTGGGAACTTTTGTTTTCTTTATTCACACCCCTTGCTCCATAAACCTGAGATTAAAAACTTCTGTTTCAGCCTTTTCCAGAGGAGAAACCTTTACATTTGCTTATATTATAATTAACATAATGGCCTTATGTTTTTGGCTTAGTGATATCTCTTTTAGCTTCTCTCTCTTTCCTTCTACCTGTCACCTGTCTCCTCCCTTTAGTGAAGTATAATATGTGTTAAATAGAAGAGTGGAGCTTAAGGGATATATTTTAGGGAAATGACCCTCAGTGCCACCCCTTGAAGGTGAAAGAGAGGGTTGCTTCGTTAAATGCTCTCTCCCTTCAACAATCTCTCAGTTCCCTCTCTTTTCATGTTTTCAATGGACGTCTTTCTCTTCTTCTCTGCTCTTTCAGGGCCTCAAAAAACCCAAATTCTTGGTTTCGGTTCTGACTTTTTTCACATACTTCCTCCTCATTCTCAATCCTCTCACAGACAGAATTCCAGCTTTTGTTTAGGTGTTTCTGCGATTTCCAATTCGGGTCTGTGTGCAAAACGAGTGATTCTAAGGTAGGTTTTGTATTTGTTATTGACTAGTTTGTCTTTTTGTACGGTTTTCATTTGAAAAGGATAATTTCACTAACCTGTGACTGATTTTGTGAAGTTTAGTAATTAGAGAGATTGCAAATTTCTGTATTTTAACTGTGAATTACTTCATGCTTGGATGAAACTTCTATTGGTCTGATTGATTTTCATGCTATGGATGACGAAGTGCCTCAAGTTGCTATTTGTCATGTAGGATTGGTTCGTTTGTGATGCGTGTTTTCAGTTTCATTTTATGATGCATATTTAGTGTGGGAATTTATTGTGGTTCATGTGCTGTAATTTGTGTTTAATTTTCACTTAATATCCTATAATAGGCCGTTGAATTGTGTATTGCTTGTTATTGTCCAGATTGCAACGGACTGAATTTTTCTTAATAATAATGCCGTGCAGGGAAACATGGTTTCGCCAATTAAGTTGATGATTGGAGAGGAAGAAAAGTTCCAAGGAAAAGCATTGGCGCTATCCCATACAAAGAGTGCAATAAGTACGATAAAAGAGAAATTCAGTGAGCAACAGCTACGAACCTTCGAACAGAGTTGTTTTGGGCATCTCCTACTCATCGAGGACCTGAAGTGGACGTCGCCAATTGTACACGGATTGTTGCTGAGGAAAGCTGATCCGAAGACTGTTTCCCAAGTGAACGGGATCAAATTCATTGTTGGCAATAAGGTGATCCAATTCACACCCCAGCAATTTTGCGTCGTCACAGGGCTAAGGTTTGGGAACCTTCCCTTTATTCCGATTCCCAATAATGACAACTGCTCATTGAAAAGGAAGTATTTTGGCAACAATAAAACAGTGAGCCTGTTGGAATTAGAAAAAGCCTTCCGCGACTGCGCTGATGCGGATGATGCATTGAAGCTCGGCTTTGTATACTTCGCTGTGTTTGTGCTGTTGGGCAGTGAAAAACATGTCCACATTGACATGCGATATTTGAAGTTGGCGGAAGACCTTGAAGATTTTGGTAAATATCCATGGGGTGCTGTGTCTTATGCGAAGACAAATGCGTCACTGCTGAGGGCACTGTGTGCAGATTACCAGCGAGTGAAAGGGCCGAAAAAAGCTTCGAAAACAAAAAAATCTGAAAAGCAAGTAAAGACAACGGCAACCGATAGACCAAGAGAGTACCACCTAAAGGGTTTTGCCTTTGCACTTCAGGTGAGCACATTTCGATTCCTGTTGAAGTTAAATATCATTTGTTTACAGTAATGGGTTCTAAAACGAGAGAGAGAGAGAGAGAGAGAGAGAGAGAGAGAGAGAGAGAGAGAGAGAGAGAGAAATTGAGAGCTGCATTGGAGGAGCTAAAACATCATTTGTTCATGTTTATTTTCTGTAATTATTACTTATTTGGGGGATTGATTGGTTTAGTTGTTGAAGGATGAAGACGAATAAAAGGAACTCTGTCCACTGTTATTGTTTTTTGACAGATTCTTTTGACTAATGATATTGTGTTTGTGTGTGTGTTGATAGATATTGTTGTGAGAGAGAGAGAGAGAGAGAGAGAGAGAGAGAGCAAATTGGGTGGCTGTTCTGGGCGGCTGTGGTATTTAAAAAAAGAATTCTACAAAGAAATATAATAATTTGCAAAGTTAAAAAATTGATGGGAAAGGGGAGAAACATTCAAGGGAGGGGGTCAGGGGTAGAAGGGAATTCAAGAATAGAAAATGGACAGAAGGTTTTATTTTATTTAATTAGTAATATTATTCTGTTTTTGCTGAATATTATATCATTAATATTGATGATGAGCCCCGTGTTTTTCTATCAACAACCCTAAGTTAACACTAATGACCTCATTATAGAAATAAGTTGTCAGAAAAACAAGTTTACATTTTCACCCCTTTATGTAAGTGGGGGATATTGGATATTAGGAAATAATCTGTTTTTCCTGATTTGTGTTGAATGCTCTTAGACTAATGACTAATGTGGCCCGAACCACTTTTAGCCTCTATGCATCTCTAGATGGCTGTATTTCGTTTAACTTTTGTCAATCATAGGGCAAGGTTTAGACTGCAATTAATACATGCTAATTATTTCTCTTTATTGTATTCTTGGCTTTTCATGCCCTATTTAAGGTTATAGCATGTGATCTCTAAGGCTTTTCTTCCTGAAACCAGATTTGGGCTTATGAGGTATTTCCAGCGTTGGCTGCACTACATTTGGTGGTGCACGAACATAATGCCTACATCCCTCGTATACTACATTGGAGGAGCAACACTTTGCCGCGTTTTTATGAGCTCATGAGCCAAGTCTTCGAAAACCGTGAGGTTAGTTCAGTTTGTAATGATAATCTTAGGCATATGAAAATATAATTTTATAAGTTTACTGATATTTCTATTGTCTGCGTAAATTGCAGGTTGATGTGCAACTTATCCGGCCATCTGTAATTGACAAGCAGCAGCGTATTGGACTTGGGGTGACAGTGTTGACAACACTGAAGAACTTGTTGAGTTGGTTGGCGATGACGCTGAACAAAAAACCAGCACGTCTGCCTCTGTAGAAGAAAAAGATGAGGACATTGAAGAAACTGCTAGCCTTCCGTCGTCTTCTAAGGCAAGCATTACCTATTTTCCAATATTCCAATATATATGTCATAATACAATAGGAAATGAACTGCTGTTTTGTTCCGATATATTTTGGAAATATTGTAACACTTGCATTATAACTGATTGCAGGGTAAAATGGCGTCCACTGAGTTACGCACTTTGAAGCGTGACTTTGAAAGGATGAAGGATGAATTCGCCAAAGTTGTCAGTTCAAATCGAGCGCTTCACAACAGAGTGCATGAGTTGGAAGAAATGGTACGGAGGGAGTCATCCAAAGTTGAAAGAAATAACAAGTGTGTGGAGGATTTGCGCAACACAGTGGCATCAATGGAGCATTATTTTAAGCTGGAGCTAGAGCAGCTGCGAAAACAAGATGGTGGGGGTGAAAGAAGCTGGGGAAGGACATGAGGACCTCGATACTCCTCATATGAATGAAGGAGGTGACAATGAATTGTCGCCATTACATGACAATGTCACTCCGCCCACAAAATCGGCAGCAATGGCAACACAAGTCCCCAGTGATGGAGCCGAACCTTCCGCAGCCATGGTCACTCCAGTTCCTGACTTACAAGTGCATGAAGCAGCTGCGCATGCACAATCCGAGAAGCTGCCTACCCCGGAAGATGTGGCCGGTGTGACGAAATCTGCCAAAGACTTATGTTTTTGTTAGAAGATTGGAAAATAGCTGACAGAGTGCCATCGGGAGGTCCGATGAATCCTCCAAGTATACCTACAATTAGTATGGCTGCTGATGAAGAAGGTAGTTTGAGTGTTGAAAAAAAAGAAGTGGAAGGTAAAGGCTGTAGACAGAAGCGCCCGGCCCAGACATTATTAAGTCCATTTACTGATCCTTTGAGGAAGAAGAGGACAATGAGTGTGTCGGATGCGACTGCAACCCCGCCATGTTTTGATCCATCAAAACCGCTGCCCATTGAAGATGTGAAGGCAGTAATAGATTTTTGCACTGCCTGGAAAAACGATATCAGGTTCGCATTCTTGACCTTCGAAATCCAATTGTCATCCTATTAATATGCATGTGTATATTTGTCATCAACAAAGTCAGATTTATGAGATGCGTACAAACGTAACCGTTCCAAGTTTGCCTTTTCTAGTGTGCAGGTGCAGCTTGAAGCATTTTCAGTGGGCGCTGATTTTTTCTACAAACTCATCGATGAAACGGCATGGATTAGCTCAAGGGTAAGAATACACAAATCTCTACTTTATTATGATCATTCAATTGTTTTCTCACCTTTTTTAAGTGTACAATTGTCTGAAAATGTGCTGATATTATATGTCAACTGTCAGCACCTGGAAATGGCAACCTTTCTTATCCGGAAACGGCAACTCTCTCATCCGTTGCTATTTGGAACCGACTGGACAACGGCAGATTATGCCTTGCAGGTACACTTTTTACCATGTTACATTCACTGCTTCATTTGCTTTCCCTCGTCATTATGTCATATGGTTTCATTTCAATGTCTGCAGCAATTTCTAGAGCCGTTAAAAGCGACTGGCAAGACACGTGGATCGAAGAAGGCAGCAGCTTCAAACACCAGTGACCTTCCAGCCAACAAGCTGAAGAATGTACATCACTTTGTGCACGGTACGTGGCAACACGGGTATGCCCAAGCTTGGAAAAAGTCCGCAGAGTGTATTTTCCATATAATCTTCGAGAGTCCCATTGGGTTGCAATCGAAATTGATTTCGTCCGACATACTGCAACTGTGTATGACTCATATGTTGATTATACCAAATCTTCGAAGCTGGTTACACTTCTGCAACCTGTTAGCGATACGCTTGCACGAGTGCTGTACAATATGAAGTTTTATGAAGATTCTGAGGTTGAAGAGGTGAAGCAAAAGGGGCTGCAGATGTCGAGGTTTACGCCTTTCTCAGTTTGCATCATTGGAGGTGTGCCACAACAACGAGATGGGTAAGAATTGTGAATTTAGTTCATTTTTTCAAAATTTTACATAAATGCAGTTGTAATTTCCCAACTTATTGGCCTCACAGTACGTCTTGCGGAATCATGACCGTTCAATTCATCGAGCATCTCAGTGCTGGGCTTTCGGTGCATAAAATTGACCCGTCGAAGATCAAATATTACCGACTGAAGCTTGCAATAGAGGGGTTAAGGGGGGAGGCATATTTATGAGGTAAATGTCTTCATGTGTGTGAATTGACTAGGGTTTTATGAGTTTGCATTTGGTCAACTAGGGTTTTATGAGTTTGTTTATTTATTTAGGAGCTTGTGTATTGTTGCTGAAAAAATTGATGGATTTGTGTTTAGGAGCTGGTGTTGCTTGCTCATTCATTATGAGCTACAGAACCAACCTCTATTCAGCTTGCATTGGCATAAGAAAACATGAGGGGTATTTGCTTTGAAGTCTGTGATGTGGTTCTTCATGCTGATGCCATCCACAGAGGAGGTGGTCAGGTCATTCCCACTGCTAGGACACTCATCTATGCTTCCCAGCTCACTGCCAAGCCAAGCCTCCTTGAACCTGTATATCTTGTTGAAATCGAAGCTCCAGAGCAGACTGTTAGTGGTATCTACGGTGTTCTTAATCAGAAACGTGGGCACGTGTTTCAGGAAATGCAGAGGCCTGGTACTCCACTGTACAATATGAAGGCATACCTACCCGTCATTGCATGTTTTGGGTTCTCTGGTCAATGAGGGCTTCGACTTCAGGGCAGGCCTTCCCACAATGTGTCTTTGATCATTGGTAGATGATGATGTCTGATCCATTTGGAAGCTGGATCCCAGGCTTCAGAACTTGTGACAGATATCCGTAAGAGGAAGGGTTTGAAGGAGCAAATGACCCCACTATCCGAGTTTGAGGAGAAACTTTGAGTAATTTCTTTGATTATATCCAACAATTGGATGACTGAGTTTGTTTGAGACAGTAGTTCCATTGCAGTGCCTATTTTTGGTTTTCAGTTATTTGTTTTTGTTTAATGCTTGTACCAACCCTGTTGTTGTAGTCACCATCCTCTATTTTCTTTGTTACTTTGCTTGTTTTCTTTTGGCTTGTCATATCTGTGTGCAAGATAGCTGCATTTGGCACTATGAACAGACTCGGTGGCAGTTACAAATTAACAGAGGTCTTAATTCTGGAACTCCCATTCATAAACTCTATCTATGTGTGTCATATGTGTGTGCCAGTTGTTTTTTGCAGGTCCGTCTCAACCAAGTGTTGATTGCAATATTCTAAAGAAGATGACCATACACTGTTATTTGATGTAGGCATACGTATGAGATGGCTTAGCTTGAATTGGTTTGGTTGTTCCAAGTTGTATGTACACAATCTCAGAGTCAGTACCGAGTTGGTTTACATTTCATGTATTTGTCCGTGGTTTTTTTCCCCCAATATTATGATTATGGAGATGAAGTAAATATTAATGTGGACTTTATAGCATGTTTAGTTTCTTTTATGGCCTTAATTCTGTGAGAGATGCCCTTATGATGTCAAACAAACGGTTTTTGACATACATGTTTTGAAATAATTGAAATCACACACCGTTTATTATTATTATTATTATTATTTTTGTTTCCTGCTCGGAGAAGAAGCAAAGTGGTTACAAATATGAAAGATTCCGAATCAGTTTTCTTCTGTCAAATTCCGCATGGAGCTAGAGGTCTACGGTACCATCCAATGAGACTTGACAAAAAATTTGTATTTTTCTTCTTACATTTGTCATAGATAAGATTAAATGTAACCACTAATGAACTGATCCCTTTATTTGTTATTGTTTATTTATTCCAATTGCGTGTGCATCACATGGAAATCTTAGGATTTCTTTACATCAAACTGCCTCTTAAGAGTCATGAGAAGAAGAAGAGGAAGAAGAGAAAACAGAAGGACCTAGCTGGAGCTTACAAGTAATTAAACTAAAGTTCATTTAGTTAAAGTCAGGGGAAGAAAACATGTTTATGGCACCCTAAACCAGGCAAAACACTGGTGTTGGAAGGAGATGTAAAAGGGTTTATTGTGCATTCCATTGGCCAAGCTTGAATTGATTTTCTTTTCTATTGTATTTGACCCTTCTTTTCAAGCATGCCAAAAATCATCCTGGTTTTGTAAGATGTGGTTTGAGCCCAATGAATTTACCGTGGCTCTTGCATTTTTGTACCCAATATTTCAAAGCTGCCTTCTTTTGAAGGACGATTCATTGAGGGAGAGAATTACTTTCCTTTTGAATATGAATCGATGTGCAACTCCAACTATCATTTCAAAAGGAAACATCAATTCATGGTAATATAAGGATGGATAACAATTGTCCTGTCCGTGATATTTGAATTGAGGATTACTTTGAACGAAATGGAGACTGTTATTAGACCAAATGGCATTGACATACGATGTAATAGCAATATTAGGCCAATATACTTCACTGTAGAGGCAATATTAAAGCAATATAAGTACAATACCATAGGGATATGATCACAATATACTTCTCATAGGGTGGCAATATACATACAATATGTATACAATACGAAGGCAATATTAAACATATACATACAATATGTATACAATACGAAGGCAATATTAAGCAATATACATGCAATATGTCTACAATACCAAGGCAATATTAAGCAATATACACACAATATAACAGCAATATGAAGTGAATCTACATACAATACACACACATCCAAAAAGTACGACTACATTTGACACATGCAAACCAAATCGCCTCCGAACCTTAACAATCCTATTCCGCGAAGGAAAACCGAAGGCACCAAAAGATCCATGTAATCGGGTGAGATGAACTGCAGCAGCACTTACCCTTACTACAGGTCCATGAAAAGATCAATGTCTTTGGGCTTTCTCCTCGCTGCATGCACGAGGCTATGATGAGCCATTCCCTCAGCACCCATATTCAGCACCTGCCAGACACCAGGTACATCAATTTCACTCCAATTGTAGTCTGGTGAGATGACCGACGCATAATCTCGGAACATTTCGAAGCCGTTGTTGAAACATTCAACCATTTCATGGTTATATTCTTCAGATTTGGTGAATTTATCGACGGCATTTTTCTTTATCTCTTCCAATTTCAACTTCAACGACTCTAACTCTTTGCTCCGACTGTTTGCTTTTAAAGTTTGCTTCACTTCTCCAGCATAAGCTTTGTTCAACTTGTTGGCCAAATTTCCCATAACTTGGCCATGAATATCACATTTAGTCTCCCACCAATCTGTTGCCTTAGACAAATATTGGAGGTCGTGCTTGACGGCTGAGATTTTGTCAAGCGGATCACTGCTCTCAGCCTCACTTCCAGATGAAGTGGGATCATGATTGGGAGTCGGAGGTGGAGATGGGAATGGCACATGCCATGGCTGGTCCCCCGGGTAACTGCCATGCTCGTTTGGAGGGCGTACATCCGACATCTGAACTATTGATGGGGACAATTCACACCTGGCGACTGAATGTTTGCATTTGAGTACGACTCCTACCTTTCTGAGGTTGAAGAAGTTGGCTAAGTTGCAATTATTGGAAGCTTGAGTTATATGTAGGAATTGATATGAAGTACATTCGGTATTGGTGGTGCATTCATTGATGGGATTGCAAAGAGACCATTAACTCGTTGGCTGTAATTCCGCAGTAAGCATTACATTAACAACAATAAAATGGGGCTGACAAACGCTAACCTTCATGGGAATTGGAAAGTGTACCCAAACAAGGACTATGTAACTAAGCATTTATTGCGAATTTCAGAAAAGAAAATTGGAACATAGCAAATAGCAAATTAGCAAACTTGGCAAACTTGGAAAATTGGAAATAGCACAAAAAATTGGGAATTGGAAATTTGGAATTTTGGAAAATCGGAAATACGAAAATACGAAAATACAAAAAAATGGAAGCTTGGAATTTGGAAAAGTGGAAATGGAAAAAGGAAATTAGAAACAGGAACTAGGAAATAGGATAAAAGGACACTTGGAAATTTGGAAAAGCCAAAAGGGACCTTCAAATTGGGTCATTGGAAATAAAGACTCTTCGAAAATTGGAAAATTGGAAATTGAACAAAGGAAACTTGAAAATAGGCAAAAGGCAAAAAAGGAAACTCTGAAAACATGAAAATTCGAAAAAGGAAAATTCAAAAATCGAAATAGGAATAGGAAAAAGGACACTTGGAAAAGGGCAAATTCGCAAATTGGAAATTGAAAATTGGTAATTGGAAAATTGGACTATTGGATAACTGGATAATTGGAAATTAGGAAATAAGGCAACTTTGAAAATAGCAAAATTGAAATACAAACAAAGGAAAGTTAGCAAATTGGAAAATTGGAAATAGGAAAAAAGGAAACTTAGAAAATAGGGCAATTGGAAAAAAGCAATTGGATAATTGGACAAAAAACTGAAAATTGGATAAATGGAAATAGGAAACAGGGACACGTGGAAAATAGGCAAATTGGAAACGAATTGAAATTGTGGAAATGGGAAATAAAACAATTACCATATTGGACAATTTTATTTACTTTCTCAATTAGGCAAAGTAGGCAACTTATTTTAATTACATAATGGGAAATAGGAACATTGAAAGATTGGAAACTGGAAATAGTATAAAAGAAACTTGGGAAATTGCAAAATACAAAATGGAAATAGGAAAAATAGGCAAAATAATGAAAATTGGATGACACATGGAAAATAGGAAAATATGAAAAATGGAAACATGGAAACGAATTGAGATTGCTGAAATGAGAAATAAGACAATAACCATATTGGTCAATTTGAATGAGTTGGTCAATTAGGCAAATAGGCAAATCCCTTATTGGAATTACATAATGGGAAAATTTACCAAGTTCGGAACATCCAAAATAGAAATATATTAGAAAAAGTCATACAGTGAAGTGGGTAATACTCCCGCCCAGACTATCCCGCCTAAGACTCCCGCCAATCCCTCCCAACTCCAATCCCTCATCCCTCCCGCCAATCCCTCCCGCCAATTACTCCTCATTCCTCCCGCCAATAACTCGGTCATTTACTCCATGCTGAAAAGGCTGCCTATTTATTAATCAACCTAGCTGAATGGAAGGTGAAAACGGCAATCACATTAACTGCAGCCATTACCTTCCCCATCAGCCTCACTTCCATCCCTTTATTTCCCATTAAGTCATACAGCAGCCTACAATAAATATCGAAGACCATGGATCATAACCTCACACCAAACCAAACGCTTTCAATTACTGAAGGAGGGAAGATTGAAACAGAAGGCAAGTCACCAATTCACTCCCTCACTGCAGACTTGGTCCCTGGCATGCAGCAATGTCGAGGCAATACAATGTTTTGGAAAAATCTCCATGCAGACATAGTTTCAAAAATTGTGGAGGGCCAAGCTAGATGGGGTGTCATAAAAAAAACCGCCCAATTCGCTCTCGTTATCATGCCCGCATGCATCTCCTACATAAAGGCAATGAAAGGAAAAATTGAAATTGCCCCTGCCACTGCAATTATGGTATTCAAGGAATCAGAAGAAATGGCCAAGTTGAAGCAACAAGAAGTGGAAAGCGGATTCGAACTATTTCGTAAGTTTGCAAAAATAGTGGATCCGGCAGGAAACTGGGACAACATGACTGTGGCCGGGGTCATGAATTTCATGGGTCGTGGTCGCCGCACTTGAAGAGTATGCAACTTCGAATTTGTCAATAGCAGGGAAATGGAACTATGAGGTCGCCTCTTTTTGTATTATGTAACGATGGGGGGCCTGTTGTTGTATTATGTTTTTTTTTTGGTCGAATGTTGTTGTATTATGTAAGTTTGGAAATAGGATTTTATGGAATGATGATGCCTCTTTTTGTTTTTGTGCGTATACAGTTTATCAGTGTCCAGTTGAGTGGCGATATAGCAGCAATAACTATGCAATAAACATGCGTATAATGGCAATATTATGTCAATAAGGGTGCAATAGAGTAGTGATAGGGTTACAATATGATCATATTACAGTACGTAGTCATCAGAATGTTTTTAAAATTATTTGGTCCAAAAAAATACAAAAATACAAAAAATAAAAGTAATTACAACCTGGAAAAAGGATGAATTATACATCCCTTAAAAGACATATGACCTACATTACAGACCTTCAAAATGAACTCTATATATATAATGCATGCCTTGTAGCACACATCCCCCCCCCCCCCCCCCCCCCCCAATTACAGAAACATGACACCCCAAAACCCTCGTGCTCCTTCCTCTTTCAACCCCTAAATTATCCATTGGACATGAGCAATCTATTGGGTTAACATTCGTAATGCTCCTTCAACAACGATATGTAGTCAAACACATAGGACATTTCACCTTGTATTTGCCCCACATGTGGCCTATGCATCGGCCGAATTTGTAATCACAAAAGAAGGTATAGTCGGAGTATCACGGTAACTGTGTCATAAAGGAATTCAAAGAACTTGAATGTTTTGGATCCATTTGGAATTACATTCCAGGCCCTTTAATTTCGCACTGAAATTATAATAGCAATATGGAAGTAATACCATGGCAATAAAAGTACAATATAATGGCAATCTGGACGCAATACAGCATGCTGTAGCAATGCAACCCAAATTATGCAAATGTAAAAGAATTCCCATTCAACATAACACGAAACCCACCACAAATAAAAGTAAAGTTGACATGACCTACCAAAGCAACAGAAATCATATTGTCTAAGATACATTGCGCAGTGGAATAGTGTTTTTACAGGTGCTTTTATTGTGGCCTGCGGAACCACACCTTGAGCACTTTCTTCTAATGGTGCCCTCTCCTTGCGAGGGGAATTCTTATCTTCTTTCGTCTGCCTGGCATGACCCTTGCAATGGGAGGCAGCACAACTCGACTTCGAACATCTTCAGGAATATCCCACATTCCGTGAGGCTGTATCGGGTAGATGCTATCCGAATAAGCATCCATCCAGGTTTTCCGAGTGTAATACCGAGAAGCCTTTGAGTATACATTTACTTTCAAGAAGCGGCAAACTGCAACTACATGCTTGCAAGGTAGCTGCTCAAGCTGAAACTTTCTACAACTGCAAGTGTTGTTCGTCAAATCTACGAGGCCATCCATATGACCGTCCAAAACATTAAACTGTGCATTATTCACTTTAACCACATTCATCGTTGCAGCATCCTCCAACCTGTTCCTCAACTTCTTCTCTCCAAAATTGGGGCACAATGTTGTTGTGCACTTCAAAGCCAACTCACGACGTTCGGTGAACCATTTGACAAGGAGATTCATAATTTCCCCTATCAAATGAACCACTGGCAGCGTCCTTGCAAACCTAAGGACTGAGTTGATTGACTCCGCAATATTTGTTGTCATTACATTGTAGCGGCGTCCATCCATGTGAGCTCTAGACCACTTATGTAACCCTGCCTCTTCAAGATATTGAGCAACATGTTCCTTTCGCTTGATCTTGCGAAAATGACAATCAAATTCAGCAATGGAATAAGATTTCGCAGCCTGCTCAAAGTGCATAAGTATTGGATCACGTTTTTTTCAACTTGCAAGTGCGTTTCATGTTCCCCTTCATATGATAAAAGCATATGCCCATGTTGCGCAGTTGGAAAAACTTTGTTCCACACATTCTGTATGCTAACATTTCGATCAGAAATAATAACAAGATTGGGACACTCACCAATGGCTTCATGAAGTTTAGTGAAAAACCCAATGCCATGATGCATCCGTCTCCAAATCCCCGATCCCAAAAGCAAGAGGATATATATTTCGATTACCATCGAATGCATTTGCTACAAACATAACACCCTTGTACTTGGATTTTAAATGAGTGGCATCCACAGCTATCACTGGGCGCATGGAAGAACAAAAACCCTCTAATACATGCACCAACCGCCATAAATAAATACACAAAGTGATTGTTCTCATCAGTTTGGATGTGTGTTTTTGTGCCGGGATTCATACGCTCCAATTCATAGCAATAAGCTGGAAGAATATAATATGCCTCCTCCGCTGATCCTCTAATGGACAATAGAGCTAACTCCCTTGCTTTCCAAGCTTTCGAATAATGGATTCTTAAACCAAAGTTGTGTTTCACATCTCTCATAATGTCACTTGGTGTGTATATTGTCCGAGAATCCTTCAACTTCCTTTTACATGAAGTGGCTACAAGTGCTGCGGTTGCTTGACGATGGTTGTCACTTATGAACCTCAAATCACATTCATGGACAGTTGTACACCTCACAATCATGAAGCTGTATTCTCCAAATCTCGATGCTCGAACCCGCCATGGGCATGGACGTTGACAACAAACCACAAGCAACCTCTTTGTGCAGGAGAATTGCACCTTAAATTCGAAGTGGCCTCTTATTGCCGTCAACTGTAACTCCGTCAACAATGCTTTCTTACTAGAGAAAATTTGCCCAACTGTAATTTTCGGATTCCAATCACTTCGCGAACACCCGCTATCCAAATATGCTTCCCCATCATTTACACCGGCTTCATTGTACCGGTTCTGTTCACCTATTTGATTCCAATAATGTTCACGAATGGGTTCAGATTCTCCTCCTAAACGCATTATTGGCAGTTGGGCAGATGTGTTCAAGCAGCCCAAAATAGGAGGGGCAGAGTACACTGACACTTCATTTCTTTCAGTACCATTATCACCACCATGCATGTCCTCCACCTCGCTAAAATCAATCATATCCATAAAATCTGTCCCTACTTCACCTCCCACATCATTGCCATTTGTATTATTCCAACTTACTTCATTGCTTTCAACAATGGCGACTGAAGAAGGACCCATCCGACTACTATTTGTCGTGATATGCATACTATCAACTACATCATTTGTGAGTCCTTTATCTTCTATACTCACGAGTAAGGGAGCTAGTTTTGAAGGTGTTACCTCAGAATTGTACTTCATAAAAAATTGACATCATCATCATCCTCAATCTTTATGTGCTTCCACTCATTCGAGGCCACCAAAACTGAGAATTTTAAGCAAACCTTGTCTTCCCTGCTGTTTGTATTACCAATCTGATGCACACGGTCCAACAGTTCAGCAAATTTGATGGTCCGTGGAACTATTAAGCCTTTTGAGTCACCCCCTTCGTATTTGCACATCTTCTTCGAGGTGACCCATTTTCCATTGTAGCACACGAGAATAACAATTGTCTCCATTTCTGACCATCACAAAACAACAGTTCATTAACACAATATAACCACAATAACCATACAGTATAACAGCAATATAACCACAATAACCATACATATAACAGCAATATAACAGCAATATAATGGCAATATAACAGCAACATAACAACAATACGACGGTAAAATAAGAGGAACACTGGTGTAACACATCAGAATCACACTATACAGATCTACTACATCAAATGGAAAATCCCAAGTTTCAAGATTCACATATCCAGACCAATCTAAGTGCAATTGGTACAAACCCAGATGAATCAGCATGGATATTCAACAAAACCTAACCCAAAGCAATTAAAGCCAAAACAAATTTAACACAAACCCAAACAATCAAAATGTAACCCATTTCACATAATCCCACTGATATTAAAAGAAAATAACCATCAACACTACCTTTTCGAGGTCGGCAATCCACTAGAGCTTCACGGTTGCAAGCAGCTATTCAGAAGACATACCTAAAGGTAGGGGTTTGCGATTCCAAACAGAGAGCAAGACCGAATATGGGGAGAAACAGACATAACGAATCTAGAGAGAGAAAGAGCTGCGGTATGAGAAAGAGAGCAAAGACAGAGACAGAGAGTTGTGCTACAGAGAGAGAGAGAGCCAAGAGAGACAGAGAGCTGCGAAATACCAAAGAGAAAGAGAGCTGTGCCAGAGAGAGAGAGAGAGAGAGAGCTGCGTGAGCTAAGAGAGACCAAAATTTATGAACTTGTGATAAATCAGCAATAGGAGGACAATAATTTTATATTTATAGGTTTTTAGTTTTGCAAAATTGGGAAGGGGTGGTATTTTTAGTTAATATTAGCAAATGGGTGGTAGTGGGGGTCATTTCCCAAAAAAAATACAAATATGGCTAAAGCCCAAACCCAGAAAAAATGTTTTTTCAAATTTCATTTATAATAAAAGAATATGAGGGAAAATTCAAAATAGAGAAAGTGGGTATGATTATTAATCTAAATTTTGTGAGAGTTCATGATGAAAATGGTACATGAACATTTCTTTGTAAAATTTTGGGGAAAATCGGAATATGTAAAAATAAAATAAAATAAATATTAGAAAGAAAGAAAAAGGAGGAAATTCATTCATCCTAGCCCACTACCTCCCCTCGATTCTAACTACCTAGCCTGCCAGCCATGCCTCCACCACGACCATCCCACCCCACACCCACCTGAAGCCCAACCTAGATCAAATTCAATTTGGGTATGTGAGTCTAGTTAAAATGATTCCCGCATAATCATTAAACATAGCACCTCTTCGAAACTGATTCCTACATAATCAGAAAATGAAAATACCTCATTAACTGATTTCCCTTATAGTTTTTCTCTCATATCAATTTTTAACAATAAGTGATTTTCTCATAATTTACCAAACGAGTTGGACTAAGGTAATTATAGTCCTGAAAATCTTGACCTTCATAAAATCAAGAACGCTAAGAGGGGAAAGAAAACAAGGAAAATTGTGGCTTCCAACTAATGATGTCATAGATTAGAGCTCAAAATAAGGCCTGAAGGAAACAGCTTAGGAAAGAAGCAGAGAAACCAAACCAACAGAGAGAGAGAGAGAGAGAGAGAGAGAGAGAGGGGATTTCCAAATTCTGCAGCAGTTGGCCAGGCCTTTGGTCTTTTACGTCACCAAATTGTTATTATTAATTAAATTAGCTTTATAATTAATGTTCTTATTTGTTTTTTAACTGCTCTTTTGTTAGTTTTGGTTAGTGGGAAATTGACTGTCCAGCCTGTAATTCCGTACTTTCAGAAGCTCCGAATTCTCATAAAATTTTGAGTCACTGACTTAGTGTGTGTGTGAGAGAGAGAGAGAGAGAGAGAGAGAGAGTGCACATGAAAACCATAACCACTAAAACCAGCACAAATTAGAAGACTCAAAGACTTCAAGTCTCCAAACAAACAGAACTAATTACTGTTTAGTGTGAAGTGTGCCACTCACTACGACTATTTAGGAGGCACTAAAACACTAAGGGGTCGTTTGATACACAGGCTTGGCTTGGACTGCCTTGGACTAAATTTAGTACCATGTTTGTTTCATTTAATTCTACTCTTAGATGGGATTGCTAATACCGGGCCCACCAAAAACACCTCCTTAGGAGGGGACTACTAATCCCATGTTGAAAGGGAGGATTAACTAGTCCTATGTTCAAAATGTATAAGTTGCATATATTATATTGTAATACTAATAACATATATTACTATTATTATTATTATTATTATTATTATTATTATTATTACTACATACACATATACTATAATGTACATATATACACGTATATACACATATACATGTGTATATATATATAAACACATATATACATATTTATAAATACATATAGATATATACACGTATATTATTATTATAATATACCCATATATACATACATATTAATATTATAATAATAGCATACATGTATATATGTAATATATATTATATTATATATTAATGTACATATATACACATATACATGTATATATATAAACACATATATACATATATAATATATATAAATACATATAGATACATACACGTATATTATTATTATAATATACCCATATACACATACATATTAATATTATAATAATAGCATACATGTATATATGTAATATATATATTATATTATAATACATATATACGTATATTTACATATATGTGTATATATATTATACCCATGTATGTATTATAATATACATATACACATGTATATACACATATATATATATATATTATAATATACATATATACATGTATATTATTATTATTATTATTATAACATACCCATATATATTATCTATTATAATACACATATATATATATATGTATATGTATTATACCCATGTATATATTATAATATATAGATACACCTATATACACATATATTATATACATGTATATACGTATATACATGTATATAATATATATATACATGTATATATATATTATAATATATAATATATATACATATATTATATATACATATGTATTTTATAATATAAATAATATATGTATATATACATACATATATATACATATATACACGTATATACATGTATATTATTATTATTATAACATGCCCATATATATTATATATTATAATATATGTACATATATATAAATATATGTATATGTATTATACCCATGTACAGTGACGGATCCAGAATTTTTCAAGGGAGGTGCAAGATTTAAAAGACTAAAAATCGCAAAGGACTCGAGCAAGGTCCAAGGTTCAAGTCTAATATCCATGTAGTGTGTTAAAAAAAAAGGCTAAAAATTCAAAAATTAATTTAGACAACCAAATGCCCTTAGAATTTTAACAATACTAATGTTATTCGTAATTAAAACAAATAATAATTTTACGTGTATTACTAATTGATTACAGTCTGTATGGAATATCAATTAATATGAACAAAATCCATGTCAGTGACACAATTAGTTTACCAAAATTCATATCAAATATGAACAAAATCCATGTCAATTACTTAATTAATCTAACAAAAGTCAATACCAATTAATCTAACCAAAATTAATACCAATTAATCTAACCAAAAGCACATGTGATTTGGAGGTCAGAGATAAAAGTACACGTGATTAAAAGTTCTGGGTAATTTTTTTGTGAATTTTTTGGCACACATATGAGTTTTTAATGAATTTTTTAAGTTAGGCCAATTAGAAATGGACATGTGTCAGCTTGCTATTGGACCATTTAAAAAAAAATCAAAAGTGAGAAGCAAAGTCTTTCTTCTTCCTCGAAGAGCCTCTGCAACTCTAACTTTAATTCTAGAAAAACTTCGAAAATTCATAACTTTGGTTGTGGAGCTCCGATTGATGAACCGTTTTCTCCTACATGCTCGTGGGATCGAGCCCAACAATCTAAGGTAAATATTTAGAGTCTCACACAGCAGCAAACAAAACAACATCTTTGAGGCATTTAGTCGAACAATTGGTGGGCAATAGCGAAGGGGCAAATTCTGACATCCCCAGGAAGTTTCCGGCGAGGAGAGGTGCAGCTGCACCTCTTTGCTCCTCTGTGGATCCGCCAGTGCCCATGTATATTATAATATACATATATACACCCATATACACACATATATATATGTTTACATTATTTATAATATATAATATACATGTATACATGTATATACCCATATATATTATATATTATAATATACGTACATATATATAAATATATGTATATGTATTATACCCATGTATATTATAATATACATATATACACCTATATACACATATATATATGTTTATATTATTTATAATATATAATATACATGTATACATGTATATACACATATATGTTATATATATATATTATATGTATGTATATATACATATACATTATATATATTATAAAATACATATATACATATATATATAGATATTTTTGAAAAATAAAAAAAATCTAGTCCTAGTCCAAGCATGCACCAAACGCAGGATAAGTGTTATCCAACTTAGACCATGCCAAGCCAAGCCAAGACAGTCTCTAAGCATAGTCCATGCCAAGACAGTCCTATGTAACAAACGAGCCCAACTATATAATTTCTACCCACCACCAAACCTGCCCCAAAGATTAAGGCTTTTTAGATTTTTTTATTTTTATTTTAAGAAATTTTTTCTTCCATTTTTTGTTATGAGGTTTTCCTTGGAAGATACTCTAGGCCAAACAACCCGAAATCTCTCAAATTTTCACAAAATTTAGGCTTCAAAATCCAAAAATTATTATTATTTTCTTGTAATATTACCATTTGTAAGCACTAATTATTTCTTTCTTTCTTTCTTTGATTTTTCTTTTTGGGATGAAATCTTTTCGGGATTTTCCTACCCTAACAAGGAGAGGGAGAAAGGGCAAGAAACCTTGCAAAGTGGGAAGTCTTTCTTGGGTTAGTTTCAAAATCCATGCTTATCGCCATCTCTTATTTTAATGCATGCCATTTTTATCCCTTTTAATTATTTTTGCAATTTATTTCCTCTTATATTTTTGTTTCCACGCCGTTTCTCAACCCCTTCAATGGCCTCCATGCACGTTTCCTCTATTTTCTTATTTCTTCTATGAGAGACCTTTCTATTTAGGGTTTACGCTTTCTGTTCACACACACACACACACACACACACACACACACTCCTTTTCTCTTTAGGTAAGGAAACCCCCTTTTTGGTTTTGTTAGAGGCCATGGCAATGGCTATTATCTGTATTATTAGATTTTCATTGATGCCTACTTAATTACAGGCCATGGCTGTTCGTTCTGTGCTTGGAAAGCTGGGTAGGAGTAGATTTATTCACAACAATGAAAGACTTACCATGGCTGGGAGTTCTCCTACTGTTTGTTCCTCTCCTCATCATCCTTTTGATTATTATGGCGTCGTCCATGATCAAAACAAAGCGGATCAAGAAAGAAACCCTTTTCTTCATAAGGTGGTGTATATTAATTATGTTAGTTATTTCCTTCATATTCATTGCAATTCAATTCATATATCAAGTGTTGATATAGACTCATGATTCAATTCACAGCCAGTTTATTCTCATTTGGATTTTGGAGGACTAGAACCTGCTCGTTTCGCCACCGAAGAGTTGAGGAAGAAAAGGGTTTCTTTTTTTCTTTTTTCTTAATTTTTCTTTAGTACATATGCATTCCTACAATATATACAAGATTTAGTCGTTCCTAAGAAGCTAATGGTTTTGTGGATTAATTATCGTTGACATATTTATTATCTGTCTAATGATTTGGCTTCTCTTGTAGAATATCCAATTGCAGTCTGTGAGAGTGCTGAGCGTGGTAGCGAGGAAAGATTCTGAGTCACCACGATATATCTCTTCCTATGATCTATCGTTGGAGGGAGATGATGCCGGTGTTATGAGATATTTCCAAGTAGAAGTTTCAGTTAATTCCAGCAATGGCATGTGGTTGGAAGAATGTTATCTTCTCGTTGATAATCAAAAGCCAATAAGATTATATCATTACCTAGGTTTGCTATGACTGATTGATTATGCATCTAAACTAGTTCTATTTATAACAATCAATCCAAAAACGTGTGAATTAATGTTACATGTTGATGAATGAATGGAATTTATTTTGCTTGAAACAGACAACTTTTATGATGCATATGCGGAGGCTTGACAGCAGGTTTTATTGGGTACGTTGTTGACTATTATTATATATGCATTAAATATTTTGCTTAATATGTGGAATTTTTTTATAATCAATTTACACCCAGATATTTCATTGTTGCACCCTCATGGAATAATGTTCAATTACTGTAGATCACCAACGCAAATTACGCAAGGAGACCAGAGGGTAACATGCGTGACTACTTCAAGGGGGAAAACTAGCATACATGCAGACATATATCTCTACTTTCAAATAATCCCCAAGTTTTCTATAGTCGTAAGGTAGTTGAATGAAATACTAAATTATTATGGACTATACTCCCCAAGATTGTTGTACAAGAACAAATTTCTTTCCAACTATCTATGTTGGTATTTCAATGATCCTTGTTCCTCTATTCTAATTCTAATTTTGATGATTGCGGGGTTTGTTCAATGTGGGAAGCCTAAGGAAGCAGTTCTCTATTTAGAGATGGAATGGAAGTGGGCTGGGGTCGGTGGTTTAGGGTTTAAGTTTTCATTGGAGGAGGAGGGGGGAGGATCGGCGGGGATTCTTGAATGTAGATCCATTTTTGTCACATTGGATGCAGTAGTTCAGTTGTCTTGCCATTCATAAAAGGCATGTAAAACCAAAATTCACTCTATTTATCATAAAAATGTTTCCATCAAGAAAATCTTGGCTAAATAGACGTGTGATTCACCCAAAAATCTTGAAACCCTGAAAGGAATTTGCAGGCTTCCTCTTTGGTTTCATTTGGGCTCATACCTATTTGTTAGGTATGAAATTTTTTATGAGGTTTGATGATTCGAGCCTGTTTGGTATTTAACTTGAATCCAACTTTTTAAACTCAAAAACAGAATTTGAGTCCAAAACAAAGAAAACCTATTTGGTAGCCCTATTTTTAAAAACTCAAACTCAAGAACAACGAAAAAAATACCCCAATTATTAAAAACAAGAAATATATGTTTTTTCAGTTTTTTTCTAACAACCCACAAGTTCTCAAATTTTTAAGATTTGAAAACATTTTTCAATTTGCATACCAAACAAGTTTTTAAATCTTAAAAATATATTTAAGAACTCCTTATTTTTAAAGAAAAATCAAAGTTTTTGAGTTCCCTATTCGAATAGGATACCAAACGCACCCTTCTTTTCTTGAGTTTTTCTAAATATGTTATTACTTGAGTGTAAGGTATTAAGTTTAAGTATTATTTACCTCAATAAGAGGTTTAAGTTCATGGGTTACCTCACGAAGATGCATTAGGTTCAAGTTTAAGTATTATTTACCTCAAAAATAACAAAAAGATTTTTATTTGGTCAAGAATAAAATTCCACACCAAATATAAATATCAAATGGGAGCTGTTTATCAGTCCTTTCTTGGAACCTTCTGTTGGAAAATTTAATATTAACTAATACTGATTTTCCTATTTGAATGGAAATTAATAAAATCCATTGGGTTAAAGACGTGACCCTTGGGTTAAAGACATCTTCACATGGGGAGTAACAACTCTTCAAACCAAGGGATGCATTGTTTGGGGTGACAACTCTTCAGACCAAGGGATGCATTGTTTGCCTTTTCAGATTGAGATACCTTTTTAGAAAGGGTATTTTATCATCTATAAATAGAGCAATCCTCCTGCAGTTTTATTCATTCAGTTTAATTATCTACATACAAACTTTCATATATAGAGAGCATTAGAGTTTTCATAAAGAGAGGTTCTTGCATAATTTGGTTCAAAGTTCCTTGTGAATTGCAGTGCTTCTTTCACAAGGAGGGGTCGTTGTATCCTGGGAGGCGAACGCTAGTGAACCATAAGCACCAGTGTGGGGCGTAATTCGTCTTAAGGTCAGAGTGTCCAACACTTGTCTCGAATCAATTCAGATTCTTATAATCCATATTATGCGATTTTTTTTTATTGTTTATGTTTGTAAGCATGCATTAATTTTTAAGCATGAATTGAATGATTATTTCTTGAATTTGTGTAAAATATGGCAATTCTACCCATTTTTTTTCCAACAATCTTAAGACGAATTAATATGGTGTAGCTGCTATATTTTAAGTGTAACATAAACTTAGTTTTTACTTAAACTCGTGGGAACAATTGCTGGATGTTATGCGAAATGATGTATAGTCAGTATACATAATAGCACAATTGATATAACTTTCAAATCTCAATCAATACTTTTATTGAAGGGGCTACATGTTTGTTACTCAATACAATTTCTGTAGTAAGGTGCTTAGTATCTCTTCCTCAATACAATTTCTGCTGCTTGTCTTTCTTGGAACATTCTTCATGCATTTTTGGTCTGTGGAAATGACAATCTCAGTGCATATGAATCATAAACAGAATGTATAAGCATAAATTTGTAATGATTAATAATCAAAGTAGCACAGTATAAAATAGTTACCTGTACAATCATATAGTACATCATCAGGTGTTGTGGGTCTCTTAAAAAATAATTTTAACAAACTCCCGTTATCAACATTAAGAAGACCAAACAATTGTAGCTCCATCGTTTCGTAGCAAAGTACATCAACCAATGCTTGGTAAACTTTAACCACGCCCTCATCAACTGCCTCCAATGTTAGATAATACAACATATAAGCACCACGCATCTCGTGCCATGCCTTCAAAACTCTGACAAATTGCAGTTGGGCATTCTAAAACAGAAGGGAGAACATCAAGTCGTGGTGTTAAAACAATTACTCATGAGGGAGCTTTGGTTTAAGCACTTCTAACCGTAGTTATTCATTACATGTTAGCGGGTTAAATATATTTTAAAGATGTATCATACATGCGATTCAATAACTGAGATAAAAAGTCATTAATCATCAATACTTGATATTAAATTCTTAATAAAGCATATCCCAACATATTAATACAAATATATGGTATGGTATGTTCAAACCTTTTGCTTGTTATACTCTTCCACGGCGAAACGGGTAGGAGATATAGTATCAGGATCATCAATAAAACAAGGACATGGACTAAATCCACCATCACATAGCTGTTCAACAAGCACAGAAAATTAATACGCACATACATACATATACAGGAAAAACTGTATATCATTTTTAAATTTGAGAATTTGCAAAAACCTGTGAAAGATTGTTAACTGGTTTTATTGATAACCAGCAATTTAAAAAGGAAATAAAAGAACAAAACACTCTCCATACATCACATGGCGAGTGCATAAATATGTAGCTAAAACTAGTAATCATTTAAGAATTAGATGCAAAAGTTAATAGTACCATACTCACCTCGTCAAAATCGGAATCATATTTCAGATGAAGAACAGGCGGAGGTTTCTTGTGATGGTTGCCAAAAAGCAAAGGATGGCGAGAGGAATAACCATAAGAAGAAGGAGGCTTTGAAGTTGAAAACAAGACATCACGATCAATATTGTAGTTGTTGACTACTGCGCTCCTAATTTGAAAATCCCCAACCCTAACCATGTTTGCTACTATTCTTCCATTGCTATGACAACGTGAAGAATATTTACTCCCCAACTTTCCAACCGCAGACCGAATAGCTGTTGCCATATGCCTCTCCTCTTCTCCAAAACCCTAACCCCCAATCTCAAACCAAATCAAATCATGATCTATAAAGAATATTTACTCCCAAACTTTCCAACCCAGGACCGAATAGGTGTTGCCATAAGCCTTTCCTCTCCTCTCCTCCCCTCCCCTCAAACTCTGTATGGATATAATGCCCTAAAACCCTAAATCCCAAAACCAAATATTTGTGATGGGCCTTGCATTTTGTTCAAAAGAAAATACAAGTGAGGGTCTCTCTCGTTAATTAATAATGGGCTTGAGCATACAGTGGGTAAAGTGCTGCCGTTTTGGTTTTTAGAATACGTCAAGTGGCAACGTTTTAATAGTGTGAGACTGATTGAGAGACCTCTCTCTTTATTAGGGTTTACGCATTCAGTTCACACACAAACACTCATGCGACGTTTTTTTAATGAATAGTGCTACTCTTACCACATTATCACACACAAAGTACCTCGTCGGCTCATCATTGCCAATTTTCAGTCTTGAGGTTTTTGCAATGAGATTCAGCCCCATTGTGGGGTCATAGCAACATCTCTTTACATGCTTCAGTCTGGAAATGCCCAACATCGATATTCCCAACACTGGCTTACAAATTGCTCATGCAACCTTTTTCCAGCGGTACTGAATGTTTACGGGCACGCCTGACAATTGTTCCCATTGGTATTGTCAAGAAACTCAAGAGAACATCAATAAAATCGTTATCAGACTCTACGAAGATAATTGTGTTGCTCCCCTTGTCCACCAAGGCCTTCAAGCTTATAACATTCTTCACAGCCATTGATACTGTAAGAAAGTACAAATTTGGCTTTTTTATCCTTTTCTTGTACAAACTCAGTTGTTTCCCTACTCAAACATGAAGGGACTTCAACAAATCAACTACGGCGAAAGAGAGAGAAAATTTTACAGCATTAATAGCTTGTAAAACAGGGCAGAGCTTGAGCAGATAACAAGTACATGAAAAAGGCAACCAATATTTTTATGAAGAGGAATATTTGGGGAAAAATTCATCAAATATAATCAATCTTTCTCAATAAATTTGCAGATCGGTTTCTTTTGTGAAGTGAAATTATTGTCATGCTTTCCCATTCTTTTCTTGATCTAATCCATCTTCTCTAATTAAAGTGATTAATTTTTGTATGCATGGTGCATGGTTTCATCACATTAACTAGTAGGAAAAGAAAAATAGGCAGCATTAACCGGTATTGATCTACAGGTTCTGCTGTGCAGGAAATGAAAAGTCCTCTCCCATGTTCAAGGTTTTTTGTTTTTTTTTTTGTTTTTTTTTTTTTTTTTTTTTTTCCTTTGTAAAAGTGGTGGGCAAAAGACCGCATGCATCATTCAAACCGGCCAAACCAAACCACATTTTTCTGGGACAAAAAACCAAACCACTTATGTCAGTTTTGATTGGTTTTTACACTAAAAAATTGTAATCTTAAATAGGTTCGAAAAATGGGCCTAGGCGGCGCCTAGGTGTTAGACGGGAGGATGCCACCACGATTTCATCCTAATCATTAGGTGTAGGCGCTAGGGAATTAGGCGGCACTTGGGCGCCCGCCTAGGCGGGTCTAGGAGGACGAAGGGCGGGCGCAGGAGCCGCTGCTTGTTAGGAAGAAAGACGGAGAGACAAAGAGAGATCGAGACAGAGAGATGAATCGAAACAGAGAGAGGAAGGAGAAGGCGGCTCGATACGGGGAAGAAGATATATATGGTGGGTAGGAGAGGTAGGTGGGACGCATATATGAGTGCAAATTAAGCATGTGTATAAAAAGGGTAGCTTAGTTGCGAAGCAAATTAAGCATCTTTGATCATAATCTTGTTTAAGGTAAATATAGTCATGAAAATCCTGACCTTCCTAAAATCATGAACGCTAAGAGGGGAAAGAAAACAAGGAAACTCTGCGGCTTCCATCTAATGATGTCATAGATTAGAGCTCAAAATAAGGCCTAAAGGAAACAGCTCAGGAAAGAAGTACATAAACCAAACCAACCCAGAAGAGCTAACAGAGAGATTGTAAATGAGAGAGAGAGAGAGACTAAAAGACAGGGGCTTTCCATCCTTATCTTGCCACCCCCATGTAAATTTGAAAAAAATCAATCATATCTTTACCCACCATTATTCCTAAAATTTAGTGGGTGGGTAGGAGGAAGGAGGGAGCTAGAGCAAGAAACACATATATGAGTGCACATATCATCCTTAAAGAACTCATAGTTTTTTACAACTTCACTTCTCTTTTTTCTTTTTTCTCTAGAAGAAACCAGTTCCTAGAAGAAAAACAAAGCCTGCATTATTATTACATACAGCAGGTCATTCATGAAACAAACGTTCATTAAATATTCTGCATAAAGAAATCTCTACTAGCAATTGAACCCATGACTATGAGTCCGCTACAAGTATTAGTATGCAAGCATTCGCATTATCCATAAGGAAGTGCAAACACAGTATCATCCATACTGGAGTTCCAGTCTGTATAAGGAGAAGCATCATCATCTTGTAATAGATAAGCAAGCTCTCTTTATAGACTTCTCTTGATTCAGCTGCCTAATGAAGACATCGGTTAGAGCAGAGTCGCTAAGAAAAGTAGCCACCAAAAGACGCAAAGCCTACAATAAGTAACAACACAAGAATCATCAACAATTAAAAAGGGAGAAGGATGCAGTGAAAAGGGCAACATGAAAATTGTAAACAATTAATTCACCTACTTCTTGCCAACCTCAACAGTTTCCTCCTCTATGTCAGTGAAAGGTACCTTCAATTCATTTATAATCGAAAAGCCACAAAAAGGAGATGCAGGCCTTATGATCAGCTTGTCAGTTACCATGAACGCTGTTGATGCTTTCAAATACCCTTGAGTATTTTTATCAAGCTTCAATTTGAGTGGAAGTGTCACTGCGTTAGAAGCGATGAGTGTTTTATCAGTAGCCAATATATCCACCGGCCAATAAGCATAATAATATGAGGCCACTGGGCCATCCTCGATTCCTAAAAGACGGTTCTCGTAGCAAAAACCAGGATAAATCTTAGGACCCAGTAGAATTTCCCCGTGGTAATTTGACTTCAAGTGCTGCTCATCAAGATCTTTGACACATTTGTGCAACTGATCAATGCACCCTTTGAAAGAAGCATCCCTCATATGCTTTACTATGAAACCAAGTGGAACAGTTAAAACACTGAAGAGCAAATTAACAAAATCCTCCCCTGCTTATGCATAACAAACAATATTCTTCGATACGCTAATTGTTAGCTTAACAACAATCTTTTCTTCTTCCTCCGCATCCATCATGTCTCCAATCAGTAGAGATTCAATACGTGTCGATATTAGTTGATCCAGATTTAAAAGGCTCAAATTCGAATTTGGTACAGGATTATGCTTCAGTATAGTTTCGGACAGAGGTTTCTTTGATACTAATGAGCGCAGAAGCAAGTTCAAAACCTGGAAAAAAGACCATGAGGTCAGAAACCACAAACACTACAGTTGTATAAAAGAAAAATAAAACAATTGGCAACCAGCATTGAATTACCTCATGAGCTCCTATATTCAAATTCTGTTGTTCAGTTGTGCTATTCTCATTCATGGCTCCAAGCTGTTAGTATGAAATTTGTATTGTCATTTCCTAGACTCTAGCATAGGTAGAAAATTAGTGTGTGAAGAATTGTTACTAAACGTTTTGGCACAACTCATTCAACCCTGTACTTTCGAGGCATGACCTGACCATATGAGAAACTTGACAACAGGTAAATCATGACATAATCATGCATTCATTATAGGATTCCTAGTTGGAATTATTTTCACTCAAGTATTTTTATGCTAATTCTATTTTTAATAGGATTATATTTTATCTCTTGAGATTACTTTCCTAGTTGGACTCTATTTTGATTTAGATCAAATTATTATGTTTTCATTATCTTGGACTTGGAAAGAATGTTTTAATTAATATCCTATTTGGTTTCGTGTTTACATCTTGATATATATTGTTTAATTGGATAAACAATTGATTGTAGTGCAATGGAGAATATGACGAAATCATATAGGATTCTAAGACTATCAGATTGAATGCATGGCAAGATATTGTGTTGTGATTGTGGGCCTTCACGTGGATTGTGGAGAATAAGTTTTGTATAAATCTTTGTGTGCATCTCTTTAGTTTTGCAGAGTTTTCATATAGTTGGTTTGAGCATCTAAAATTCCAAGAAAGCTGCTGTGCTTATATTTGAGATAAATCATCAAGTGTTCCATGTTTACTTGGTGATTTATCAAACACTTTAATCATTCATATTGCATTCATTTGCATTGATCAGTGACTCATACGGTTGAGGGCACCAAGACCGTGGTGGCGGTTTTCCTCCGGCGAGTTTGAAGCAATCGTGACCAGTATTGCGTTCAACATAAGGAGTGTCGAAGATCATCCCGTGACAGAAGTTGAGTTACGAAGAAGTCGGTAAACATTATCTAGAATGTGTATAGGATAAGTGTGTGAGTACTTCTTGTAATCATTGTTTTATAGTGGATTTGTGTTGGACTGAAGAGTCCCGTGGATTTTCCCCAGAGGAGGGGTTTTACCATGTAAAATAATTCTCTGTGTGTTCTTTTATTTTAAGCTCTGCACATTACAGGATTGATAAGCCATATCAATCCTGCTTCAAAAGTTGATTATTATTTATTGCAAAAAATTCGAATTAGCCTGTTTAACCTTCTCTAGGCATATATAGACATCCTGCAGGTACTTTCACAAGCTTTGTAAATACAGGATTGCTTGCCACCGATAACGGGGACATCACGCATAAATCATCAGTAATTATGAACCTAGCTGATTCTTTTACAAAGATGCCCTCACGTTGCTCAGCATGCATCTTCCACATTGACAAAGAACAACTTTGTAATGACTTGTTGACTTATTTTCAAGGTTGCATTGCCAACTATCACACAAAGTACCTCGTCGGCTCATCATTGTCAATTTTCAGTTTGAGGTTTTTGCAATGAGATTCAGCCCCATTGTGGGGTCATAGCAACATCTTTTTTCATGCTTCAGTCTGGAAATGCCCAACATCGATATTCGCAACACTGGGGTACAAATTGCTCATGCAACCTATTTCCAGCGGTACTGAATGTTTACCGGCACGCCTGACAATTGTTCCCATTGGTATTGTCAAGAAACTCAAGAGAACATCAATAAAATCATTATCAGACTCTACGAAGATAATTGTGTTGCTCCCCTTGTCCACCAAGGCCTTCAAGCTTACAACATTCTTTACGCTATTGATACTGTAAGAAATTATTGTCATACTTTCCCATTCTTTTCTTGATCTAATCCGTCTTCTCTAATTAAAGTGATTAATTTTTGTACGCATGGTGCATGGTTTCCTCACATTAACTAGTAGGAAAAGAAAAATAGGCAGCATTAACGTATTGATCTACAGGTTCTGCTGTGCAGGAAATGAAAAGTCCTCTCTCATGTTCAATTTTAAAGGTGGCTCTGATATTTTTTTCTTCTTTATACGAAAGTGGTGGGCGAAAGACCGCATGCATCATTCAAACCGGCCAAACCAAACCACATTTTTTGGGGACAAAAAACCAAACCACTTATGGCAGTTTTGTTTGGTTTTTACACTAAAAAATTGTAATCTTAAATAGGTTCGAAAAATCGGCCTAGGCGGCACCTAGGAGCTAGGCGGGAGGACACCAACGAGATATCACCCTAAGCATTAGGTGTAGGCGCCAGGGAGTTAGGCGGGTCTAGGCGGACGAAGGGCGATTGAAGTGCGCAAGAGCCGCTGCTTGTTAGGAAGAAAGACGGAGAGACAGAGAGACAGAGAGAGATCGAGACAGAGAGATGAAGGAGAAGGCTACGTGGGGAAGAAGAAGATATCTGACCTAATTTTTAATATAACTAACGGGTTGGGTTTTGTAAAATGCCCTTAAACATTGTATTAAAATGGGCCTATTTTTACAGTTTTTGCAGTTTCTTTTTTAATATCAAGGTTGCTGAAAATACATAAATAAAAGTCAGATAATATCAAGGTTGGAAAATATTAAAGTTTTCTTTTTATATATCTTATTATTTTGCATAATTTTGGTATAAATTTATAATTTATAATACAAAATAATTATTCAAAAAAGGGTGCCTGTGCCCTGATTACTCCTCTAGTCTCTAGGCCCATGCCTACTGCCCACCTACTGCCTACGGATTTTTCGAACATATATTAAAAATGTAAAGTGATAACAAAACTTAGCTTTGTTCTAAGCAATTGAAAACACTAGTTGATGTCCTATAACATAATACTCATGTTCTTTAATCCAACGATTATCTTGAACTCAAATATGTGAAATCATGATTTTAAACCTCCATAATCGAGGATGATGTCTTGAGGAGTTTGTAGCAATTTTCGGTTTATTTTTCTGATTTTTTAATTATTTTTTAAAGAATTTTTAAAGATAAAATTGGAAAAAGTAATCAAAATGACATGTGGAGCAATCGTGGTACGCCACCTGTTGGAAACACTGACGGCGCCACCTTTAGCTACTGCCACGTGTTGCCCTATACTATTTAATATTATTTTTCTTGATTTTACTTCTAAAATTCATAATAAATTAATTAGAAATCCAAAAAATACACCGAAAATTCCTATGAACTAATTGTGACATTTTGTGCACCATCAAGCTCTAAAAGTATAATTTTCGCTTATAATTAAAAATATGAAAATATACCCCCAAAAAAGCTAAGTGCTCCTTACAACAATGTCTTTGATATTAGAGTTCTAAAAATCATAATTCAACATATTTGAATTCATGGTAATCATTGGATCAAAGAAACAAAAGTGTGATGTTATAAACATTAAGTATGGTTTTGGTTTGTTTATAAACAAATTAATGTTATAAAACTTTAGTTTCTATTACTTTTTTGTAATGTTACCTTGTCCCAAACCCAGAAACAAGGTAACATTCCAAGAGATGCATATATGGAATTTATTACTTTAGTTTCTATTGCAAATTAAGAAAAACTTGTATTGGCTCCATATGCATCTCTTGGAAATGTTACCTTGTCCCAAACCCAAAAAGAATGCTTTTTGAAATTCCATTTAAAAAATAGAATTATGGGGGTAAATCAAAATAGAGAAAGTGGGTATGATGATTAATCTAAAATGTATCGTAAGTTATGAAATAGTACATGAATATTTCTTTGTAAAATTTGGTGAAAAATCGGAATATAATTTGTAAATAAAAAATTAAAAGAAATATTAGAAAAAAAAAGGGGAGAAAATCCCAGCCCATCCCCCATCCCCCTGCCCATTTCTCCCCTTCCTCCCCCTCTATTCTAACCACCCTAGCCTGCTAGCCACCACTCCACCACGACCATCCCACCCCACACCCACCTGGAACCCAACCTAGATATGTCAATCCAGTTAAAAGAAGAAGAAAAAAAACCCATATATGGAACTTGAGTTTTGTGAATGTCAAAGAAAGAGAAAGAGAAGGGTTGGATGGTGGGAAAAGAGATAGAGGGAGGGTGTTGGATCATGGATGTGAGGTTGTTGGCTGTCGCATATAGAGATAGGGAGATGAGAGAAAAAAAAGAGAAGGGAGAAGGGTGAAACTGAAACTCACTCGCGGGTTGTGATTTTTCTTATGGGTAATTTTAACCTGATTATAACAAAACTACAATTTTGAAACTGAACCATTCATTTTAATTGGATGGCTCTTAGATACCCCTCACAACTTAACCCGTATTATAGCCTCTCCCTTTGGGATTTAGGGTTTTAGGGCGTTATATCTATACAGAGTTTGAGGGGAGGGGAGGAGAGGAGAGGAAAAGCTTATGGCAGCACCTATTCGGCCCTAGGTTGGAAAGTTTGGGAGTAAATATTCTTTATCTTGATTTGATTCGGTTTGAGATTGGGGTTTAGGGTTTTGGAGAAGAGGAGAGGCATATGACAATAGCTATTCGATCTGCGATTGGAAAGTTGGGGAGTAAATATTCTTCACGTTGTCACAGCAAAGGAAGAATCGTAGCAAACATGGTTAGGGTTGGGGATTTTCAAATTAGGAGCGCAGTAGTCAACAACTACAATATTGATCGTGATGTCTTGTTTTCTACTTCAAAGCCTCCTTCTTCTTATAGTTATTCCTCTCACCATCCTTTTCCTTTGGCAACCATCACAAGAAACCTCCGCCTGTTCTTCATTTGCAATATGTTGAAGTTTTTAGGATGGAGGTTTACTTGGAGGAGAAGAGTATGGAAAATGTTGCAGAGAAAAGAGAGAGACGTTGTGAGAGAGAAAGAGAGTTTGTTACTCAGCTCCAATCATTAGAATGCACACACTCTCACACGGATTTCATTCTAACATAAACATTCCTTTCACAAGGCAGAGAATGTGATCTCAGCCATACAATTTGTGTCAGCAATATAAGCTGTACACTTGGCATAAGTTAGGACATATGAGACCTACACTCTAGGATTAAATCTAAGCCTTACACCTGTCTAACTAAGAACTTAAACCAGGAAATAATTTACATTTCAACATTCCCTTCTAAATTATTGAATCGATCTTTACGCAGAGCTTTAGTGAAAATGTCAGCCACTTGTTCTTCAGACTTGCAGTACCTCAAATCCACTACACCATCTTGTAAAGCATCTCGAATGAAATGATATATGCGATTGATATGCTTTTCTTTTGATGAAAAACTGGATTTCTTGTCATTGCAATAGCAAAAGTATTATCCACCATTAATGGAGTTATATCAGTCTGTAATTCTCCAAATTCCTCTAGCATAAACCTCAACCATATAAACTGTGTAGTGACTTCACTTGCACTGACATACTCAGCTTCAGTTGTGGAGAGAGCAACACTGTGTTGCTTAACTAATGCCCAAGAAAACACACCACTACCAAAAGAGAAAGCATAGCCAAAGGTACTTCTCATGTCATCTTGGCTTCCACTCCAATCACTATCACAATGTCCAATTAAGACAACTTCTTTTCCCTTCTAGTATTCAATACCAAAATCAATTGTGCCTTAGATATACCTCAACACCCTCTTAGCACTGTTCCATAGAGTTTCTTTGTTGAACAATGCATGAACCTAGCTAATAAGCTAGCTGCAAACATTATGTCAGGTCTTGTAGCTGTCAAGTACAACAAACTACCCACAATCTGCCTGTATTCATTCTCATCTACTGGATCACTTCCATCATCCTTGCACAACTGCTCACTTGCCACAAGAGGAGTACTAACTAGCTTACTTTGTTTCAAACCAAACTTGCTCAACAACGTCAATGCATACTTCTTCTGGTTTATGAAAATGCAATTTTCAATTTGAATCACTGCCATTCTAAGAAAATGATATAAAAGACCTAAGTCAGTCATTTCATACCTTCTCATCATTTCAGACTTGAAATCTGCAATTAATTCTCCACTGCTTCCTGTATACACAATTTCATCAACATAGATTGAGACAATTAGAGTTGCAGAATCTTCCTTAGTCTTGTAGTATAATGTAGCCTCACTTGTACTTCTGACATATCCGTAGCTAATGAGATATGCATTAATTTCCTCATATCAGGCCCTTGGAGCCTGTTTTAAACCATACAAAGCTTTCTTCAATTTGTACACCTTATCCTCATAGTGTTGAACCACAAATCCATTAGGCTGTTCCACATTAACCTCCTCCTTAAGCACACCATTTAGAAATGCAGGCTTGACATCTAACTAGTATAGCTTTCACCCATTTTGAGCTTCCAAAGCTATGAGTGTTCTAATGGTGTCTAGTCTGGCCACAGGAGCAACAGTCTTATTGAAGTCAATCCCATGCTTTTGTGCATAGCCTTTGACTACCAACCTAGCTTTATGCTTCTTTATTGAGCCATCAAGGATCAACTTGGTTTTATAAACCCATTTAACACCAATCACTGGTTTTTCACTTGGTCTGTCAACTAGCTTCCAAGTCTCATTCTTCTTAATCATCTCCATTTCTACCTCAATTGCCTTTTTTCAACCTTTATCCCTTGAAGCTTCAGCAAAATTTTCTGGCTCAATGATGCTCATATTGCATCGAGCATAGATCTCAGTAATATCTCTGAGCTTCACAGGTGTAGGACTTGATGATCCATCTTGTGAATCAGCATTAGAGGAACCTGAAACCATCTCAGCTATTCCAGGGTCATTTTTAGTCTGAAATTCTTGTGCAAATGAAGTTGTGACTTCATGATTTTCTTCATCAATAGTAGACTGTTCTCCAAAGCTCATAGGAACTGTGACATGTTCCACACTGTGCTTCTCCCAATTCCACAAGGAACCTTCATAAAAAATTACACTTCTAGAGACTAATACTTTCTTAGTCTGCAGATTATAAACTCTATAGCCCTTCTCACACTTGCCATATCCAACAAAGATGCATTTGATAGCTGAATCATCTAACTTTGACCTCAGCTGACTAGGTACATGGCAAAAACATATAGAACCAAACAACCTTAAATGTTTGACTCCTGGTTTTCTTCCACTAAAGGCTTCAAGTGGAGTTGAATTTTCCAGAGCTCTTGTAGGACATCTATTTTGAATATATATATATATAGCTGTATTTATTGCTTCTCCCCAGAAGTTGAATGGAAGTTTCTTTTCATTCATCATTGCCTTGCTCATTTCAACAATTGTTTTGTTTTTTTTTATCTCAGCAACCCTGTTTTGCTGAGGTGAGTAAGCCACAGTGAGCTGCCTTTCCATGCCTACATCTTCACAAAAGTTCAACAACTTCAGTGAGGTATACTCTCCTCCTCTGTCACTTCAAAGTCTTTTGATCTTATAGCTACTTTGCAGTTCCACCATAGCCTTGAACTTCTTGAAAATACCAAACACCTCATACTTGTATTGCATGAAGTACACCCAACACAGTCTAGTGCAATCATCAATAAAAGTCAAGAAGTATCTGTTTCCACCAATAGTTATGATATGCATTGGTCCATAAACATCTGAGTAGATGAGTTCTAGTGACTCACTTGCTTTCCAAGTCTTTTCTTTACCAAAGGATTCTCTATGTGCCTTTCCCATTGTACAACCGTGGCAAAGTTTATCTACATTCCCAATTTCTGGTAGTCCATAAACCATTTCCCTTTGCTGCAACAATTTCAAACTCTGCAGATTTAGATGACCAAACCTCCTATGCCAACACCAAGTAAATTCTTCAACAGTTACCTTCATAGCCACAAAATTCACTTACTTTAGTGAGAGTGGAAAGCATCTATTTCCTGTCATGGGAGCTTTGGCCACCAAATGTTCCATTGAGTTGTCATCAAACATCTCCACCATTGAATTTCCAAAAATTAGATAACAACCATGCTCTACCATCTAGCCCACACTAAGTAGATTTTCATCCAACCCTGGTACAAGCATGACTTCTTTGATGTATCTAGGCCCAGTTGTAGTGTCAATTACCAAAGTGCCTTTACTAGTTGCTTGCACCAAGTCTTAGTGCCTATTTTCACTTTTGCAGCAACCTTAGAATCAACATTGATTATAAGGGATTCATGTGAGGTCATGTGATTGCTACATGCGCTGTCCACATACCACACATCATTATTTTTTACTACTGCAGCAGCATGGCAAACATAGAATATTTTACCTTCTTCCTCCTTATGTGTTGCATAGTTGGCAGCTTGATCTGATTTTCCTCTGCAATCTTGGGCTATATGACCAAACCTATAACATTTGTAACATTTAGGTTTGCCTTTGAACCAAAAAACACCATAGTGCAATTTGTCACAAGTTTTGCAAGGAACCTTTGCTCCTTCAGTCTGATTTTCCTTGTTGGAATTATTTTTAGACTTTTTATCCCACTTCTTCCCTTTCTATGATTTCCAATTTTTCTTAGATTCAAAACCACCTACTTAACTTGCGCTTGATTAGTCTCTAGGACTCACATTTAGACTAGAAAATGCCTTTTCTGTCATTCTCTCATTATGCTTTTGTAATCGTTGTTCATGAGATTTCAATGAGCCTATAACCTCCTAAACTCCTATAGTCTCAGTGTCTTTTGTTTCTTCTATTACTTCAACAATAGAATCATACTCCCTAGATAAACTAATCAAAAATTTCTACGTGCACAATCCTTTGATCAAGAATCTCCTCACCATATGCTTTCATTTGATTTACTAACTCAAGCAACTAGTTATATAATTAGTTGCGGCATCGGTTCCAAAAGGACCGCAACATCTTCCTCTTCCAACCACAGCCCTCTACCGCCTCGATCCACCGTTGGTATCGCTGAAAAACGTCAAAAAACAGCAGGAGTTTACATAATTCTTTGGAAGCTTGTTCGAGTGATTTCGGCCACCATTTTCTTCGAATTTGGTTTGCTTTTTTTTTCCTTTCAATGTGATCTAGCTGCTGCTTGTGTTATTCAAGATCAATATTTGCGTTTAAGTTGTCAAATAAGCGATGGAAGTTTGGCTAGATTTCGGCCACTTCCGTAGACTTTTTGGGGTAGGTCCAGGAACAAAGGTTGCTCCACTCAATGTCCTAATCATGTAGGTATAAGCCTTGCCCGGCGGTTTGGAGATTTTCTGATCCCCGGAATTGCTTTGGACACCCACGCACTATCGGCCCATGTGGCGGCACGAGTGCCACTTTTTGGCCGGTCTCTGAGTCCTAAAATAATCCTCATGTCATCCCGAGCACGGTGTGCTCGGATTTGAATTTGGTTGTCATTTGACTATCGATCAGATAAAGCATATTAGGAGTTATCCGGGTTCGCCATGTTCGGACTATTGGATTGACTCCAATTTAATATATGTTGATCTAGGCATCCTTATGATCCGGAAGGAATTCGTAGATTGTGAATCGGAGGCCCGGATGTTCCAATTCAATAACTTAAATTTGCGTTAAACGATAACCATCCGATCGTACGATAACGAGTGATCCGACCGTTCGATTCGGACCAAACTTGCAGGACGTGTTTTTTAAACCTGTTAAACCCATAGGAACTTCTGGATCGGAAATCGGAGGTCATGGGTCCCGTGGGCCAGGCTGGCCCAATTTGGAAAGTTTGACCGCCTGGTTGATCGAGCGTCTTCCGAGGCTATTTCTTCATCCAAAACACGTAGTTGGACTTTAGGAACATCTCGTTCCTCGTGCACTCATTTGAAACCCATGAAACTATGATTTTAATTTAAAATTTTTGTTAGATGTTTTATATTAATTTCATACCCGTATTCTGAAATAGGTGCTCCGGCTACTCACACGCACTAGGCAAGATCCTCTCAAATAATAAGCATGGTTTTATGATGGAAAAATTTATGCATATTGTTTTAATGCTTTATAATGTTTTTATTAAGCATTTGTAGTATATATTTGGGTTTTGGCATATTTGAGTATCTTGAGAATTTCTATCTATGTTTGGCTATGTGTGGGGTACTTGGGTTGTTGATGTGAGGTTGTGGAAATAAATGAGATTAGAATGTCAGTTTGAAGTGCTATAAGCACTACCCTAAGTACCTCCCCGAATTTGGAACTTTGGATATGGAAACTTGAGATATTTGGAAATGTTGGAACCCGGGCACCCTTTACGGGGTGTTTCGTAGACCCTTAGCTGGGTAGTTTGCACGCGTAAGACTTGTCACAAGCGTACGAGTCTTGAGGATTCTTCTCTACGTGCTGGCTAAGAGTTAGTTCCCCAGTTGGACGGCTTGTTCCCTAGCCACATAGTCAATTGAGGATTTTTCTATGTGGACTAGTCAAACAATCCTCGGTTGGATAATTCATCACTTGTCATGCCAATGGGCAAGCGTTTCGAGAGTTTAGTTTGGGTATTATAAGGAAAAGTTTGGATAGGTTGAGTATTAAAGTTTCATTGTGGGAATTCGGATTTAGTTTTGGTTTTGACCAAACTTTATACACACACACACACACACACACATATATATATATACAATCCTGATCTCTTGGACTCGCTTGGACCACAGGAGTCCAAGAGATTGCGGTCACCCACAGTTGGATATTAATCCAATAGTTCAAAAAAGTTTCTTAAAATGAGTGCAAGAGTGAGTGAACCGTTGAATTTACATCTAACGGTAAGTGACCAAAAATCTCTTAGACCCCTGTAGTCCAAGGGATCAGGACTGTATATATATATATATATATATATATATATTAGAGTAATGCTACACTTACCACATTTTTATCCCATATTTCTATACCATATGATGTGGCATGTCCATATGTTAATGTATGCATTTTGAGTTTTTCTTTTGGCTTCCCTGACAATTTTGTAATAGGATTTTATTGTTTTTATCAAGCTCAAGTTTAGATTAAGAATAGCTTCTCTAGGTGTTCTTAACTAACAACTATCCTATGAAGGTTCAAGCAAATTGACAAAGGTAAATTGTGCACTGCATCACATTATATTAAATTGATTTCATAAAATGATGACTAGTCATCTGTTTCTCGTATGATTAGTCATCCTTGCTCTGTAGGATTTCCAGCTGGATAACCAACTATTTTGTCATATTCTCCTTTCTCTCTCTGCTGCCATGTGTTGATTCTGACCTAGGGAATTTTTGGGGTTAAAGGCCAAAGGATTCCTCATTTGGCAGCCGTCACTTTGGGGGGACAAGTTTTGGAAAGTTTCATCGCAAACTTTCTCTTCTTCTTCCTCAATAGTAACCTTCATATTTTTCATCTTTGAGTTTTCCAAATTATTTCTTTTTGAAAACTGCATTTGAAATATGAAAACTTCATCTTGCTAGATCAAACACTCTATCATATATATCTAGGTCAGATTCAAGATTGATTTCTTCAAGAGTATGGTTTCTTAAAGAAATTGGTCATTTTCTCCATGAATCCAAATTTCATTTCTGTCTGAGTTAGAGCTTGCAAGCTAGTGCCATGGGATGAATGAGCTGGAGAAAGAGTTGCCATTGCCATGAAGAATTGAGCTTCAAGCTTTGCTAAGTTGGAGAAGAAGATTGCACAAAGAAGGTATAGCTCATTTCCTAAATAGACCTAGGAATTTCTTGAGCGTGCTAGTGTTCTTTGTAAGACTCTTTTTGCTTAGTGGATTGCCTGGTCGGTTGATGGCCCCCAGTTTTTCCCAATGGTGGGTTTCTGGGTGAACAATTTCTAGTTTCCATATTTGTAAATTTTCTGGGTTTGTGTTCTTAATAGTTGACTAGTCATCTGGGTTTGTGTTCTTGCGGTTGACTAGTCATCTTTTTCTGTTGTTTGGTGTTTGCTTGATTATGCTGTCTTCACACACTTTCACCATAGTTGTTGCTAGCACTGCGGATGCCTAGATTTACTGATCCTTCTGAGTGCCTAGGTTGTCACTAGTAATTCTCTAGGCTTGTAGGTACATCTTGGTATGCTCTGTGTATGTTATTGTTTGGTATAATTCATATCTGACAGTTGACTAGTCATAAGAGTATTTGGTCAAGGTCTAGAGTGTGTGAAGTTGATGTGTTCTTGGTTGAATATCATTTAAATTTACCTCTCGTCACCTAAGTGCCAATTTCACCATATCATATTCCACATCAATTAAATGAATGAAGTGTATTTAAATAAATAAAATTAGAAAAATAGAAACTAGTATTTTACATGATGTGGTATGTACACATCAGCTGCCACATCATGTGGTATGAAATTGTGGTATAAAAGTGTGGTAAGAGTAGTATTATTCATATGATTATGATGGTTTTGAATGAGTTGGTTTTCGACATTGTTTTCTAAACGGTGGGGGTTATACTATGTTGGTTTCAAATGTGAACTGAACTTTATTTTTGTCCACTCCCACTTTTCTATTTTGTGCCCCCACGCAGTAGCGTTGTTTGAATCGAGTGACCGAGTCGAGATTTCTACTTCCGAACTCTGAGCCTCAGTGGGCTATTTTTTTTCATTTTTTTTCCATTGAACTTTGTTTATGTTGTAATCGAAATTTTTAGATTCACTATGTTATTGCCCGTGATAGGGTTTGATTTGTGAGGCCGGAGGCCTTTGTTGTAAACTATTTAAAGTGTTTTTGAAGCATGTTGCCTGTTGGGATATATTTAATTGTGTTTTTAACAGGTTGAAAATTTTGGGAAAAGTCCAAATTTCAAGGGACACTCTGCCGAAATTTCAGCAAAAAGTCTCGGTCATTAGTAACTAGGCCCGGTATCGGTTTGATGCCGAAATTTTCACAAGATTCGTCACAGATTTCAAGGAGTCACGGGCAGGTTCTGTCAGTTTGGTATCAGAGCATTATGTTCACTTTCCTTCAACCTTTCACATTTTCTTTGCACTAGGACACTAACGGTTCTATTGTTTCCTTCGTATAAAATCATGCCTCCTCGATGTGCTAGAAAGAGAGGTCGCTTTCCGAGAATGGGGATAAATCTTCCACCTCCATCTCCGACACCCTTTCCACATCCATCATCACCTCTACCATCTCTACCAGCCGGAGAGCAAGCTGGAGAGAATGAGCTCGACTTATCCGCATTCTTACCAAAATGCGAAGAAGTCCGAGTTCCTGTATCTGAAGCAAGGATCAATGTCAATGTTAGAGTATGAGCACAAATTCAATGAATTATCCAGATTTGCACCTGAGCTGGTAACTACTAAGGAAGACAAGTGTAAACGCTTTGAAGAGGGTCTATGGTTGGATATTCAGGCGGTGGTCACTGCCACCACATATCCTACTATGAGGGCTTTGGCCCAAGCAGCTGATAGAGTGGCCAAGAAGTACAGTATATGTGCAGGTATTGGTAGGCATTGCAGGGACGCATAAGGCTTTGGTGGACCGAGCCAGGGTTCATCACAGAGGGGTAGGTCCAGTTCTAGTTCTACAGGCAGTGGTTGGTCTGGAAGATGTGGGTCCAGTTCAGGAAATGGGAGGTTTGGCTTCCGACCAGTTTGGAGTCAGCACTCGAGATAGCAACCGATAGCCAACACAACTAGAGATCCTTTGAGACAAATAAGTTCCACCTATCATAACTATGGACATGCGGGACATTTTAGGAGGGATTGCCCATGACGTGAGTAGACTTGTGGCCCTAGTCAAAGGAGCAGAGTGAGTTGTTTCTACTGTGGGCAAGCAGGGCACTATAAGAGTGAGTGCCCATTTCTTATTGTTGATGGTACTACTATACAGGAGACTGGGGCCTATCAGGGGCAAGGCAGTCGAGGCCATGGTCAGACTCAAAGCGGTGCCTCTTCTTCTGCAGTGGGTTCATCATCCAGAAGTGGAGTGCAATCCACTTTTCGGGGCAGAGATGGTAGACACCAGAGGGGCCAGCATGAGCGTTCTACTACGTAGGCCCGTGTATTTTCGATGACTCAGCAGGAGGCACATGCTACACCTGATGTAATCACTGGTATGACCTCTATTTTTGGTTACTTTGCACTTGTTCTAATAGATTTTGGGGCCACACATTCATTCATTGCACGTAGTTTCGTACTATATGCCAGTGGTATACCTACACCAATGGCAGGAAGTTTTAGTATCTCTTTACCTATGGGGATGTCCTGTTTGCGGACATGGTTTTCAGAGACTGTTATGTTCAAGTAGGTGATGCAGTGTTAGACTTGGTTGATCTTGATATCATCTTGGAATGGATTGGTTGGAGAAGCACAATGCATCAGTAGATTGTTTCCGAAAAGAGGTCTTACTCATAAGTCCAGGACAACCTGAAGTCATATTCTGCGGAGAGCGTAGAGTTCTCCAATCTTGTCTCATCCCGCTATAAAGGCGAAAAGGTTACTCAAGAAGGGATGTGTGGGATACTTAGCCCACATCATTGATACTAGTGAGGTCATTTTGAATCTGAAAGATGTTCCTATTGTTTGTGAGTTTTCAGATGTCTTCCCGGATGATCTCCCTGGATTACCTCCTCAGAGAGAAACCGAGTTCACTATTGAACTCCTTCCAAGCACGAATCTCATTCATGAAGCTCCTTATAGGATGGCACCAATAGAGTTACGTGAGTTGAAGACTCAATTGCAAGAATTGGTTGATCTTGGGTTCATCCAACCTAGTGTTTCCCTTTGGGGGTGCACCGGTATTGTTTGTGAAGAAGAAGAATGGAACCATGAGGCTTTGTATCTATTACAGGCAGTTGAACAAGGTGACAGTGCAAAATAAAAGCCATTGTGAATTAGGTGCAACCCACCACGAGTGTGACAGAAGTACGGAGTTTTCTAAGGTTGGCAGGTTACTATTGTCGATTTATGGAAGGATTTTCTTTGATATATGTACCTCTTACACGGTTAACGAGGAAATAAGTTAAGTTTTTGTGGACGAAGGAGTGTGACCAGAGTTTTCAAGACGTGAAGAAGCGGTTAACCATTGCCCCTGTTTTGGCTCTTCCGGATAACTCGGAGAACTTTGTGATCTACAGTGATGCATCCTTACAAGGCTTGGGATGTGTGTTGATGCAGCATGATCGGGTGATTGTTTATGCCTTGAGGCAACTCAAAAAGCACGAGCATAATTATCATACCCATGACTTGGAACTTGCTGCAGTTCTATTCGCTTTCAAAATATGGCGACACTACTTGTATGGTGAGACGTGTCAGATCTTCACTGATTACAAAAGCCTCAAGTACCTTTTCACTCAGAAGGAATTGAATTTAAGACAACGGCGTTGTCTGGAATTAATCAAGGACTATGATTGCACGATTGAATATTATCATGGACGAGCTAATGTGGTAGCAGATGCTTTGAGTAGGAAGACTAGTAGAAGCTTAGGTCATCTCATAATGGCTTATCTTCCATTGTTAGTATAACTACGAAAGGATGAAGTAGAATTGGGATTGAATCAACAGGGCGGAATACTTGCTAGTTTACATGTGAGGCCTATTTTGGTTGAGCAGGTGATTGCAGCCCAATTGGAGGATCCTACTCTTTGTGTGATCAGATTGGAAGTAGAGAATGGTACACGGACGGATTATGCAATAAGAGAAGATGGAGCCTTGTTGACCGAGACTCGTCTTTGTGTACCTAAGAATAATGACTTGAAGAGAAAAATCATGGAGGAAGCGACTGTTCAACCTATTCTAAGCACCCGAGAAGTACTAAGATGTATCAGACTCTACGTGAGTACTACTCATGGCTGCATAGAGTTTGCATATAACAACAGTTATCATTCGAGCATTGAGATGGCTCCGTATGAGGCTTGTATGGGAGGCAATGTAGAAATCCTATTTGTTAGAATGAGGTGGGTGACAGAAAATTGGAAAAGGTAGAAGGTATCCAAGCAACAACCGAGAAGGTGAAGATGATCCGAGAGAAGTTGAAAACCGCCCAAGATCGACAAAAGAGTTATGCAGACAATGGGTCCAAGGATCTTGGGGATTGGGTGTTCTTGAAGCCATCTCCTTGGAAGGGTGTGATGAGGTTCGAGAAACATGGGAAGTTAAGCCCTCGTTATATCGGACTTGATGAGATCACGGAACGTGTCGGACCAGAATTGTCTCAGATCCATGATGTGTTTCATGTGTTCATGTTACGGAAGTACATGTCTGATCCTTCTCATGTTTGTGAACATCAACCCGTGGAGTTGAGAGAAGATTTGACGTATGAGCAGTAACCAGTGCAAATTTTGGATAGGAAGGAACGAGTTTTGCGCTCCAGATCCATCCTAGTAGTGAAAGATTTGTGGAGGAGTCAAACTGTTGAAAAAGCTACTTGGGAGCCCAATGCACAGATGCGAGCCAAGTACTTTTATCTCTTTAATCGACAGGTATGTAAATTTCGAGGACGAAATTTTTATAAAGGGGGCAGGTCATAACATCCCGACCCAAAATATAATCCTTCGTCAATTAAATTAATATGAAATTTCAATTTTTGCCCTCGGCGTAGGGGTAATTTGGTCACTTTTTAATTTGGAATGATTTCGGGGCAGTGTTTGGTATTTTTACGTAGATCGTACTAAGATGAGTCCATAGACACATAGTGGGCTCGAATCGGAGTTGTGACGAAAAATATATGATCAAAATACAAGTAGTGGCATAACCGTAATTTTTGCGAAATAGGATTAATAAATCAGACTCTCTCTCTCTCCTTCCCCCCCCGACCAACTTTTGAATTTTCCCCTTCAGCCGGCGACTTTTCACCGTCGCCATCGCCACTCGGGGCGGCACCAGTCCCAAAAGGTCCGCAATCTCTTCCTCTTCCAGCCCTAGCCCTTTGTCGCCTCAATCCGCCCCTCCTAGAAAAAGTCAAAAAAGGTCTAATTTTACGTAATTTTTGGAAGCTCATTCGGGTGATTTCGGCCACCATTTTCTTCGAATTTGGTATGCTTTTCTATCTTTTCAATGTGATCTAGCTACTGGTTGTGTTATTTATGATCAATTTATGCGTTTAAGTTGTTAAATAAGCGATGGAAGTTTGGCTAGTTTTCGGTCACTTCCATCGACTTTTTGGGGTAGGCCCAAGAACAAAAGTTGCTCCATTCAATGTCCTGATCATGTAGGTATAAGTCTTGCCTGGCGGTTTGGAGATTTTCTGATCGTCGGAATCGATTTGGACACCCACGCACTACCAGCACGTGTGGCGGCACGTGGGCCAATTTTTGGCAGGTCTTAGAGTCCTGAAATAATCATCATATCGTCCCGAGCACAACGATATACTCGGATTTGAATTTGGTTATCATTTGACGGTCAATCGGATATCGCATATTAGGAGTTATTTGAGTTCAATATGTTCGGACCATTAAATCGACTCAATTTAATATATGTTAATCTAGACATCCCTAGGATCGTGTAGAAATTCGCGGATCGTGAATCGGAGCCCCAGATGTTCCGATTTAATAACTTAAAATTTGTGTTAAACGATAACCGTCCGATCGTACGATCACAAACGATCCGACCGTTCGATTCGGACCAAACATATAAAACGTGTTTTCTAAACCTTGTGGAACCCATAAGAACTTCTGGATCGGAAATCGGAGGTCGTGGGTCCCTCGTGCACTCACTTGGACCAAATAATTACCTAATTTGTCCACAAGTCCACATACAGCCTGGTTATAATATGTCGCCCACCATAAAAGGACAGGACTTTGTCCTCCTTGAAGGATCAACTTCAATTGAAGTGTAAACAACTTCACATGTCAGACAGCTGCCCATCATAATGCTTTTTATTCTTTACTCCGTGAAAGTACTAAGCTATCAACTAAAGCATATTTGTTATAGACATAAGATTTAATTGAAAAACAGAGTTGCTTATCATATCCTTTCTGCTAAGCCAGCCAATTTTAATTGTGGATACATATGAATATCACATAAATCTGAACAAGTTGTGATAATATTCCACTCAACTACACAAATCCACACATTTGATAATTTAGATTGGCTAGCTCCCATGAAAACCGTTCACAGTGAACATATTGCACTAGATTATTCCCTCCCAGATCCCAGATACAAACCAGGGACTCAACAAGGCACTCTTCAAAAACAAAAAAAAAAAAAAAAAAAAAAAAAAAAAAAAAAAAAAAGTCATTCTGCTCTCGAAGAAATCAAATAGCGTGATGCCCATATGCAGAACTTCTACATGTACCAAAAAGAAGAAAATAGACCCAATCACCTAAGAACAAGCACACTCCATCTGCAGTTTGTGACAATGAAAATACAATCGCTTTATCCTGCAACCGATCAATTGATCATTCATAATTAGAAGTTGCATCTAATACCATAAATAATCAAGGTCAACCTTTAAGTAAGTTCGGTTGGTGCATCAGTTCTAAACACTCCAATTTCCTACAGTACTTGTACCTTTTTAAACTATCCTTCCTCTTCAGAGAATTTAAATCCTTAATAACAGAGGCCTTCACCTACTCATATTGACTATTCAGGTTCACTGGTTTCTAGCCTCATATATCAGGGTATGGACAAGTGCTTAAATTCAGCATGTGAATCTTTTACAATGGCAGAGTTGAGAGTACAAATTTATTTCTTCATGGTCCTCTCAAATGGATAATAGGTCAAAAAGTATATTTTACGAGATTTGTTCCTTTGTCCAGTAACCAATAAAATGGTTCCATTAAAGCATAAAATTACTGGTTAAGGAACCAGTGGACACCACCCATATGATGTTCATATGACAAAAGGGAATCAAACAGATCATTACACACTTCCTCGCAGGTTTCATTTTGAATATAGAGAAAAATGTTAAAAAATGAATAAAAATCAGGATTGCCAGAATAATTTGATAAAAGCTCTTATTACCATGTCAGTTTATGAGAATGAACATTGTTATGCAGTGGGAAAGAGTAGCAACTGTCTCAACTACTAGCCTTGGTTTAAGCAGAAGCAAGTTCTGAGAAAGTATATACAAGGACAATTGCCCAATTTAATGGTAGAACAACTAACAAACTAAAGTTTACAAATTTATCAAGTGGGCTATAGTTGAATCCAAAGAAGAAAAAAGAAAATATATGGAAACATGTAAAATAGACAAAGATTTAAGAGAAAATCAAGCAGGAACTTCGAAAATGCAGTAAAGGATGGAGAAAGTAGGATATATTGTTACCGCAAAGTCCTCAACTGAAAGGTGCCTGACGATCCACACATTTAATATAAATGGAATTCCCGTTGACAAGAATTGTGTAGCTGATGCAACAAAAAAGAAAGCCAATTTGCATCATCTTCACTCTTGGGTTTGTGTGTGTGTGTGTGTGTGTGTGTGTGAGAGAGAGAGAGAGAGAGAGAGGAAGAAACTGCTGTAAGAAGTTGTCAATCAGATTAGTCCGCAAAGAAATATTCTCTACATGAATAGATGGATCACGAAAAGTCTGTTTTCTTAGTCCGAGTGATTGCAGAAACGGATAATTCTGTTGATGAAGGATCTCTCGCGCCGATATCTGCTGAGGACAATAGAAATATTACAGGTGATGAATATCCTCATGTGCAAATTAGTAAGAGTAGCATGACAATAACAATTTCAAAGCGGACACAGGGCACAAGAAGATACATGACAAATGATGACACGCAGAAGCAAGCGACCAAAATGGAGAAACGAACGAAGAAAGTCGGCCAGAAATTCTCCCTGTCCAGAAATATCCTCTCAGAAATATAAGGCAAAAGCTTTACCAAAAGAACCTTAAGAAAACTGCCTAAACTAAGAAAAGGATACTTACTGAGTTTGCCAAAATTAAGCCAACTGCACCAGCTGAGTTGATCAGCAGGATATTCAGTACTACATGTCTCATTGCGAACAGAAACGATGAAAGGTTTGACCGTACTAGTTGCTTCTCTTTTGCAACGGCATGTAGAAAAGATTCAGAATGTTCCTGATGTAAAACCAAAGCACAATCTCGGTTCCACCTTGATACCTTTTAGGAACAGCAGTAAGATCTTTAAGTTAACACCAGACACAACCAAAAATTGATGATAGAAAAGGGGTACCAGTTCCAAATGAAAGACTTTAGCAGATTGTCAATGGATTTGGACACACGTACGATTTTTTTTTTCAAACAATCGCCACCACTTTAGTATCCTAGTCCTTGACGCCTTACTACATCTTAATACGAATTCCTTTACTTCAAAAATAAGGGAATTCATCATTCGAAGGGAAGTAGCCACATAAAATTTCATATATCATTAATATTATGCCATAATTAGTAATCGAATAAAGAAATCATAAAGACCCATAAAATAGAAAAAGCATTAACTCAAGTACCTGTTGCTTGATATTCCTCTAACTATGGCTGATCATACGCCTGTGAATATTGACAAGAAGAATCAGCGCATTACTCACCATTCATAACCAAAACAATTATATAAATGCAATAATATCGAAGGGCTGTTGATGCTTCCCCATCACTCCATTTCTGTCCGTACAACAATCTGATGAGAGAATAAGCATAACTTGGACCAAACACCATAAATACAATACCTACAGGATATCTGGGCATCTTGAGACCAAGGAAACAAATAAAGAAGATGACTTCAAGAAAAGAACAAATATCAATTCCAACTGTAGATAATTATCTTGCTCCTTTTGTGGTCATCACTTGTCCTATTTCATAATGTATCAAAATAGGCTAATACAAGTGTTTTCACTACCTGATCTCTCTGTTACAACATAACATGCAGTGTCTGCATATCTGCATGCCACGATTAACTTGGTAAAATTTCTTTTCTAAAAGATATTTTCTAGGTTGTTTGAGTCCCTCGGGTTCTGTTCATCATAGATTCATATGTGATCTAAACGACTGAGATGCTATTACAATAATCAACTTGGCTACTTATTAGATCGAGACTATGCACATATATCAAAATATATGTCTACAATTTTGATCTGTATAAACAAAGGAGAAAAGGAAATTGAAATGCACACACGCACGCACCTACTAACAAAACCAGTTTAAGGGCCTCTGTAAGGCTACTTCCTAGCCTCCTGTCTTTATTTGGGTCCTTTCCTGTCAACGAAAGATACTATTGGAAAATTAAAGTTTGTTAGATTTAGCACTGCATGAAGCAATATTAATGGAACCATGGAAATTCCTCCATGGATACAAACAAAATTTGAAGTGTGCATATAGCTTATGTAAAGAATCATTTGTAACTCACATGTCAGAAACAAAAGCAGGAAGAAATTAACCCAAACTCAAGATAACATCAAAAGAACCATCAAGTAAACAAAGGAGGAAAGCAAACCCGATGCAGACCTGGCAAATGTAGCATAGGAACTTTCTTCAAACGGAAGAAACACCAGCCTCACCACTAGGCTCCCTAAGAAGTGATAAATATCATAAAAAGAAAATTCAAAATCACTGACATGTTTTCTATTCTGAAGTAGTCTCCGAACAAAATCAGCTCTTATTGTGATGACAACGTGATTAATTTGAATGACTCAAAAGATCTGGACCAAATAATTACCTAATTTGTCCACAAGTCCACATACAGCTTGGTTATAACTTATAATATGCCGCCCACCACAAAAGGACAAGACTTTGTCCTTCTGGAAGGATCGACTTCGTGAAGGATCGAAGTGTAAAAACTTACACATGTCAGACAGCTCCCCATCATAATGCTTCTTATTCTTTGCTCTCTGAAAGTACCAAGCTATCAACTAAAGCAAATTTGTTCTAGACATAAGATTTAATTGAAAAACAGGGTTTCTTATCATATCCTTTCTGCTAAGCCAGCCAATTTCAATTGTGGATACATATGAATATGACAAATAAATCTGACGAGTGAAGAAATACAAGTTGTGATAATATTCCACTCAACTGCACAAATCCACACATTTGATAATTTAGATTGACTAGCTCCCACGAAAACCATTCACAGCAGACATATGACACTGGATTATTGCCTCCCAGATAAGATCAGGACCAACAAGGCACTGTACAAAAACGCTTGCCAGAAAAAGAAGAAGAAAAAAAGAAGAAAAAAAGAAGAAGAAGAAGTCATTTCTGCTGTCGAAGAAATCAAATAGCGTAATGCCCACATATTTGGCCACAAGAGACATCAGCTAAAGATCTTATGAATTCCCTACTTCTCTCAGGGTATGGAGAAGTGTTTAATGCCCACATATCTAGCCTCATATATCAGGGTATGGAGAAGTGCTTAAATTCAGCCCGTGAATCTTTTACAATGGCAGAGTTGAGAGTACAAATTTATTTCTTCATGGTCCTCTCAAATGGATAATAGGTTAAAAAGTATATTTTACGAGTTTTTTTCCATTGTCCAGTAACCAATAAAATGGTTCCACTAAAGCATAAAATTACTGGTTAAGGAACAAGTGGACACCACCCATATGATGTTCATATTACAAAAGGGAATCAAACAGATCATTACACATTTCCTCGCAGGTTTCATTTTGAATATAGAGAACAATGTTAAAAAATGAATAAAAATCAAGATTGCCAGAATAATTTGATACAAGCTCTTATTACCATGTCAGTTTGCTTGACAATGAGAATGAACATTGTTATGCAGTGGGAAAGAGTAGCAACTGTCTCAACTACTAGCCTTAGTTTAAGCAGAAGCAAGTTCTGAGAAAGTATATACAAGGGCTCTGCCAGTAGTTCAAAAATACATGCAGAGCCTGCCACGTAAAAATGACTCATGTCACTGATACATTAATGTGAAGCAATTAATTCATTTAACCAAAGCCAAATGGTCTATGATTTCCAACCATAAACAATTCTTGTTATAAAGTACTGAAACAATATTGATGAGTCACAAATAACATGTTCTTCAGTTGAAGTACCATCACTGTAGCATAAATTACAGGTCCTTAGCCGGTACAAATAAACACATTGCTATTAAAATGAAGAAGCACCTTTTCATGTCGGCCCGCAGGCTTTCTCGCCGAACTCCCTCACGACTGAGAAACAGTACACAGGTGACAAAAAGAAGAAATTGTACTCCGTAAGACAAAATAAATACACAAATGACTTCACAGTGAAGTAATTTAATTTTCAAATAATATGGAAATGCCACAACAGATATTCAAGCTTCAAGCCTAGCTCTTTGAGAGGCTGTATTGGACTGGATTGCTAGAGTTTGGTCCAGTATAAGATTGGACAATTGCCCAATTTAATGGTAGAACAAGTAACAAACTAAAGCTTACAAATTTATCATGTGGGCTATAGTTGAATCCAAAGCAGAAAAAGAAAATATATGGAAACATGTAAAATAGACAAAGATTTAAGAGAAAATCAAGCAGGAACTTGGAAAATGCAGTAAAGGACGGAGAAAGAAGTACATATTGTTACCGCAAAGTCCTCAACTGAAAGGTGCCTGACGATCCACGCAGTTAATATAAATGGAATTCCCGTTGACATGAAATTGTGTAGCTGACGCAACAAAAAAGAAAGCCAATTTGCATCATCTTCATTCTTGGGTTTGTGTGTGCGTGTGAGAGAGAGAGAGAGAGAGAAACTGCCTTTTTCCTCGTTTTTGGTAAACTGTCTTTTGCCTCGTTTTTTTTCCCTTTGTTAACTGCTAAATACATCACCCAAAAAGTAATCAAATTGAGAAAACTGGAAATACAGCGACCAAAATCGACACAAATCACATTGACCAAAATTGAAAGTATAGAGTTGTCAATTAAAGAAGACCGATGAAGACAAAAACATGATTACTTGAAATTATATCTATTACATAAATTCTATACGAATATTGATATCATAAATGTATATTAATAACATATTGAAATGTTTTGTTGGCGATAATGATATCGATACATTAACAATGACATATAAGTATTTTTTTTTTCCTTAAAGAACGGACGTTCATTACGGGGCCAATATCCATTAGATTATGCTTACACTAAAATATTTTGGATACATAATTGATCATATTCCACTAAGTTACACAATTTATATGCTAATTTGATGAGTATCTAGTATTCAACTATAAAATAATGACTAGCTACCAACCTACCATGAGCACCACTCACATTAAAACACAAGGCATTCTAAGGCTTAAGAACACATCTATACAACTGTTTACTATAATTACTGCTAATTATCTATTGCTCATCCAAGGGGCATGCTATATATCAAAGAATAAAGGTAAGATCAACTTTGTTTCCCCAAAGTTAAGATTTTTCATTACTATACAATTTGCCAAGGATTAATGTTTTACAAAATTACTTTAAAAGGTTTTTGTTTTTATTTTTAAGGCTTAATTATGTACATACCCCCTGTGCTTTCAAACTTATCTCAGATTACCACATGTGTTTGCAAACGGCTCAAAGTACCCCCCAACCTTTTAAAAACCGTCTCACGTTACCCCTTCCGTAAGTTTTTTTGACGTTCCGTTACGAATGTTACTGTTCATCCCCCCAAAATTCCAGAACAACAGCCCCTCCCCTTTGTTATTGTTCATCCGACCAGTTTTTGGGCTGCCATCTCCTCCTCCGGCCACCCCAAGCGACGACATGGGTATCAAAAGAACGATTTTTAAAAGGTTGGGGGTACTTTGAGCCGTTTGCAAACACATGCGGTAATCTGAGATAAGTTTGAAAGCATAGAGGGCATGTACATAATTAAGCCTATTTTTAATTTTATTAACAGTGGACTGATGAAGGGTTTGATATCGTATGGGTTGGGCTAAGGCCAGATTTGGGATCTTGACTTGGGCTCAGTCCAAAAGAGAGAAGAACAAAATATGGGAACTTTGGTGAGCATTTCAGTTATGGAGGGATTGATTCTCTTCCTGCTATTGATAACAGCGAAAAGAAAAACGTTCTCACTCTCTCGCTCTCTCAAAATTTGAACCGAAACTCAAAGAATGATAGAGATGGAGGAAACCACAATACCCTTTAAGAATCTCACTAGCAGAGAGTACCCGGGTCATAAGAAGAAGGTCCTCTCTTTCTATCTGTTACATTTTTTTAATCCAATTTCAACCTCCACAAAACCCTAATCCCTTGCTCTCCATTTTCAATATGCTAAATTTTTATGTGTCATTGTGAAAAGGTATATTCTTTGGCTTGGAACTACATGGGCACGAAGCTCACATCGGGCTCTGTAGATCAAACCGCAAGGGTTTGGCACATTGAGCCCCACGGACATGCAAGTTCAGCTGTTCCAATAAAATTCATTATTATTTCCCAATAAATTTATTATATTTCTATGTAATGAGGGAATAATTGTGTATATATGTTACAGGGTAAGGTTAAAGTTATTGAATTGAAGTGGCATACTAAAAGTGTGGATCAACTGTGTTGGGACCCCAAGCATGCTGATTTGATTGCCACTGCCTCTGGAGACGAGAGTTCGTCTATGGGATGCTCGTAGTAAGTCATTTCTCCTTCAAGTTTCAATTTTTTAGGTACAAAGAATGGAATGTGATGTTATATCCATCTGGGTACTTCAGGTGGAAAATGTGCGCAGCTAGCAGAACTTAGTGGCCAGAACACGCCTATAGACCTGATGGGATGCACATTGCCGTTGGTAATAGGGTAATGTTTACTTGTGCTCAACCTCTGTTGTATGAGTTTGTGAATTTTCTGCTTGTGAATAAGTTCATTGAATTTTCTGATTGTGAATGACTTAATTTGGTTGAATTATGAGTAGTGGGTGTCAATAGCTAATAGCTATGTTTTGCTGTTCCATATTCTGGTGTTGCTGTTCTTATGCTGATTTTTGCCCCTCCTTACAATGTAGGATGATGAACTAACAATTCTGGATGTTCGGAAAGTCAGGCCCATTCACAAGCGAAAGTTCAATTATGAGGTAATTATCGAAATGGATGCTTCTTTTTAATTTCCCCCATGTATATTGCATGTTCTATATGAGTTTTAGGTTATTAATGTCTCATCAGCACAAGGCTTTTAGAAAAGCTTTGTTACTCAACCTTGAGAAGTCATTCAATTCTGTATGATATGCAAATGTGACCACAGAAATTGACCTTAAGAACGATTGCTTGTAGAACACAAATCACAATATGTTAAGTTATCTCTCTTCTCTTCGCGCGCGCGTGAACACACACACACACACACACACACACACACACACATATATATTCATAAACCATTTTGTATGCTTATGTTGGCCAGGTGTTATATCTGAAATGAATTGGTTTTTTTCCACTTCAAATTACCAAAACATATAGGCACAGCACTCTGATGCATTAAAGCCGTAAAAGTTATGAAATATAGATTTTTTCAATTTTTTTTTTTTTTTTTTTGTTTAGAAATGTCTATATATGTTTGCATGTTTTTTTTTTTTTTTTTTTTTTTTTTTTTTCCATGTGACTTGCACATTGATGGTTTTTCTGATCGTTACACAGTTGCTTCATCCTAATACAAGGGATGTTGATGAATCCTGTTTATATTATCTGCCTCTGTACCTCAAAAACTTTTGAGCATTCTTCTTGTTTTCCAGGTTAATGAAATTGCTCGGAGCACAAGAATTGAAATTTTCTTCTTGACTACTGGAATGGTGAGAACATGTTTTCTGCATAATTTCTTTCTACATAATGGAACTTGGAATGGGTATTTTATTGTATATTCTCCGGCTCAGGTACTGTTGAAGTACTAGCATACCCATCTCTTCGACCAGTTGACACTGTCATGGCTCATACAGCTGGGTGTTATTGCATTGCGATTGACCCATTTGGAAGGTATGCTACAAAGATGTATTATCTTTTCATTGATCCCATCACGAAAAAGGAACGTTTATTTGCTGTATCTATGTAGTTTTATTTATCTTTGTTCCAAAATTCTCTCTTGAAACTGTCACATGAAGACTACTTTTAGCGCTTCCATATGCTCTTTTAAATGCTCTTTAGACGATGACAGGTATTTTGCTGTTGGAAGTGCCGATTCCTTGGTCAGCCTGTGGGATATCTCAGAGATGGTCTGTGTGAGAACATTTACAAAACTTGAGTGACTTGTACCCTGTGTTCCCCTATTATTCAGATTCTTTTTTCTTTTTAAATTCTGCAGTTAGTGAATAACTATGGACATTGCACACATTTTTTTACCTTAGGTTCTTGTGTATACTTTAATCATCAGCATCCCTATTCCTGGAATGATCTCTGTTTGTACCTTTCTCAGATTGCCTGTGAGGACAATAAGCTTCAACAACACTGGAGAGTATCTTGCTTCTGCCAGCGAGGACTTATTTATTGAAATAGTAAGTAGTACCTTATGTGGCTCACTACACTTGGAATTTACATCCTCAAGAAGTATATTCTCCCTTGTGGGAGGATGTCTGGTTACAAAGGCTGCAGCCTGTCATCATACCTGACCAATTTACTACTGTACACCAACTTTGTTTTGTAGGTTAGACGCCATTTAAAAAAAGAAGATATATATGTTCACTGAAGTTTTTATTTTTTGTTTACAAAGGATTTGTAGCTAATTCATTCATATGAATTCAATCCATCTTTCATCACCTAAGTAAAACTAGTAACAATATAACTGCTGCTGTATAAAACAGTCCAATTTTCAAACTGGGAGGACAGTGCATCAAATCCCATGTAGGGCTGCCATGAACAGTGTTGAGTGGAATCCTAAATCCAATCTCCTTGAAAGTAAAGGGCGGCCATTTTATGATACTTTGATCCATACGCATTTCACTAGGTGAGTCTTATATATCCACCTTCAAGTATATTTCCTTTTCCTTCTATTAATTCATTACTTCTTCTTAATTTATAAGTAAAATCTGTTAAAGGCTCCAAAGGGGTGCAACCTTGGTCCGTAGAAAATATTCAAGAGATGACCGTCTTTTTCCCAACACAATAGGTCATCGCTTGTTATGAATTTTTTGGCTTTTTCTCGTGAGTGCAATCAAACTATGAATTAGAAATCGTGCTTTTAACCTGAAATCTATATTTGTTATTTCTGTATAGTTCTTGTCGTCGTTTTTCTTGACATATGGCTTGATTGCTACCTTTGTGGCATGCAAGCAACTGCTCAACTACAATTGGGATGACATTTTACACAGAGACCACATTTGAAGAACTTCATGTGTTGATACATGTTTCAGGAATACAGGTCCCAAAGGCTGGAGACTGAGACAAAGACATTTTGAGACTAGTATGGAAGTTCTTTCCACCAAGTTCTGCCATTGAGATATGGTCTGAGTTTAGGTAAGTACTATGAGGCCTTTTTCCCTAGAGTTAGTTAGTTGGACTGGGAAACATAATTTCATTTCTGGGGTTTTTCACCTCCATCCACCTCTGCGATGTTTCACTGAGTTGATGTTTCACCATGTCAAGACAAGTAAAATACTGTTCCACATGCTCCAAGTCACATTTGTATAGATTTATTCTTTTCAGCTTTTTTGTGTCTGACCTTTTCTTTTTGTCAATACAAACAAAAATTTATCGCGCTTTGGCTTAAATTGATAGATACACACGCATGCACACCCATGTTTAAATAAAACCATAAGCTAGGTGATTATAGTTGAACTCTTAGTTGTTCCGCTCACCCTCTCATGAGTAATTGTATTTTCTTTTTGTTTAATGAAACAAACGTGCAGATCTTTATTGGAAATCCACGACATAATTCATCCTTTGAGGGATCTGGGTTTATTAGACTGTTTCTTCCCACGAACTTGGACAACCAAGAATTCTTTTCGCAGTAAGGAGCACGTATCTCGCACTTTTTCTTTATGGTTTTCTCACGCTTTATATATATTTTTATGTTTCTTTTTGTGGCAAGTCACCTTGTATTCTTGGTATTGTAGCGATTGGTTTAAAGAGTTTTTGCACCTATGGGACCCGATACCGAATTGCCAATTTTGGAACAGTCGATGGGCAGCTGTTATAGCTCATGCTATAAAAGACTTAAATATGTTTGAGGTGAGTGAATGAGCCCTTCGAGAAAGCTTGAATATGGACAATATGTGGTTTACATTAGGCTCTGTTTGTTCGGATGGAGAATAGAATTTTAGGGAATATATCTGCTTGAAAAGTCTATTGGAAAGCGTTCTCTTTGAAATTGTATTTTCTTTTTGTTTAATGAAACAAACGTGCAGATATGTAGGCCCATTGGATCAGAATCCATTTTACCAATCTTAGCAAAAATCCCACAATTCTACGGCCGTGATTTTTTGATTTAAAATGGATCGTTCAAAATGCCCAAATAATGGGAAGAATATCTTTTATAAAGTGCTTTTATTTTATAGAGCATTTGTTTCTGAAATAAAAAGATAATGCGAAGGAAGGGCTATGAGATGTTATTTTAACATCTTGAATATAAAGGTCATCTTGGCACCTTGTCGGTCAAATCAAATTAATATATTATTTAAATAGAAAAAGTTGCCCTTTTTAATTAATCTATTATTTAATATTTTGACAGAAAATTAGATAAAACATACAGGATTTAGACGGCATGGCACGGGGACATTGGAGAAAATAAAAATAAAAATTATGTGCTTGATTTTCTGAAGAAAAAAAAAAGATAGGTTGTCAATTGAAAAGTAGGTACATGTTCCAGGGATATTTAACTAATATATATGTGAAACTTGATTATTTATATTTTTGCACTTTGTATGTGTGAAGCTTATTCACTTGTTGCCAAGAAATTTTAACGGTTCAAGATGGAAAAATGTGTTTCCAGCAGATTGTATGATTGTCTACCTTGAAAAGAACTTATTGACATATCGATTTATATGGAATAACAAAATATTTCAATTATCTCAAGGTTCGCAGGGCACAACTTCAACAAGTACACTTTTAATTATATTGTTGAACATGTATTCATTTTGATAAAATGTTTTTTGTTGTTGTTGTTGCATTTAATATGTATTTATTTTATGTTAAAGCTTATTGGAAATTAGTCAATAAAACTATGAATTAGTGTGGTTAATATAATTTAATGTACACTTTTATTTTGGTTAGAAATTTTAGCTAACTCACCCATCGAAAAGTTCCTGGTTCCGCCCTTGCATGCTTTCAATTTGTTTTGTGTACATGTCAGATTTCATGGGTATCGAAGCTCAATAAGTTACCGTAAATGAGACTGGAGAGGTATGTGCCAAGCAAGAAGAAAATGATTTAGAAAAAACAAAAACAAAAACTCAAATGCAAATCCAAAATGCACTCAACTCCCCCAAATTCATTTACACATCATACAGGAAATATAATTTTTCTTTCTTTTTTGCATTACCGATTTTTCTGTCACACTTTCATATAAGAAAAAAGTGTCAAGTGTTATTAAAAAAAAGGGTAAGCCCAAATTAAGTCCAACATTCTCCCCCTTTCTCCGATACCACTCCCGCTTTTCCTCCTCTCAGTTCTTCTCGCAATGGCCATGGCCATGGCCATTCTCCGCAAATTCCAAAAAATTGGAACAAGATCAACATTCGGATCCAAACCGCAGGTCTGTGTTTACTCGTCAATTTGATAAAATTTGGCGATTAATTTCTTTTTGTCAAATCAAATTAATAATTAATTTTAGGAATATTTTTTCTTATTTCAAATCTCATTCAGTTTGTACACCTTTTTTTGGTATCTTTATCTTATTTTCGATTTTCAATCAGCTTAAGCATGTACAGAAAATTCTTTTTGTCAAATCAGATCAATTATTATTTTTAGGGATTTTTTATTTTATTTTCAAATCTCATTCAGTTTGTACGCCTTTTTTTGGTATCTTTTTCTTATTTTCAATTTTCAATCAGCTCACGGCATGTACACAGAAGAATCTGCAATTCCGCCAGGTCCAGGTACCAAAAAGTGTTCTACAGTGGATTTTAGCTTCTTTTTGTCTTCACTACTAAACCTAAATTACAGGGGTCCAGCAATCTGAGCCGAGCAACAGACATTGACTTGAGGCCGTGGATTACAGCGGTTGACTTGAGGCCGTGGATGGGTCCCATCCGTGACCAGCATGACAAACGTAAGTAAATTACATTTTTTTCCCTCTCTTTCTTTTCTTCCTAGACTATACTAATTCAAAATCTCTCTTGTTAGCATACTGTTGGGCTTTTGCGGTAACCGCGTGCGTTGAGACCCTTCGTACCTTACGCACTGGGAGGAAGACTACACTTTCACCCGAGAGTGTAATCCATCGTCTCGGCCGTGTTCGAAAGCGTACCACAGCTTATCGCTCACCCAAGGCTCTAGCACTCATATGGATGAAGGGGATACATCTAGAAGTCGACTGGCCCTATCATGCCACAAAACCAAATAATGTAAGTGTAACAAATAGTTAAAAATGAAATTGTTTGCAGTGGAAAAGAAACGAATTAGTAATAAACGCATGAGAAAAACCTGGACTGGTTGGACAAAAAAATGAAATTGATTAAACAAGTGTAACCAACAACATTGCCCTGCTCTTGTAACATTTAATGCATATACACTCAGCAGAAAACACTTCACCTGTGCACCCTTCAACTCAATGAATTGAGTCTTCAAATGAGGAGGAACCTTTTCATGAAAGAACTGGTACTGGGGTTAAGCTGCCCACCCCCAGCATACCCACTAAATTTTGTTTCCACTTATGTGTTGTGCAAACCGAAGCAGATTTTGTTTGGATCTAGATGTTACTATCATGTTTTATTTACTGAATTTAGAAATTGCTCCCTGCCCAAGATATCCAGGTTGATTGAGTAATTACAATTCCTCTCTTTTGTACTTCTCTTTCAGTACTTTGCAGAGAAAGTCTACATCACTGGTGTTAAAATCATAAAAGGCGAAGATGCTATAAAAAACGAGCTCGACCAGGGCAGGCCGGTGGTGTGCAGTGTCGCATGCCATATAAATCTCATTCGTTACAAAGGGGTGAGTTAGCCAAGTTTTAATAGATAATGTGCAAAGGTGGGCACTAATATCAAAAATCTAACAGTAAGGTCCTTTCTAAACAAGCTTTCTGTTGGGTTCTCATTATGGTCACGACTCACTCATTCAATTCTATTGCAGGGCATCTTGGGACCCCAGGAATGCTATGGTGCGATATGCCCTCTAAAAGCCAAATGCTCTAAAAAGAAATGTAAGGTAGAGACACCCTCGGACTGCACTAAAAAGAAATGCCCTTACAAGATATGTGACAGAGACAGAGTATGGACTTGGTGCAACCGGTGTGGATACGGGCATGGATTCCATGCCATGTGCATTCTTGGCTACAACAATGCAGCATGGTTGTGCCAAAATTCTTGGGGGGGAAAGTGGGGAGAGAAAGGACTCGTGAGAATATTGAGGGGGTCGAAATGTGATCTGCATTGGTAGTAGAAATGCATGCGTTCCAGAGGAAGAGGAGGAGGAGGAGGAGAAAGATGAGGAAATTGAGAAAGAAAAAGAGGTTCCAGACCTATCCCTTTTGTTCTATTTTCTGTTTTCCACTGTTTTCAATTCCGCTAAACTACCTAAATCCTACATAACAGGGGGCAGGTAAGATACTCTATGCAAACTCAAGCTTTCTTGAAGGGATAGTTCACTCACCTCAAGCATATGCCATTGTTGCTGAAAATGTCCATTTGAAAATTCAACTGCTTCAACACTTGGGAGCCTCCTCCAGTAATTGCTCTGTTTCATCTCCTATATTGAAAATAGCATGTAAATCTTGTCAGACAACCGTACACACAAAAAAGACACATGACTACAAGTGTATATGTGCGTCCACATTCGTGGTTGCATATGAATTTTTGGAAGGCTCTTTCTGATGGTTTTATAAAGGAAGTGTGGTTGCAAGTACGTTGGATGAAATTAGGGTTCCTTATAAAGGAAGTGTGGTTGCATGTAATCTGATAGGGAAAGCTTAAGGGAAATTGAAATTGATTGAAAAATCCATGATCTTGAAGCAGATTCGCGACAAATGAAGGTATCATCATCAATTTAGCCAAAAAGCTCCAAACTTTATAACAACAAAGCCATGGAATTGAATTGAAACGAATCAGAAGAGTACGGTTTTATAAAGGAAGGGTGGTCGCAAGTACCATTGGATGAAATTAGGGTTCCCTATGAGATTCAAATCAAACTGACCAATTGACCAACGTACGCAAAGGTTTAAACTTTACCAATTGAAAGTTGGTGTTCGTGTAATCTGATCGGGAAACCTTGAGGGAAATTGAAATTGGTTGAAAAATTCATGATCTTGAAGCAGATTGACTCCTCTGTCTCTGCGACAAATGAAGGTATCATCATCAATTTAGCCAAAAAGCTCCAAACTTTATAACAACAGTGCCATGGAATTGAATTGAAATAAATTAGAAGAGTATCGAAAGATTTACCCTTTAGATTGCAGCAACAATCTGAGATCATCCACGGATCTGAAAAGCCCCAATCTTTTTGGGTGTCGGAGGTGTTTTGGGTGTTGGAGGTACAAATGTCTACAGAAAAAATTACCTCAAGAGGTACAAATGTATAGGTCCTATAGTGCTTCTGACAATCATTCTAAACTGATTTTGGGGAAAACAAGTATCCTCCTGATCAATTAAAAACCAAGTTAGATATTATGCGATTTACAATACAAAGTCTCAAACCACATCCATCTAATGTACCCACCTCATCATCAGGATCAATAACTTCAATATAACTAGCTTGGGGAGCTTTTATTGCAATAAGTGTTTGATTCTGTAACAACAATAGCAGTAAGAAAACATTGGGATTGATCAATAGTTATAAAGCACAAAGTAATGGAAGTTTCAAAGATCTAAAGTCAAAAAATGACCTGGAAGCAACGAAGGCTCAAAATATCTTCCTCCGTCAAAAATAGGAACCTAAACAGTTGATTTTAGAAGATTATAAAGTTAAAAATGGGAAAAGAGAAAGGGAAAAAAACACCAGGACTTAGAATATACTTTTTATTCTTTTCATCTTCCTCCAGGGCCCTCAGACGCTCTAGCTTTTCCCTGAAAAAATAACCCTTTATAGCTCAACATACCAGACAGAAAAACATCTCAATGCGTCTAATTCTAAACAACCAACCTATAGCATCATCAAGCCTGCATTCTTCAGCATATAAACTTTCAACTTCATTCTGAAAGAAAACAAAATGTTCTTCGTGGTTAGAGAGAGTACAAATACTTTAAGTTTGCAACATGATTATAGCAACAGAGTAGAAAGCCTGACTTTGCTTGAAACCAGGAATGGCATTACAATATATCACCACTCACGACCAATTTCAATCATCCAAACCTCAGTTAAGATTTGAAATTGCTTGTCCACCCAAACAAATAGTGCATTAAATTTAGGATAAGATAGCAACTCATTTTACAAAATAGTTGGAGGCATTGATAAAGGTGCCAAAGAGATTTTCACTCTAGTCTCAGAGATGCAAACAAACAAGGCCAATAATAAGAGTAATCTGTTCGCAGTTCATAAACAAAAAAGAAAGAGATTCTAATTATATTATTACCAAGCTTGAGGCTTGACGACAAAGACAAAGTGAGGGTGAGAGATCAACTGCAGAACTTTGAAGGAGTGATCTGAGGCGTCCATTACGTAGGAGCTGAGTTTCTGAAACAGAAAAGCATTTCAATTTTCATGGTCAGGAAGAGGAAGATGAACAGTAAAAAGTGAAGAAAAAGGGAAGGGTAGGATGAGTAAAGTGGAGGAAGAAAGACCGAGACAGTCCACATTCGTGGTTGCATATGAATTTTTGGAAGGCTCTTTCTGATGGTTTATAAAGGAAGTGTGGTTGAAGTACGTTGGATGAAATTAGGGTTCCTTAAGAAATTCAAATCAAACTGACCAATTGACCCAACGTACGCAAAGGTTTAAACTTTAGCAATAGAAACTTGGTGTTCATGTAATCTGATAGGGAAAGCTTAAGGGAAATTGAAATTGATTGAAAAATTCACGATCTTGAAGCAGATTTAGCCAAAAAGCTCCAAACTTTATAACAACAGAGCCATGGAATTGAATTGAACTAAATTAGAAGAGTATCGAAAGATTTACCCTTAGATTCTCTGCGATGATGATAATGATGGATCAGCAACAATCTGAGATCGTCCACGGATCTGAAAAGCCCCAATCTTTTTGGGTGTTGGAGGTGTTTTGGGTCAACTGGCGTTGGAGGTCAGATGTCGATGAAACATGAGTAGGATTGTGATTTCATTAGGGTTTCATTTTTATTTTTTTATTATTATACTTTCTGTTTTTGTTCCATACACGTGTGTGAATCTAAGGTGAGAGTTTAACTTTCATTCCCTTGTCTCACCAGTTTAACTCACTTATACAGACAAGTTTAAGGAATGGGCCCCAAGGAAGCAGCGCTCTCTCTTTCTCTCTCAATCTCTCAATCCAGGTCTAAGGGTCGGTGGATTTTAACTTAAGTTATAATTACACTGCCTTTTACTTTTTACTATCCCCACTACTACTTTCTTTCTTTTTTTTCCCGAATATCCACAACTACCATACTAACTACACAGTAGGGCTCGTCAATGGGCCGGGCCGGGCTAGCCCGGCTCAAATTTAACGGGCTTGGGCTGGGCCGGGCCGGGCTTTAAAGAGGAGAAAGAAAATATCGGGCCGGGCCGGGCCGGATTTTTTTAGAAAATTCAAAGCCCAAGCCCGACCTGTCCATTGGGCCGGGCTGGGCTAAGCCCAACGGGCCGGGCCGAAACGGGCCTACTTCATTCGAAAAAAATCATAAACTTAATTATAAGGCATTTTAGTCTAAATTTGAGATTAAACTCACTTAATTCCAATATTTTCACATCAAACCAAATTCATAAAATACCCAATAAAGTCACACAACTTAATAAGATTTTCCACAAAAATAATAAAACAAAGTATTATTTTTGAGGTTATTACATAATTAGACCGTAATACGTTTTAAGAAATAATTTTAAAAAATAATAAGTATCAAAAAGATATTTTTTTTAAAGGATGGTATAAATAAATATGTAAATGTTTGGTGATGTGTTCAAGAAAAACATTATTATATTTGGTGGTAGTAGTACGATTATGTTTCGTGATATGATTATATTTAGTGATATGATATATTGTTCATCTTATTTATATATATATATAATTGTTGTATAAATAATTGACACAAATTAATGTGCTAATCATCCAATTATAAATTAGGAATGAGTAAAGAAAAGTAAATGAAATGAAACAAATTATATATGTGATTTAAGTGATATAATCCTAATCCTAAACTCTTATTTATACATAATTATATATGTATGCGGGCCTAACGGGCCGGGCTTTTGTGGGTGGGCCGGGCCGGGCTTTCTTGGGCTTAATCGGGCCGGGCCTATGGGCCGGGCCGGGCTTCAAACACCCAAGCCCAAGCCTAGCCCGGCCCAAGGCGGGCCGGGCCATCTCAAAGCCCATAACGGGCCGGGCCGGGCTTTTTTCCAATGGGCCGGGCGGGCCCCCCATCGGCCCATGAGCCCGCGGGCCAAATGATGAGGCCTACTACACAGTAACTCTTTTTTTTCTTTTTAACTATTTTGGAAAGTACATTTCTTTTGATACGCATTAATGAGTAATCTTCTATTTGCAACGACGTCGGCAGCATTTCACTTTTGGGTATACCGACCACCCTCGGTTCGGTTATTGGTTGGAGCCCATCAGGCCAGTTGCCGAATTGATTCCATCCCTAGTTGGCAGTATTGTAATCGTTCTGGCCTTTCTTGTGCGAATACATAAAATGTGACAAGTGTTGCATTTAAATTCTAATCAACAAATTTCAATAACAATATTACAAATAAAAACAAATGTTTGTCTTTTTATTCCACAACGAATTTCAAGACTGGAATTTCAAGACTGGAATCTGGTTGCTATATCTTTTTACTTAATTTTTTTTATACTGTTTTTACTTTTTTATCTATTTGGAAATGTTTATTTGGTGTTTACTCTTTCTATTTTACATGAGTAGGGTCTTTTGGTATGCAACCCCAAGTCCCCAATCAAGGGCAATCACTCTCTATGCCGTTGCCAGCTAATCATCTCAGCCACGTCAACAACTCTTATCACAGAACATTCAGAATAACATTCCAGCTACTGGAGTTCAAAGTTCTGATGGCTTATCATCTGCTCTACCTCCTTCATCCGGTTTAACCCAGACTCCTATTCCAAGTATTGTTGGGCAAAATCAAAACATGCAGAATATGGGCCAGGGGTACCCTCCAATATGTTTGCTACTTCTCAAAGGCAATGCCAGGAAGGCAACAGGTAGTTCAAAACATGCAGCAGCAGCAGCAATCCCAGAATTCCAGCAGTATATGTACCAACCGTTGCAACATCCGCTTTGAAGCCCAAATATCAGCAGGGAAATCCACAACTGTCCAACCGCAGAACTTACTACTTATGAAAACAAAACACATAGCGCGGCTATTAGTACTTATGAAAAAAAAAAGACCTACCAAGCGAATACGGCGCCCCAAGTGCTTGAAATATTATAGCTGTCGGCCTATACTAATTTTTAAATAATTTTTTTTAAAACGGAGTATAGCCACTGGGCATACTATTTATAAAAACAAAACAAAACGAAATGCCTAGTGCATAGTACCCAAGTAAAACACATGTCAAAACTGTCTAGCTGCGCGGCGTACTATTTTTTAAGCAAAACAGTTAGTATAGCAGGGTGATATACCGTTGAATACATTATATTTAAAAGGTATTAGCCGAGCAAACTATTGTAAAATCCAGGGATCAACTCTGTGTCGCATGACTCCCTTCTCTGCCCTCATGGTTTTGTTCTGGGAAACTCATGAGCAATCCCAGTGAGTCAACCCATAATGAGAAGGGCTATAGTCCCAACGCGCTTAACTTGGAGTTTCCATGACTCCGAAGGCCAATGAGATCCCAAAAGGCCCGTGCAGAGGATGTGAGCCGGACATATAGGAACATCCCATATCGTAGCGATTGTGTGATGTTCAATCAACTCCGGTTAGGACCCCGACGTCCTCGTCGGACACTAGTATCACCACAGCAGGTAACTGGATACCAACTTGTCACATCCGGGTCGGTTCGCCGTATTTAAGAAGATTATTGTCCGCTTTGGGCCCTTTTCTTTCCATCACGGTTTGTTTCTGGGAAAATCACGAGCAATTTCCAGTGGATCCCCCATCTGGATTTCTCTAGCAAACTCAAAAGGCCTATGCTAGTGGAGGTGGGCCTGTACACAAAGTTACATCGTCCCTCTCTGTGGGTCGATGTGTGATGTTACAACTATACTATTTAAATATATAAAAAATTAAAGAAAGAAAGACCTCCTGGTTGCATTAGTTTATACTTATATAGAATTACTGCTCGTTTGAACATTTCTAATTTGGTATTTGAAGAGACAAAAATTAAACTAAATCAATCTAAGAGTTCAAATTTTTTCTCTTTTGTTTTTTGTGGTGTGAATGTTTGCCTTTGATCTACCTGTTCTCTCGAGTGCTACTAAATTTGGTTAGTGCACACATTTTTGTATCATAGAGAATTGCATGCTGAGTTGGAGTGGGCTTGGTAGTACTTCCTTTCCAAACCAACAATTTACATAAAGAAATTAGCAGCCTCTCTAATAATATACCCAATAAATATTTGTGTTGAAATTGTGTTCTAGTTGCAAAGAAGATTGCAAAATCACCATTTGGCCATTTTGTTAAAATAGTAAGCAAATGTAAAAAATCAAAAAGGCGACAATAGGACTCAAGTATGACCTAATAGTAATGAATACATCTAAAATAGTATTATCGCATAAAAGAAAAATCGAAAAAGAAAAAAATTTAAAAGAATTACAAAGGAGACTAAGCATATATATTTATATAATATAATTCTATATTTAAAGAGTATAGAGCTTGGCCGATACTATTATTTTAAAAAGGGTGAGTAAAGCCGGCGCGGCGGCATGAAAGATATATTTTTTTAATGAAAACAAATCGAGTATAGCTTACAAATTTATAAAAAATAAAAAAAGACCCACCTAGCGACGAGGCACCACATGAGAACGTATAGCCGTGCGGGTAATACGTTAAAAAAAAAAAAAAACTAAAAAAAAATGAGTATCGCTGCCACGGCTAATAGATAATGCTCTAAACTCTTTACGATTAAAAGAAATCGGGGAAAAAAATTTAAAAGAAAAAAAAAAGGATCAAGCAAATATTATAAACTAGTAAGTCTTAGGCTATAGATTTATTAGGAATTTTTTTTTTTTTTAAAAAGTGCTGTGTAAAGACGCAGGGGTATACGTTTTTTTTTTTTTGTTTTAGGAAGTCTTTCCTATTGAGAGGGCGCTAGCATAAATAACTCACACGCACTACACGGATGCATGGAATCGAACCCAAGACCTGCTGAGGGAGTCAATACTACAAACTACACACTAGTGGGTCCTTTGCTAAAATCATAACAACCATTATTTTGGGTCGTGGATTTAACTTAGAGTATACTACACCTAGCCTTTTACTTTTTACTATCCCCACTGTCGTTCTTTTTCTTTTTTCCCGAATCTCCAAAACTACTATAATAAGCTAAACAATAACCTTTTTTTTCGTTTTACTATTATTGTGGAAAGTAAATTGCTTTTGGATAGGCATTAATGGGAATGTAATTATTTATTTGCCACGCGAACGAGGATTGATGCTTTCTAAATACGATGATACTGTAACACGGAAGATTGTTTATAAGAATTAAATCACAATAATATTGGAAATTAGTTGCGGGTTATACAAAACTTTTTTTTAAAGTTCAATCAATAAAAACTTTCGAAAAATCTTCGATGAATGAGTGCATATATTGGAAATCACTACGAAAGTTTGTGTTGAAGACAAATTGACAAGATTAAATAATGAACAATCCTCTCCTGTCATTAAATTTCGATCAGCTTATGCGTTCAATTATTGGATCAAGCTCCAAGCCCATTAAGGTTTTTTCTGTTTATACCAAAATGAACACCCAATGAACATCAACCACGTGGACTAAACCAGGCTACGTGTGCCTTCGGCACTCACCTTCGGTACCGACCTACCGATCACAACATTAGGGCAACCTCGCCCACTCTGGCACGTGGCAGCCCACAACTGACGCCCAGAGTCCCACATCGAAACTCTAAACAATTGCACACCTCCCAAGGCCTATAAAAGAGGACTCCATCCCAGCCTGAAGGTAATCAATCAGAACTTACGGCATACTGCCTATTGATCTGCAGTTAAAACTTACTAAATCCGTACTTACTTAAGCATCGGAGAGCCTTCGGCCGGTACCACACCGGTGCCCTAGGATTTACCGTGTGTTTGCTATCTTACAGATCGCACACCCTACCGAGGACATCAGATACCGAAGAGACTTAATCACTAAGTTGCGCGGGAAAGTGCAGAACCATTTTCTGCGTCAACTGCGTGAAACCTTTGGATTGCTTGTATAAGATCAAAAAAACATCGAAAATCACCACATAAACGGTTGATGCAGTTATGGAGTTCTAACTTCAATTCATCTATATCTAAAATTCTTTTCCAGTGCATTTGGGATGAGGGAAAATAAACTTGGGATTGTGACCAAAGTCAGTATTTTCTAAATGACATGAAACCAATGTCCCGGTTGGATAAGAAAATTTAGAAATTTAGAAAATTCAGCGTAGGGAAAAAACATGGAATTTGGAGATATAAATCCCAACTTTAATTCTATCTAAAAGTCGCATGTACTAAAATACCCAAGGGAGATTGAGTTTTGAAACATATCAATTTACAAATAAAGTTAAAGTTCGTGTTTTAAATCCATTCAACCAAACAAGAAACTTTAACAATTTCTAGTAACAAATTTTCGTCATGAATTCTTCATAGAAACATTTGTACTTTTACATTTACTTAAGCCAAAACGCACTATAGTGTCCTCCCCCACAGCTGTAGATTGCATTGTGTTGCCATGATTAACAATCTTGCTTCCAAATTCCATGACCATGCATCTATTTCAATTCCATTGCATCGTTTCCAAGTAAGGCATCGTCACTGGGGTAACAATCAATGGTGAAGTCTCCTGAATTCTTAGGGCGCCTTCACTCTCCCCCTCTCTCCTTGTCCCCTTATGCCTCCTTCTCTGTTATAATTACAGATCTCTGACATTCACTTTGTTCTGGTTTTTTGCTTTTGCTTCTTTTTTTTCGACCATCTCCTTGCTGGTTGAATTCTTTTCCTGATTTGCTCTTACCCATATTTGTTCCTACCTTCTCCATCCCTCTTCCATTCCCCTCCACCCCCCCCTAAAGACTTTTCTCCTGCCACGGGTGTGCTCTGTGTTTTGCAGAGCCAGGTTCCTTCGGTCTTCTTTTTGTTTCTTTTTCACTTTATTTAATTTAATGTTTCGTCTTTGAGGCAAGTGCTGAAGGCTTCCGGTTGTATTTTCAGGTGTTTTCTTATAGGTTTCTGCAATGCCTTATCCTCTCCTTATTGTTGGGGCTGCGTCACCTCGGCTGGTTTTAACATATCTGGCTCCTGGACTTCCAAGGAGTTTTCCGATGTCTATCCTCGGTGGGACTGTTGGAGTGTGGTGCCCTTAAAGTGCAAAGCACTTATTGCTTGGATTATGGTAGCACTACTCTATGGTGTTGTAGCATTAGTGCGCGCTGCCCACCACATTTCTGGTTTGGTTACTTGGTGATCTTCCTTGGTGGTGTTGCCGGCTTGCTATGGTGGCACGGAATTGTGACTGTGAGGACTGTGCCGCATTACTGTCTGTCTAATTGCCGGTTAGGGTTTTCTAATGTTGTGTGCTGCTTTGTGGGCTTTGCTTTTGAGGGTTTCTCTGCGTTAGTGTGGGCGCCGTCGTCTCAATGGGGGCTTAATGCCTTTAGGTATGCTGTATGCATTTTGTTAGTTTTAGATTGTTGGGTAGTCAGTTGCATGCATTTTGTGGATCCGCAATTATTTGGGTCATGGTGATAGTAATAGGGCTTTTAGACCTTCTATTTAAGAAACAAGATTTCGTCCGCCACAAACAAAAAACAAAGATATGAAGACAACCCATTTGTACAAAAATGGTACCGATCCTTAAAAATTAACACAAATGCTGAAACGTGCTACTCACGAGGCTCCCAAACATCTTTAGCTTAGAGGGAGGTAAGGTGCTTCAGTTAAGATTTGATTCGTCGTTTTGGTTACACTCGGAATCAAATTACCAAAACAAGAGAAAGGCCTACTCACGAGATACCTCAGGCATTATAACAATTCTCTTCTCACATATATGATCTGTGATTAGACACGTGAAGAGCGGGGTGTTGTACTAGACCCCTTTTTTTTGGGGTGTGGGGGGGACATATCTTAAACGTGTGGTCAATTTTTTAATTGAAAATTAAAATAAATAAACACCACACTACAAGAAAAACGTATTGAACAACTGCATTGTTGCGTTGTTGAAGGTATTTAAACAAACATGCGGCCGCACGGTTGTTGAAGCCGAGGTCGTTTGAAAAAGACCAGAGCAGATTTCGTACAACACGGCTTGTGTCGTCTTGATTCAATGCTCGTTGTTGTTAACACCATTAAATGCACACGGGCGCATGTTGTGAAAGAAGTGTCAACAACGTGTTCTGCATCGTTGTTGACACCATCATGACAACGTTCGTAATGACGTCGTTGAATTTTAAAGACAACAGGCCTTTGCACATTGTCATACTAAAGATGCAATGTTTATGCATATTGTCCAATTCAACTTAAACAATAGAGGTTCGTCTGTAAATAGAGCTTCAGAATAAGTAAAGCTATTTCTTCTTTCACTAAAATAGAAACACATATAAAGAACTTTCATTCAAAAAATAACTCCACCACTTTACAAAGATTGATAGATTCAGTGTCAGCGTTACACTTATCCACATGGAGTAGAGGGAACTGACTAGGCTTATAATTACTCAAAACCCTGTCGAACATGATTAGAAACTTGATAAGTTGGGCTAAAGCTGAGAGCCAATGATTGGATGTAAAGTGCTTGATTGTTAGAAGAATCCAAATTAATATGCTACTGCCAAGCTTCAGTGTTAGAAGAGCCCAGTTCAGATTGTCTTATTGTGCAATTTCCTTCAATCCTAAAGCTGGCCTCTCCAGATGGAACACTCTCAACTGAAACTCGAGTGGCAGAAGAAACATTTTATTAGACCTGACAAGTCTGTAGAAATGGATAGACCTTAGAATTTTAAAATTTTAAGCTTAGGAACCCAACAAAAATCATGGTAATGAAATCAACCACCTCATGCAAACATCTACGAGGCATTTGTTTAGATACTTTAATAAATCAAGTAGACAAAATTTCACCAATATTATACACACAAACACATAAGTTTATTCACCAATCCAAGAGAAATATTACTGACCCTTATTTTAGTATTGAATCTTTCTCTTCTTTGTGAATTGATAAGCTAGAGCACGAAATAAAAAAAGGTACCATGCGTAGGTGACAGATAGGCCCTCGTCCAGAAGGACCAATAGACTCTATGCTTCTAGCAATTGTGACGCTCTGTTTCATCCCAGAGAGCGGTGTGCCAATTTCTTACAAAAAAGAAATTGAAATCACGACTTAAAGAGAATCTAAAGTAATGAAAGGAATTAATAAAAAGAAACATGATCCCATGATAAATTAATAAGGGCAACTGGGATGGAATTAAAGAACACAACACGTGAAAAAAACTTTTCGAGAGAAGACAGAGCAAGGTTTTAAAACATGGTCTAAGTTGTAGGGGAATAATTAATTTGGAGAGATCTGTAGGTCAGTGTAATAAACAAAAAAGGGAAACCAAAAAAGCTGTCGCTGGGTTCTTTTCCCCAAATGCATTATAGCTGAGAGCAAAAAAACCCAACTGAGCACACCGTGTTGTGGTTCATAAAATGAAAGTTGAGTGTCAAATCCATATGTTAATACCATATTTCAATGAAACTACCACCACCAGCTGAGCTCCCTTTATGTGAGCCCAAAACCTAATACACCCTATAAACCCCAATACCAATACAATAAATTACATGATCAATCAGCAGAAACAATAATTTAATTGTAATTAAAGTTCCAAAATATATATATATTATTCGAGTTTAGTACCAAAACACAAGCAACTATATATTCAATCGAACTCCGATTTTTTGCTTTTTTTATAGGTAAGACTCTAAATCTGTTGTACGTGTTCTACTTGATTCATTCATTGCGGGTTTAGCCCAAGAAGCTGCACTTTCCACCAACGTGGCACCAGGAGACAACGGTTGAACCTTGGCAAATTGAAGAGACATCTTTCGGAGGTCTAATACACAGCAACCAACGTCAAACCTCAAAGCTGGAGGCCCGATTGCCTAGAACTCGGGTTTAGGTCCACCACCAAATTATTACTCCACATAACCATACCCAGAACCATTCCAAACCCTCTTACCATCAAACTACCAAGAACAACAATCCAAGCGTCCCTTTCTTCTCTAGAGAATTGAGGACCAATATGGATGGGAAGGCAGCAGTTCGTTGGGTTTGGGATTGGGGGTTTTATTATTTCTCCATAGACAGACATAAATTGAGGAGAAGGAAAGGAAGGACATTCACAGGAAAGGGAGGCTAGTCAAATGTTGAGACCGAAGAGATAGCTGTTCAGATTTCTGTGCCCCATTTGGATAAAGTTTAGTCGAAATATCTGGAGAATATAAAAGGGAGTGAGAGAGAGAGAGAGAGAGAGAGAGAGAGAGAGTGGGAGACGAGAGATGGAAGAGAGATAGAGAGAAGAGAGAGAGAGGGTTCAGGCGTGAAGTATGAGAATGAAGAGGAAGAGGGATTTATAGACTGAAAGAGCTGAGTATAGTGTGAGGGTTTGGGCCTCAGCGATTGGAGGGGATGAGACATGAGGACGCGGTAGAGTAGACGGGTTGAGAAGAGGGGTGTGAAATAGAAAATTAGTTGAAGAAAAAAAAAGGGACAGAGTGGCACCCGAAATTTAAAAAGAGTTCGCGAGGAGACTGAAATTTTTAGCTAAAGAGGATAGGGAGAGGAGGGAAATTAGGAGTTTTTTTTTCATGAATATGTTACTTCCTAAAGTGATATAGTTTTGACAACATGCGTTGTGCGTGTTTGAACTCCAAATATAACACACACACCAGGATGCGTGTTAAAACATCCTCCGAAAATTCAATTTCAACAACATGCACTAACTGGTGGGTGTTGAAACGAGATATAACAAACACAAATACTCGCACGTTGTGGAAAGTCCTAATTCCACAACGCATAATTTATGCACGTGGTAAATAAGTGTTTGTGTAGAGTATTGTTCTTGTTAGTGACGACACCCAAATCCATACAACATCACAATAAAAGAGAGAAAAAAAAAAAAGCCGTCCTTGCATAGGTTCGAACCTTCTCTCTCATGCGCACGAAATCGGAACCAGTGGATAGAGATATAATACACACACTCTTCTTAGTTAGGGTGGGATTCAATTTCTCAATTTGGGGATTTCAATCCGAACAGAGGTCTTTCCAAAACTTCTCAATTCCAGAAATTAGAGAGGTGAAATTCTTCAATTTTATTATCGTTGTGTTATATCTTTGAAGGAGTGGAGTACTCCCTCCATTGCAATTGGTTTTTGGGGAGACGCTTGGGTGAGTATCAAATCTTATGTTTATATATATTTCTATGGGTTTCTTTTTGTGTATTCCATTCTTGGGTTGTCAGTTTTGTCCTGTTTCCCAAAATTCCTTTTTTTTTTGTATGTTCTTCATTAATATTATCCTAGTTTGAGAATGGCCCAATCACATGGTAATAATTCGTAAGTTTCTGGTTCACTTTCACTTGTGTGGTTTGCAAGGTGTGTTTTATTTTGCGTCCTTCCTGATTCTTAAGTAACTGTGGCTCGAATTTCTATTGTGTAGTTGGCCTTGTTAGGGAAAAAATCTGTCCCATTACGCTGGGTACATGGAAGATGAATGAGCGAAATGGAAGATGTAGATGGTGTATGGATGCCGAGTTCGGTTGGGCGGTTAGAAGAAATGGGCGGCCTCAGATTTGAGGTTGAGGGAATAGACTACTGGGTTTGTGCCATCAATATGCTTTACGAGTTATAGGACATATGCACAGCTTTCAGTCGATATGTTATTTTAGAATACAAATTTATAAATAAACCCAATTCTAGAAATTGGATTTATAAAAAACACCCAAGTATTTAAACATAGAAACACACACCAAAATCAACCCCCAAAGTCAACGTTTTGGGTGTGTTATAAAGGGGTTTTGAGTGTGGGTAATGATGGGTTTTTGGGGGTGGTTATATGTTTAAATAGGCTTGGGTTTTTTTATAATTTCAACCCCATTTTGGGGTGTTTTAGTTGAAATTACTATTTATAATCTTAACTCCCTTTATGAATGGGTCTGTTGGAGGTTTCAAGTTTCTCGAGGGTGAGGTTTTAATAAGATATGTTTATTCTAGGGACTCATGCCGAATAGCAAAGCAGCTGATACAAACTGTGCTCAAGCCAAGAAAGGAAAAGAATCCACAGTATATTCCTGGGGATAGACTTAGCATTACTAGAGAAAAATACCGGCAACTCGGTTAGAACACTACAAGAATTATGAAAACATTGCATAATTCTGGAGATTAGGTCAGGGAAGGTAAGATTGACTGTTTTCCATTTCTTTTAGACAGTTACAAAGTTATTCCGTGATGTGGAGTGTCAGTTTCGACTACTAAGGTAAAATTGATCGTGAGTCTTTTCTTTGGCACACCGGATGGCAACGATACAAAGTAGGATACGTTATATATGGAGTTCAGTAGAAATGTAGATCAGTGAAATCAAGCATCTCATTTAGGTGTGCTGAGGGCAAGTCTGCTTAATGGCGATTTCTTTTTTTTTTTTGATAGTGTGAATCTTTAGATGACTTTTGTCACACGACCACAACAGAGATATATTCTTACCTCGGGATTGATTACTACTAGGTTTTTTTTTTTTTTGGTTCAACACTA